ACGAGAAAGGACTTGAGAATGCTGTCACACGCGATCTCTTCTCTTTCGTGGCGATAAATCAGCTAGTTATGATTATTATATTTTCATGACCTGGAATAAAATAATAAAAAGAAAATATTAAAAATAAATAATAACAATAATACAAGGGAAATGCAATATGCGTGTGCTGTAAACGATAGCATGCTTGCAAAGAACAGCTTTTCAGTACAATGAAATTGTTATTGACAAATCCATTTAATCTTTAAGCATTATTTAATCCGAGATTACTTATTCGATCGATTTAAAATTTCTTTTATATCTTAGTTTGGTATTATTTGTCCATATTAAATGAATTAATGAATTATTATGATAAATTAAATGTGTCAATTGTCTAATATGGATAATATTGCGTGCAATGATTGATAAGCTTACTGAATGCTAATTGAAATGAATATTTAAAACCATTTAATCATTGGAATTTCTGATAAATGACTTTAACAACGAGCTTTCATGCTTTTAACGGAATATAATAGTTTAGTTTTATTTGTATATTTAGGAAAAATATTAAGTACGAGGTTATCATGCTCAATGACTTTGGTGTTTAAATCTCAGTGCAAGGTTTACAGCCGCGTGTGCGAAAGGCTTTTGACGCCCACCTTGACCCACGCTGTTTGCCTGATCAAAACTCTTTGTGAGTTTAGCTGACTTTCTCGCGTGTAGATCGAGATCTGACTCAAAGTAGTAACCAACTTTAGCCCTTGTCTTAATGCGCTATGACCTTACCTGCCTTACCCTTAACAACTGTTGACTTGTAGATGTCAGGGCCTGTTGCAAAAATTTTTAATTACTCTAGTACATATGTAATGCTTATCATTTAGCTCCAAGCACTTTTATGAGCTCTTGAGAAAATTATTTTTCCATTCGATAGTTATTCAAACTTCAATTCGAATTTAATTTATTTTTGAAACTAAGTTTGAAGATGATTAATTGCAAGCTATTTGTTTGAATTATTGGAATAGAATCAGACTTTGATGTATTTCGGTATTCAAATTTTTTTATCGATCTTTTGTAGACCAGGAAGTATTACAATGAAAATAAATAATTCATTTGGATATTTATTTTCCCATATTTATGAATTCGCTTAAATAACATTAAACTAAAAATAGTACTTGAATTATCATCAATTTAAAATCGCTAAATGTTGATGCATATTAAATAGTTCAATAATACGTGAAATAATGAGATAATTGAATTATTTATTTATAGGTTTAATTATATAAGACCAGATGAATTTAAATTCAAAATTATTCTAAAATAAAAAGGGTTAGATTAGGATTGTAAGTCTTGGTTATTATTGATTGCAAGAATAAAGTGTCAAAATAGATGAGATAATTACATCATTAATCCAATCAAATTATATATCCAATACTTCCCGAATGCTTATAATTGAATACTATTTGAAAACATTCTAATTAAGATGATAGATAAATTTAAAAATAATATTTCATTATATCAGTTTTATAAATATTACTCCAATATTCCAACTTTGTTTGGTAAAATAAAAGTATTGATTGACAAAATTTTACCTGTTTTAAAGTCGGAATTAATTAAATTATTCCAGTAATAATAATAAAAATAATAATAATAAATTGTTAGAAACAATTTATGCATTTTCCATGTTGTACATTTATTTCGTTGTTTATATTAAAATGAATGACGAATGTAATATAAATTTCGATGAAAATACAACCTTTGAACTTTGTATTTGATTGGTGAAAATAATACTTCCACAATTTTGCAATTGTAGATAAAATAATAGAATAAATAATTCACTTGTTTACAAAATACTCGGAAATAGTACTCGAAAAAGTTAACTAAAAAATAAAGTTTAATAATATACTGCAGTTTAAAAACTGCAAACGAGTACAAAACATTACATTTTTTGTTGCTTCTCACCCTTTAAATTTTAGGTTCAACTAAATATAAATATGCATGGACGTGATCTCGATGCATATGCGTTGACTTCAAACCACATATTGCAATGTAAACAAGTAGGTGAAAAAAAAATCACGTGATAGTTATATTATTTGCATTCAACTCGGAATGAATAAATACTTAGATAGTACTAATGTTAGTGTCATAGTGCATAAGCTATATGTATAAGAAAACTAGTGCCAAGTGCTGGTAGATCGACCTTCTTTCTTGTATATATAACTCTCCAGTGAGCTTGAAAGCTATCAACAGAAGTCGTCTTACTTTCTAGTCTTTATAGAGACTATATTTGAACATACATGAGTATTGTTGAGTTTTCTTATGTCTGCAACAATAACTTCCTAGCGATAAACTTGACACACAATTAAACTATTTTATCCTTCCGATATAGATGTACATGAATACATTTAGAAATCTGGAAAATATCCAGCAATAAATAATTATCGATAACAAGCTAATATGTAAAGAAACTGTTATCAAATTTGTATTTTATTATTCTTGAAGGTATGAAGACATTTTTGATCAATAGGAAAAAAATAGAAATAGCAAGTTATAGCCCATGGGTCAATGACATAAGATGTAAATATAAATCCAAGTGATATAATCCGAATAGAGTAGGAAAAATGTAATGACAAGTTGAGTGCAATATGCTTGTACTCAAGAAAAAGAAGGGGAGTAAATATGATGGATTCTGGGGTGTTGATAGCAACATCAGTCAGATAGAAATTGTTATGACATATATTTTTCATCGAAATTTCTTTCATCTTTAAATGATTCAAATAGTAATTAGCATTAATTATTAAGTATTGGTATTAATAACTAAAATTTAAAAAACCATTAACGCAAATAATGATGTTTTTCTGAATCAGCATTATCAAGGACTAGTGCTCTACTTTTTCAGCAACACAAGATGATTGATCTCTTAATTCCAGGAAACTAATTAAATTATTGAGACAAGACAGTTGATTTTGGCAAATACATTCTGATCTTGTATCTGAATAACAAGCTGGCTATTTATCAGTGTTCTTGTCATCATCTGACTAAAAAAAGAATCCGTACAGTCAATCAATCAGGATTCGCGTCGGTAATCGTCAATAAAAATGTCAATCAAATGGTATGAGTTGGTCAATAAGCTTAAGATAAATCGTTTTATCCTGAAGCAATGTAAAGGAAATGGGGTACTAAGAATGACTTTAGTTATTGTCTTTAAACTTGTAATCAAGAAGACATCACATACTAAGCAACTTGCTAATGCGCCATGAAACATTTGAACCCCTGGGAATCTTGCAGAATATATTGCACTAGTTATATTTTACACACGATATAATGGATGTTGTTGAGATAATAAATAAGTTAGTAATTAAGGATTCATACGTTGGAAAAAAGCTCTAAAAATTAGTTAGAAGAGGAAGTTAAGTCTGGATGTCGTTTGATAAAATACCATAAAATTTTTTTCATTTGACTTTTTATGTTTATTACATACATTAGATGACCTTACCAAGTTAATTAAGATCATAATAATTTTTTTTTAATGTGTTATTTAATATTTAATGTGATACATTACTGTAAATGTTTTAGAAAAATCTCATAAAAAGCACAGTATAATGATAGCTGGACAAAATGCGCGTGGGACGAACGACAGTAACTGTTTTAATCGACTTTAGTACTTAGAGGCCAATCAAGTGTTGTATTCTCTCTCTTCCGAGGAAAAAAATAACCTTCACCTCAACCTCGTTTATCATAAATTTCAAAGTCGAGTGACATTGCTCAGCTTAAGCACTTGCTCCTTTATTTTATTTGAAAACGTCTGCTTTATAAAAGGAAAATTTCTTTTCGTTACATTATTTTATTATTTCTTTTTTTAAACTAGCTTCTAATATTCACTGATGAAGAAGCATCATGTTTCATGCGATTATACGCTGAAAGTGGATGATAACGAGGTAAAAGATAATCAATGTGAAGAGCAGTAGATTTTTATCGAGTTTCCGGAGAGAATGATCTCTCTTGAAAGAAGATGAAGTTATTAATCTCAAGGAATACTTGAGCCTTTTGATTAGTTCTTCTTATCCACATCAATGAAATTGAATGACACGAATGATATCTATTTATTTATTGATTTTAAAAGCTGTGATGATAATTTATAATCCACTTATATTTATTATTGGACAAACAATAAATATGTAAATCCAATTAAGCTAAAATACTAAGCCTTGATTGGATTTTTTTAAACCTGATGTTTTATTCTTTTTGATTGTGTGATAGCAATTTGTATAGTTTCCATTTCTTTGTTGAATTTGCAATATTAAATTGAACCATAAGATTAGGCATTTTTTATTCGTGATTTTAATTCGTTTTCAACTTCAAGCCAGCACATGGAATATTCTCACTGGCTCATGATCAAAATCTTCCAATTGAATTAATCTTTTTTTATAATAAAAAATCTGTAGAGTTAGAAAAATCGAAATTTTTTCTTTTTTTTTTATGAAATGAAAATATTGACGTTCATGATGACTATTTCCACACAGGTTTAAAGTTCACTTGAGAGTTTAAATAAATTTTGAGATACTTTTATTGATAAAAATGAAGATAGAAACTGATTTGAAGTTTAAATTGAGATTCTATCAAGAAGTATAAATGAAAATAATATCTTTTATAATTTAATTGAAAACCCTTTATTTATTTATAATTGAAAGTTTATCATTTTTGATTATTATTATATGCAATTAATTATTTGGTAATAATTACATAACAGAATGATTAGTTTTCATCGATTGCATTAAATGAATTTACTCATCTGTAAATCGTGCGAGTTCAATTAGACTAACTACTGAATCATACTGATTGTTCTCTGTTCTATCAGAGTAATCCCTGGGATTTTAGTAGATGTAAGATATCCCAGATTTTCTCTGTGGAAAATAATAAGGTCGAGGTGAGGATTGTGATTTTAATGGATGTAGATTTTATTCTTATCATATTTCTTTATTGCTTTTACTACCAGCATTTTAATCTTATCTTTCTATAATTTACAGCGGACAGCAGCTTCCTACTTGCCAATGCTCAAATTGTGGATTTTCCTATAGTTTATTGCAACGAAAGTTTCTGTAAAATATCTGGATATAATCGAGCCGAGGTAAGGACTTTTTTATAACTTCTTTTCCCTCTTTTATATTATTTTTGCGTATGAAGAAAATTTTCCCTTTAAAGAATTCCTATTTCTTTTATCATCGGTTTATCATAGTATTTGAAAAACATTTTACAACTGAATGATTAATTTAAAAAAGGTAGTATTATGTTTGTAAGCTAGGTGCATTATCCATATTTTGTAATTGCTTATTCAATTGTTATCATTTTATACAGATTGCTGTGAAAACAGGCATAAATATTGTTTGATCATTATAAAGAAAATATGCGACAAAAACTGTAAAAGAAAAATATATCAACAATGCAAATAAAATAAATTAACTTTGAACTTTCTTTCAGGTGATGCAAAAGTCATGTCGGTGTGGATTCATGTACGGCGACCTAACAGACAAAGAGACAATCGCCAGAATGGAGGAATGTCTAGAAGCTCAGATCCACGATCAATTCGAGATTCTCCTCTACAAAAAGAACAGTAAGTTCAGTTTCATGATTTTACCCATTTCGTTAGATGTGTTGCACGTGCAGGGAATAATTTTCGTAAGACGATGCTGCGACATTTTTCGCAAAAGCATAAAAGACAGATAAAAAGCATCACATGAACAGATGCCTGAGCCTTTTTGTAATAGTTATTTAGCCAAGGTTCTTACGTCTGCTTCAACTTTAAATTTTCAAGTTCTTTTCATGTATTTTTGCTCTCATTTTTGTGTTCACCGTTGATTCTTTTAATTCTATCGTTATTTCTTCTGATACTTGTCATTATTTTAACAAGAAAAGTAACAGTATTTCTTCTGGGTTTTATTGTTCGTTTTTGGGGATTAATTTAAAGAAAAAAAAACGATAGAATTTAAGAGAAATTGACAAGCAAACAACAAAAAATAAAATTAAAGCTCAAATAATAACCAAGCATGTCATTCTGTGTGTTTTAAAGGTAATCCCAAAGGTATGTCTATATGCAGGTATTCTGTGAATGATTATAGCAATAGATATCTTTCTCTTATTCTTCCAATTAATAAAAAATGCGTTGTATAGAAAAAATTTACCGTAAGTGACTGTAAATTTTTACGGATGTCTCTTAAAGACACCCAAGATACATCGTATAACTTTTTCTAGAACTCTTTCGTTTACTTCTTCTGCTAATTTCTTTCTTGTAATTAATGTTCTATAATTTATATGCTAGTAGTATCAAACTTTCTTTAATTACACTGATTAAATCCTGATAACTATACTATAAATATTTCTTGATCAGCTGAATATTCATGGTAGATTATCGAAAATTTTTAAGTAATTTATCAAACTTTTACTACACTCCATTTAATAAAATATTTTTTCAGGCTTCAATATTTATTCAGACTGATTTCATCATTTTAATAGAATAATGTAGTGTGACTAAGCTAAAAACAATATCAAAAGTTAACAAGATTTAAAATTTTATTTAGTTCAAAAAACTTTTACAGATAAATACGTGGATTACATCTTTTTTATAGGGATTCGTTGGAAAAATTTCTGTGTTGAATATTATATTATGACAAGGGAAGATTAATTTCTGAAGATAGAATCTGCTAAAATCCGGCAAAATGTGGAATTACTGATAGAGTTTATTTATTTATTAGTGTTTTTTTAGCATGTACGAAAATAACTCTTGACTGCTGTGAAAATGCTTGCTGTATTGAATAATTTATTTTTCGTAGAGACGTAATAACCTCGTAGTGAAATGAAAACCAGAACGAAAGGTAATTGTGGCAGGGAAAGAAAAATTTTGTAACACAGAGGGTTAAGAGGGTTTTTATAATTTTCATCTCATCCTCGAGGGTTGTTTTTATAGACTGAAAAACATAGAATATTTTTGGAGTACACTATTTAGTCAATTATTCAATTGAATTAACAATTTTACGTTCTACAAAGATGGTAAGTGAAAATTGTAAAAAATTTCATATATAAACTTAAATAAAAGTTTAAATAACTTTGAATAAGAAAATGAACATTTAACTATGATATAAAGGTTTACTAATAATTTTGAAATATAAATCAAAATTTGTAATAACATATTTGTAAAATGATGTTAAATTTAAATATTACGTCAAAAACTTTCAAGGTGTGTATTCTAAATTAATTTACTGTTTAAATGTGCATGGAATACATTCAAGTGACTTTCAATAGATTTAAATTAACATTCTATAATGACAGAAAAGCAGAGATTGATGAAAGATTCAAAACGCGTCAGATCGTGTGATTCTCCCTGACGTAGCGTAATAAGTTGCAGTGGATTAATCATAAGTTTCTGAATGCTCGCTTTTCTGTATAGAGTCGGATTACGTTTTGTTCAATAATTAATTGACGGAATTTGTTGGGTACCATGTCACACAAGTATATAAAAAAGAAATAGAAAGCAGTAGAGGAAAATATATTTCCCTGTCAGTTTTTGTCCTACTTTCTTTTATATGAGCTCATCTTCTGTCTTATCACTTAATTATCTTCCATTTTTCAATTTTTTCCCCTAAATTTTTCCTCATTAACACGCACTCGTTGATTTTATCATATGAATGATCATATTACGTAAGCTTATACTTTTTAAATTAAATTAATAATAACTAGAGAAGTATCAGTATCAAATGTAATAGCTTAAAGTTGATTTTATCAAAGTAATTACTCCTTCTACCAATGACATTTGTAAACTGGAGCTAATAAAACAGCTCGACAGGGCACGGAAATTACTCGCTTATGTATATATGTTATTCCAATGCTTCCGTGTAACAACATGAGCTACATTAGACTACTCCGAGTACTACTCTCCTTTTATTACTCTCAAAATAATTTATAACCGTAGAACTAGCGTTGAATTTAGTGTTGATATGCCGTTCCATTACTAACTAAAACAGGGCTAGGCTATTGATGTTTTTGATAGAAATTAATGTAGATAATGTTCCACGTAGAAAATGATGGAACTTTTTCATGTTTATGAGGATAATAATGATGGTATGAGAAGAGATCGTTTCCATTTTCGTCATTATTTTATAGTAAACAATAGAATTTAATCAGTATGCTCATGTTTCATTTTAAAAATCTTCAAAATAAAATTCTATGCTTTAATATTATTAGTCCTGTAGTTGAAATAATCATTTATTATTTTTATGTCACTCTATAATTTTTAGTTTTTATTTTAAATTAACTTCTAACAAGTTTTAAGTCTTCATTAAGATTGCATTTAGTTTTTTAATCTATTAATATTAAAAGCAAGTTATTAAATAGATACATAAAAGAATGGTTAATTTCTGATATTCAACTGTCAATTATCTTCTCATGCATTAATTTAGTTGCTAATAAATTAAAAATGATGATACTGAGTTTGTATGTCGTCTAGCAGAGAGTAATGATGAGGAAATATATTATTAATAAAGTAATATGACTGTCCACAGAGACTCCATTATGGCTCCTACTGCAAATAGCACCAATAAAGAACGAGAGAGACTTGGTGGTGCTGTTTTTGTTAACTTTTCGCGATATTACGGCCTTAAAACAGCCTATCGAGACAGACGACAGCAAAGGTGGTCTTTCAAAGTTTGCCAAACTTGCAAGATCAGTAACCAGATCTCGTTCTGTTCTGGTTTCGCAGTTCAGCTCTCATTTGCCAGCTGTGAAAGACACTCTGCCTACAACAACCAAACAGTCTCACCTTGGTCATGTAAGTAATTAAAGATTTATTGATCAGCAAAGTTAATTATGAATAATTTTAACAATGCTATTGGTTCATTATGTACTTTAATAGTTGTAGTTCCAACCATTAAAAATTATCATTTAATTATCTTAAGGTAAACCGTTCGATCAATAACTAAAGCTCAATAAATAAAGATATTATGAGCTTTAAAACTGTTGAAACAACTTAATAAATGATTGATATTTACTTCGAATTATTTATTGAACAGTTTTGATAGTAAAAAGTGGAATAAAATATTTTTTGTGGATATTTAGATGATGTCATTAAGTGGCGATGTAATGCCACAATATCGTCAAGAAGCTCCAAAGACTCCACCACACATTCTACTCCACTATTGTGCATTTAAAGCCATTTGGGATTGGATAATTCTTTGTCTTACGTTTTACACTGCTATTATGGTACCGTACAACGTGGCCTTTAAGAATAAAACCAGTGAGGATGTTTCATTGCTTGTAGTCGACAGTATTGTTGACGTTATATTTTTCATCGACATCGTGCTCAACTTCCATACGACTTTCGTCGGCGCAGGTGGCGAAGTCGTTTCCGATCCAAAAGTAAGCTATTCTATCCGTTAATTTACTTCTTCTTATTCTTATATAACAATTTTTCTTCTAAGTTACAGTAAATAAAATCCAAGTAAAATCATGTATTCGGAATAATACCATTGTTAAAAGTTGAGGAATTAAAAAAATGGAAATTTGAGAATTGATAAAAAGTTGAGAATAGACAATTATTATTATATTTCTATCGGTGGAAGTAGAATGGAATCGATCTGTTGAATTACTGATGAGCTAGCTGTTCTAATTGCCGCATCTTGAGGATTTAAATTTCTTCTAAAGACTGCAAGCTGGAATAATGAAAAAAATTGTCTATTGTTAAGATAAAGATAACAATTATAAATTATTGATTTTTCTTTCTCAAGACTCATTAATAATCAACCTGTTTAATTATTTATAATTATAAAATGCAACAGGATAAATTCATACTATTGATCGTGGATAAGTAACTGTGAGAAATCGAACTAATCCGATAAAAGCTTATCAAGTCATACATATCATGTTTAGTCAATGAGATTTTTGGGACGACAGATGTAAAATGTGGGCGAGTCTTTAGTAGTGATATGGTACTTTAGTGCCAAGGGCGATTCTATCCTAATGCATTTTTCATGTGTCGCTACTTAAATAGGTACTTTAAATAAGAATAATAAAGATGTAGCCTATTAAAAAAGTGAGAAAAAATTTAGTTAAATTAATTTTAAAAAAAAAATCAGTCAATTTTGAGACTTTTAGAGAAATTCAATTTAAATATTTATTTGAAGGGTAAATGATATCGAAACTAAAATTTTAGACAGCTGTAACTTATAAACGACTATGTGGAATTAAAATTACCTTCATAAAGTCCTAAAGGATACGTATTCATGTGGAGCATAAATAAATGTCACATTTAAACTCATTTATATTAAAAAGCGATCATTTATGTCTTCTAATCATAAAAATTCATCATAAATTTATCACGACATTATGAAGGTTATTTTAATTTTAAACAATGCAGTAACTAGAAAAATATATCAGAATTAATCATGACGTGTGATTTTTTATACAAATTTATATTATAATAATCGTAAATTATATATTATTTATGTAGTTTTTTATTGTTGAAACTTATAAAATTCAAAATGTAGTATAATTATTTATGCAAATGGTAATTTTTATTAATGATTGTTTGTTTCTATGTTCTAGGTTATAAGAATGAACTACCTGAAGTCGTGGTTTATTATAGATTTGCTCAGTTGTCTACCCTACGATGTATTTAATGCCTTCGACCACGACGAAGATGGTATTGGAAGTCTTTTTTCTGCCCTTAAAGTTGTTCGATTGTTAAGGCTTGGACGAGTTGTTCGGAAATTGGACCGATATCTAGAGTACGGTGCTGCGATGTTAATTCTTCTGCTTTGTTTTTACATGCTGGTAGCCCATTGGCTTGCCTGTATCTGGTATGTCATATTAAGGTGATTTTTTAATAAGACTCGGTGGAAATTAATGAGCTTTGATAAACATATTTTAGCTATCTTTTATTTATTTTCCATCGCAGTAGAAGTGCATTTGAATATAAATTTTTTCTAAATATTATAATTTTTATAAGGAGAAAAACGATTTTAAGATTTATCAAATAAAATTTGCAATACAAATAAAGACATGAAACTTTTATGAATGAAGATAAATTTTCTCACTAAAGAAAAAATTATTTAGTAATGCACATTTTTATTGTCGTTGATAAATTTTTGCTATTAAGCTTCTTAGTTTAATAAATTCTACTTTTTTTTTAGCAAACAATCTACTAGAGCTTGTTAGAAAAAAAAATGATTTATTAGAGAATACGAATGAAAAATTTTAAGTCTTCAATTTAAAGAATTCATTGATAATGCAGATAACATAATTCTAATCACGATTGTTGCGTCACATTGCTTTGAAGGTATTCGATTGGGAGGTCGGATGCCGATGGGGGCGTTCAATACTCGTGGTTGTGGAAACTGGCTAATGTTACCCAGTCACCTTACAGTTATCTATGGACTAATGCAAGCACAGTTCCTGAATTGGTAGCTGGTCCATCTCGCAGGACAATGTATGTCACAGCTCTCTATTTCACAATGACATGCATGACCTCAGTCGGTTTCGGTAACGTTGCTGCTGAAACCGACAATGAAAAAATATTTACCATTTGTATGATGATCATTGCTGGTAAGTTCATTACACTTTTTATTTCTTTTCCTTAATTCTAATATAATTAAAGCATAATGGCTTTTTTGCTACATTTTCTTCTGTAATTTTTTCCCCAGACTGTTAAAGCATTGCAATAAAAGAATACAGACTTTAATTTTAATGTTAAATAAATGTCTGTAATAAGTTTTTGTTGCCTATGATATTATTATTTGAGCTAATACTTTTTTAGCTCTTCTCTATGCCACAATCTTCGGGCACGTCACGACAATAATCCAACAGATGACCTCGGCAACTGCCAAGTATCATGATATGCTGAACAATGTCAGAGAGTTCATGAAGCTCCATGAGGTACCAAAAGCTCTCAGTGAACGAGTAATGGATTATGTAGTAAGCACATGGGCAATGACTAAAGGTCTTGATACCGACAAAGTTCTTAACTATTGTCCAAAAGACATGAAAGCTGACATTTGCGTTCATCTCAACCGTAAAGTCTTCAACGAACATCCTGCTTTCAGGTAATACCTTGTTCTACTTTTCATAATTATATTTTTCGAGAAGAAAAATTGATATTAATTAAAATTAATACTTAATCTAATTATATTTAAAAATTCTTGCATTTATCTTGAAAAAATTTAATCACTTAATAAAAATACATTTTATATATAATTATATTAATAACTCCATTAACAAATTAATTAGTAAAGTATTATATTATAACAATAAAAGCAATAAAAACTTAATAATATGTTTTTATTAGTACAATCAACGTTATACTATGATTAATCGTCAAGATTTCGTTTATAAGTGTAATAAAAAAGCATGTACAGCTAGTTTATGCTGATATTACCTGTTATTTCTAGCTTCTTCAATTATTTCAGGAAATCTCTTTTTTTTCAAACATCTAACTCTTCATTGCTAGCCAGCAAATAAATAAATAATAATAACTAATGTACGATACAATAAAAAGATTGAGGGAATCTGCCACAAAGAATAATTGACTTGGCTTACAGGTTAGCATCAGATGGTTGTTTACGTGCTCTGGCCATGCACTTCACAATGTCACATAGTGCCCCAGGAGATTTACTTTATCACACGGGAGAGTCTATTGATTCCCTCTGTTTTATTGTAACCGGCAGTCTTGAGGTCATCCAGGATGATGAGGTCGTGGCTATTCTTGGAAAAGGTGATGTTTTTGGAGATAGCTTTTGGAAAGATTCGGCTGTTGGGCAGAGTGCAGCCAATGTACGGGCACTTACCTATTGTGATCTTCATACAATCAAGCGAGATAGACTGCTAGAAGTGCTTGATTTTTATCAAGCGTTTGCCAATTCTTTCGCAAGAAATCTCATTCTCACCTATAATCTACGTCATCGGGTGAGTATTTTTCACTTTTCAATTTTAGTTATTACGTTTATACATTTTTATCATTCCTTTGGAATTTATTTTTTTATTAAAAAAAAGAAATAAGAGATTGTAATCGATAGGACTCTTCAATAATATTGATACAAAAACTTTTCTCAATTTTTTATTCATTTTTACACATTCAGAACCTCCACAATTGAAAAGTTTACATTAAGAATTGTTGAAATATAGGATATTTTATTTGTAGAGAAAATTATTTTATTTTATTCAATATTTGGTGATCTTGATATCTATTTAGTCTTTCATATATTACCTTCATATTTTAATATCAGTCAAACTTGTTTAATGCAGGTAAAATTGAAAGTCGATACAAATGATCTTATTTTATAAATTAATTTTGTTCTTTGATGTAGATTAAAATAAAATTATTCTATAATCACAAATTAACTTTAAATGAAAATTAAATTAAATTGGTTTATGATAAATTTTTTAAATTAAATCAATGTGATTGTATTTTATAAATCTTGAAAATTTATTAACCATTTACTAAATTATAATACTTTTGAAACCAAATAATCATTCTTAATAGTAAATAATGATTGATTTGATAGTGGAATTTTTAAATCTTATTTTGAAACAATATTTTAGATTGCATCGATAGCTGCAGAAAATAAAAGTTAAGAATATTGAATAATGAGACTAGTAAATTGAATGCAAGAAAATTGTAGAACTCTTTGATAATTTAAATAAAAGAAGAAAAGCAAGCACCTAAAGGACCAAATATAATCACAGATAATATTTATATAAAAGAAAAAATATTTTAAAGTACGCTATTATTTTCATCACATATGTTTTCAGGTGATCACTAATTAGAGAAAATTCGTTTATTTAGTTTACGTTGAAATTTCATTGATATTTTTTATTTGTTGAAATGCCATTTATTTTTACCACAAAAATTTTTGCTTCGATGTCTAATTTTTTGAAACTTTTTATTTATGTAATCTTTGACTGTAGGATCAGTTTCTTCGTTCACTCTTTTTTATTCCTGAGTCCTTCGCTGTGCATTTTTCTTCCAGCTAACTCAAGCATGACTTGAGAAGCAGGATCTTGATCCAAGATTGATCGTGGGTCTCGTGTTCCTTCTTCAACTTCTGGCAAAGGTCCAATTCCCCATACTTCTAAATGTTTTATCGTAAAGTTTTCTTTCCCACTGAGCTGAATGTAATTCTGGAATGTTGTACACGAAACACACGATTTACCAGTGCCATAATCACAATCAAGCCAAAGGCCAGGATAATTAAGCTGCCCACCTACTAGCATGCCATTGGGCATCGTTTGTTGATGAAGATTTAAATATTGATAATGATTGTTATAACCACTAGAATTAAATGTTAAAATTTGAGGTTCAAGTTTAAACAAAAAACATGAAGAATTGCCAACAAAATTAGGGCTTAACGCCCAACTAACTGGAGCAAAAGCTCCAAAAATATGGTCGTCTGTATCTTGAATAATAATTAGTGTTGCTCCTTGCATAGAAATACGTCCGAGCATCGTAGAAAAAGATTCTCCATGAACTTGACTGGAGAATAAAAATCGCCATTCATTTCGAAGTTCGTGAGGTAGACTAAGATTTAGAAAAAGAACATCTCCAAGTCCTAGAATACTTGGGAAGTGTGGAATATTTTCTAGACCTTTACAAAGTGGCAAAAGGTTTAGGTCGTTAATTTTTACACTAACATTTTTGTCTCCTTTTTTTTGTGAAATTAAAAAGAGACATTGAATAACATGTGATTGAATTTCTCGAAAAGTAGCACATTGATGAAACCAGTTTTCTACTTGATCAATAGTTAAATTATCTCCTGATTTAACGATATCTTCACATAAACTTTTAGATCTTTTTTCAATTCTCCTAGTATTTACAGTGCATCCAATGCTATTCCAACTTGAATAATGAAAATTTCCACAGTTTTTTTGTAATCTCAAGTAAGAATTAATGGTTGCTTGAACATATTGAAGAAATGTGGCAGTTGAAATTTCATTTTTCCCATCAGGCTCTTCAGTTAATCCATTAAAAATTAATCTAGCACGCTCTTCAGCACTTCCTCGTACAGAAAATACATAAAGTCTTCCAAAGTTCTCTCCATTAATGGCTGATACTTTCTTTCCAGGATCATGGCATAAAAATCTCACAACAAATTGTAATAGCCCATCATCTAAATGAACAGACCAATGTTTAAAGATATCTTCTCTTTTAATTGACCCTGAGCTCCGGGACATGGATTTGAATAGATTCTCTACAAGAGTCAACTCCTCTGCCGATAATATATTCGCTGAGGAAGCTGAACGACTAGATCCATGACCCATCTGTCAAATAAAATTATGAAGAGAATTTAATGAGAATCATCATGAAGCAAATTTTAATATATTTGATATTTAATTAATTGCTTATAAATATTTCAAACGAACCTTCTTATAGAAAGGCAAAGTATGTCATCCGAAGTTTAGTTCAAGCTCAGATTACTTCAAGAAAACTTAATAATGAAGTATTTGCACATCTTTTTCTAGCACTTCATTCACGCTTTATTGGTGTCTGTTGATATTTGTACCAAATTCCATGTAATTTTTTTTTTCAATCTTTTATTATGATTCTAAATGACAAGTTGATTGTTTTGAGGTTAAGCAGGTATCCCCTCCAACTCTAGGTGACTCTCTGCACTTGTAACAGGCTACCATCAAACTGCTGTTATCGACTCTTTAAGCAGCGCAAGCGCGAGCTTTGAATTTGGATAAGTAAAGTTCATGTAATGTTGTTGGTTCCTCTTTCTTTTTTGGTTATTACGTCATTTCAACATTTATGGACATGAGATATGAAACAATAAAGTCTGAAGAATGGAAAAAGACGACAAAGAAAAAGAGATCATTATACAAAACATAAAAAACAATATGAATTTTTGCAATTGTTGTATATACCTCTTCTTCAATACTCCGAAGGATTGTACTTTTTTTTCTAATAGGATACTACGGTCTGGTATTATTTAACTCACATCATAAAACTTGAAATTGTTGAAAAGAAAATCTTTCTTAAGGTCTGACAATTTTTAAGTATTCTTACGTGCGATTAAAAATTTCAAGACTTAAGAGTGTCAAGAAATGGAGGAAAAAAAATATAAAAGGCTTTGACTGGCATAAAAGCTTTGAAAAGAATCTACAGGGTTTTCGTTTTCCTTTGAAATTTTGGTTTTAAAGTTACAAAGATGTTTTTGTATTAAAATATTTAAAGAAATTAGTTGACAATATATAATGACAATTCCAAAAGGAATCTTTAGTCTTGATATTTTCTTTTTTTTGTTTCAACAATGAATTTTTTATAAACGATAAAAAACTAAAAAAATAATTCAATTTATTTTTAGCTCATATTTCGCAAGGTAGCGGACGTAAGAAGAGAAAAGGAGCTTGCAGAAAGGGGGAAAAATGAGCCGCAGTTGGATCAGTCACAGGATCACTTGATGCGAAAGATATTTTCAAAGTAAGCACACTCATTAATTTATGGGGGAAAAAATTAATCAGTTTTTCTTGAATATGAAGATAAAAATAATAAAAACGGAATATAAATAAAAAAAAGGAATAAAAAAAAATATTAAACAGATACTTTTAATTGTTCACTTTTAATCAGATGTTTCATTGAACAATACATATTCTTGGTCTATGTTGAAAGAGAAAAATAGGGACACATACGCGAGCAACGGATTTGCGACGCATAAAGAGAAGAGTTTTGATAAAAAAAAAAAATTCTACTTTAGTTATACTGTACAGCTGGAATAATTTTTCAACGTCAATCAATCGTAGTTAATCATACTATTGTCTTAGTCATTAAAAAAAAAAGAATATTTCTAGAGCAATTTTCATTAGCTGTACTGTAAAACTGTTTTAGCGTTCGCGCTTCCGTTTTATCACATTTGTATTAAGAGATTTATATTGATTATAAATAAATATAAAAATGCGTAAACGAAATAAGATAACGGCGAGGATAATTGTATGTATGCTGATGACGCGACTGTTGATCTCTCGTGGCTGCCTGTGCTCAAAAAGGTTCAAGCCCGACGAAGAAGCTCAGATCACACCACTAACTGGTCGTCGGAGGGCCCAGGATTCTGACGAGGAGCTCACCGTGAACGTCCTGCCGCCTTGGCCCAGTTTTAGGCAATTTCATTTATTACGTATTTATTTAAACTACGTTTTCTTTCTGCCATTTTTTCTGCTATGTATTTATTAAGTACTTCCTTGTACTAATTATTAATTACCATTAATTATTATTATTATTATTATTAATTATTAATATATATATATATATAAACAATTACTTTTTCTCTATTTATTCGCTTTGTCTATTCTTTATTATTAATTCATTTTCTCATTGTTATCCATTTGTAATCTCATTTTTGATAAGAAAATAACTTACTTAGCTAGCAATTTTTTTTTGAATATTTTCAGTAAAATATTGCTTTACTTAGCTACTAGTTTTATTTTTCCATCATTTAATATCGCTGAAAATCATCCAACATTTTTAGTTGCAATTTTTTTTGTGAACGAATTAATCAGACAATTGTGATATGATTATTTACATTTTCAATATTTTGATTATTTAATGCTATGATTAGTTACAAGTTATTTGATTATTATTGAGTATCTATAATTTATGTATTATAATTTATCTGGTTATTTTAAGATATTATTATTTAAGCAACAACACTTTATTGTAATAGCAATAATTTTATTGGAAATCAAAAAAAAAAATTACTTGCTACCTAATTATTTTCTTTTTGAAAATATTTGTAGCAATTATCATTATTAATATTATATCAATTAAGTGGTTAATTACATTCCAAGTCCGCATTATAAATATTTTTAATCCATACCAAATGATTAATCATTATCACATAAATAATAAATAATATTTACTTATAATAATTATAGATATCATTAATCCACTCTGAATCATAACATTATTATACTAATTACCACAAATTTTATTTCTTTTATACTCACTTTCGAGTTCATTATAATCTAAATTTAAAATAATTAAATCAATCAACTTCGATGCTTTTTTTTCATCATTACCTATACAAACTCTTCAGTTGACATTTCGGACTGCAAATAAAGTTATTGGAATAATAATATGGTAAATTTGATCTTCATCAATAGAAATGTAATAGTAGTTAAAAATGAGATTTAATTTGAGTAAATACTTCTTATGAAGGTCTTCTAACTACATTTACTCCGAAATGTCCCAAGCGTTATTGCTGAGAGTTATACAAATATATTTTATATTATATGAATGCTAGAGTGCTGTAAATTAAATGCCTTTAGAAGGTTATGCGCATTTTAAATTAATTATTTCATTCATTATTTTTACAATATTTCATATATATTCAATATCTTTTTTTTTGTAATTTTATACTTCTTTAGAAACGCGTCACTGGGATGCAACCAGAAGCGATATATTTTTTTAAATTTAACACGGCAGTAGACTTTTAAATTATTAAACAAATTTAAATAACTTTAATAACTTATTAGAATGTTTTTAATAATATTTTATGTATAAAGTAACTGTAATATACATTTATTACTCAGTACTTAATGTTTTTAAATAATAGTATAGAATATCGATGAGGAATTTTAAATATTACTAGAGTTATTTTTACTCCGTTTTATCAGCATTTAAATGAATTATATATTTTATCTCTGCAGAATGATTTTTTATTCAACAAATGTGTACTGTCGAATGCACGTCAATAGTAGTTGGACTGTCAAAATGTCGAAAATGTTAAAACAGCTCTTTTCATTTATTTATACAATTCTCTATTATTTTGGAATTGGAAAGTTCACTAAAATTCACCAGGATTATGAATGCCGAGTCTTGCTACACAAAGTCACGTGTTTCGAATAGTACAAAAAGTTCAATATTGTTTTACTTTTTCCGTAGAGTAAATATAAAAGTCTGTACATCTTTTTTTAAAATATACTTTAGTCCTTATTTTTTTCTTTATCTCTTGTTCAATTTATCTTGGTATTCTTTTACTCAATTACTCTTATTGATCAGTCTATTTTTCACTAACTCTCACGGGATGAATGTAATATGGAATATTAATATTTTTTCAATACTTTTTATCATATATATTATTAAAATTCTTTTATTTTATTCACTTAAATTACAATTTCATGCGCTAAATTGTAACAATTAATGCCAAGTGCATGTGATTATACACACTCTAGGATTCAATTTTATTAATCTCTGTCACCTGTACTTGAATTCTTTGAATAAAATTGAATAAAATTCAGTGATTCGAAAAAACACTTTAATATGTACAATTTATTCACAGTAAATATATTTTTTCGAATGACTTATGATTGTATTTGAAACTCTGTCGATGGTGAATTATTGTGTCAAGTTAATTAACATTTATAAAAATAAATGGTCCATTAATTACCATTTAATACAGTAATAAAAATTTCCATCGATCTTTTTTATGAGATAAATAAATAGAGAAATAGAGTATTAATTTATTTGTGATAAAAACAGGTTTTTTCATCATTTCTATATTATAAATTTAATTATTAAAATAAAAATTATAATAGTTAATCAATGTGATTTTTTTTATCAGCAAATTCGCAGGCTTTATTTCACCATCGACTTTCCTATATTGACCATTATTTTATCACAAATATATCTTTTTACTTTCCTGTAGGCACACCAAAGTAGGTTGCTCGTGAACACCGCTGGAGCTGTACCCTTTTATAGCCTCTGTAGCTATTTTGTAATAATTAATGTAAGAACGCAACAACAGATGTATATGAACTAACAAAACATCAAAGCTTATTTGTAGATATATTTTTTATTACTGAAATTATTATTTTTTTCTATCTACAAATAAATATTATAAGGAATCTACATTTAAAGCGGATTAATTATTAATCTTTGCTACAAATGCAGACGTCCACTAAAAAGATAATAAAAATTTACTAATTCGCGTAGAATATCCGGCCTTTTGTAATATCCCCTACAGTATCTAACATACGTCATTTAAGTCGATTGTACACAAAGATTAAAATTTTATCCATCTCGACACAGATTCCGGAGAGAACGTCATGCTGCGGATGTGGAAAAAGGTGACAACAAGGAGGGAAAAGACAGTGAGAGCCAGCATACACGGAAACCATCCTCTGGGGAGGAAACCACTTCAGTACGTCCACGAGCTAGCAAATGGGGTCGTCTTCTCGGTAAATTTTTTATCCCTCTCAAAAATCAACTATTTAATAAATTAATTATTATCAGTTCATATTATTATGATAATGTTTTCCATTACTTAATTGAATGAAATAAAAAATATAACAGTGATAAGGATAATAATTAAAAGTTTATTTTTCTAGCGATTTTCTATTTTAAATAATAACGATAATATTAATTTTATGTTCAAATGTAAGTTGCTTATCAAATAACTTGTATGATAAAAGTGTAACATTTTGCTTTAACTTAAATAACTTAGAATGCCTCCGGGAGTTTTTCATCATTCCAGAAATTCTTAGACAATCTAACGACGTACAACACTTTTTTGAGTCAACAATGTTATATGTAACATTTTATAAAGTTACTGAAAATTTTCTTGTCAAGAACTTAGTTTATTGAAGAATAATGTTCAGTTGGAAATTTTTGACATATTAAAAAGAATTATAGATGTCACTTTTTAAAATATTTTTCATTTTTTACAGGGAGTTCGAGTTTAGATTCCGGAAGTGGAGAAGGAACCGGAACAGATACCTTCAAAAGGACTTTAAGTGCAAGAGATTCAAGACCAAGTTCCAGTGCGGGGACAAATAAAGTGTTCCCAAAGTTAGGTAAATTAAGTGGTACCATTGAAGAAGCTGATGGAGAAACAACAAAAGATCCAGCAACTACAAACCAACTGACAGTTGATTCAAAACAGCTTTCTTTACGTCGCCTGGAGAGCTACGACGGTGGTTTAATAACTTCTCAACCAGGACAAGACCGTGAGATTTTAGCAGCAGTGTTAGAAGTTAAAGTTGATCTTAAGTTGGAAGTCCAACGAGTGAATCAACGGTTAGCAAAGTTAGAAGATATGTTACAAACTGTAATCAGTCGGTTACCACCGGCAAACTCGTCTCCAGTATCCAGAGTAGCAGGAAATGACGCTGGAACTCAAACACTTCCAATACTTCCTGAGCAAAAGACTGCTGTTCAAGCAACATTGGAAGTGCCACGAGAAACTGGAGAAAGACTCCAAATAAAGGAACTGCCACAGCATCATCATCATCACCATCATCATCATCATCAACAACCACAAACAGAACGATCTAAAGATCTATGCAGTGACAGACTGACTGGTGGTTCAACGGACTACAAAATATCATCGAGAGAGGTTAACAAAGAACTTTTAGAACGTCTTACTCAAGCGTCTACTTCTAGAGAAGATTCTGCGGCGCTTGGACCACTTATTCTTCGTAAAAGAAGAAGTAAAATACGAAATAAAGGTGCAGCACCTTTAGCACCACTTGCGACTCAACCTGTTAGTCCAACGGATGCAACAGAAACGACGCAAATGCTTGAAACTGAAGAACATGAGACTGGTAGTGCTGATAGGACTGAAAAAAGTGAAAGAAAAAGACCACCACCGAGACCAAGAGAATATTTATGAAAAAATGTTGAACAATTTTGGTGTTATACAAAATTTTCTTGGTACTCTTCTATTCTTGTATGGAATTGATTTTAAATTGTGAGTATTGACTGATTTCATGTTTAAAAAATACATATTTTAACAACGATGTTGTGTTATTAAATGTGTATGCTACGCCTTCGCTGAAAACTGCTTGCTACGAGCGTAATTGCGAGTGTTTTCATTGAAAAATAACGTATTTAGAGACAAAATTAATTTATTCATTAAACTAAATGTACTCGAATTTTTAATTTTATTATTAACGATAAACTGTACTTTTTCAAATATTCAATATTAAATACCAATAACTGATAGTTTAAATCTATAAAAAGTTTTAGAAAATTGATTTTCTGAACATTTCAATTACAGTTGATGACAAAATTAGTTGAGAAATCTAATTTTGTCTCTTAATACCGAAAAAAAAAAACAAATTTATGTAAAAGACAATCTTGATAAAAGCAATAGATATATCATATAATTAAAAGGCAGTATTGTCATAATGATAAACCAAACAATACATATAGGAAAATATTAACAAGAACAATGCTCGTGACTATTTTTACCGAGACGTCAAAGTATCCAATTATAATATAAAATAAATTAGTAACCAAAATTGTCACAGTAGGTGAAAAAACGCAATAGATGATCGACGATATTATAAATAATCGTAAAAATAGTAAATAAGAGACAATTTTAATTACAAAAAATCGAAATATCTTTACATAAAATAAATAAATAATACTTAAAAAAAGATAAGTACGAAAGAATTTGAAAAGTACATAAAACTAAATTAGTTTATAAATAATTTTAAATTTTGATTCGTCTACTCCTTAAAATATGATGACGATTGTGATGTATCAATAATCAGAGAAGCATGTTAATCGTTAACCACATGATTTTTATTGTTTAAATAAAGAATGAAATACTTAAAAAAAAAATTATTAGTATCGTTGATTAAAAAAGATTTCATTTTTATTGTTTCTTATTTTAAATAAACTGTATTTTTGTATTAAAATTTTAATTCTTTGATCCTAATACTCGATTTTTAACTAAAAAGAAAATAAAAAAGTTGGGAATTATTTATACTAGCTTCGACTACAAAATCATGTGTAACGATGCCAAACAGCAATATTAGATGTATATAATATACATAATGTAATTATAAAAAAATTGTACATATAGTACAGATTAATGTATGCTTAGTTTGATGCCTGGTACGAAAATCTGCGTACACATGTATATTAATACAATATTTGAAAGTAATTGTATGGTAAGTAAATTATTCACAAAAAAAACTAGAGTAATATTAACTATAAAATAAAAAATATCACTATTAATTTTAATATTATTATTTTTGAACTGATCTTATACTATGTGTATTGAAACATTTTGTGAGTAGTTTCGAGAAATATTAGCTTATACATGTGTATGCAGGAGAGTAATATATATATATATCTATATATAAATACAGAATATTAAATAATGAGAGAGAAAGAATGAAAGAATATGAGAATGTGAATAGAAAAATTATATGACGTTATGTAACTTGAAAAACATATAAAAGAAAACAGAAAAAAAGAAACAGAAACAAAATAAAAATCGAGTTATATTAATTAACTAAAACACAAAATGGAGATTGTTAATTAGGTTTTAGACGAATGAAGATGATTATAGTTCTGGCTCTATTTATAGTTAAAGTCTGTACGAAAGTTTAAAAGCTGTTGATACATTTCGGAGTTTTCTTATCGTGATGAACACGATTATGACCGCCCTTCGTGCAAGCTCGTTCAACTGCCTTCCTTCTCACTCAATTGCTTCGGAAAAACAATGTGCAAACTTAGGATAATATTATTTTTGCATTGCTTCAATAACAGCTAATAAAAATAATAAACATGAATGATTCATTACGTACATTGCTAATGAAAAGTTGTGAAAACGGGTCTAATTGAAATTGACGAACAATAAAGTGACAGAAAACCAGAAAATACATGAAACATAACAAATAGCAAACGATAAATAAATCGAAAAAAATCTATTCAACTAAAGAAAAATTTAAAAAAATTGATAATAAAAGAAAAATATTGTTATAGAAATTGAGAGAGAGTGTAAAATTTTGCTATCACACTGTTCGTCCAACTTTTTACTTGGGCTGTGCGCGACGTTGCGACTTATTCTAGTCATTTAAAAATCCCTTGATGATATTCTTATGGAGGAATATTACATATAAGATATTGTTTTTATCAAAAGTTTAATGTGACAAAACAAACACAAATTTAAATAATTTGCATAGTATGACATAAAAAATTCTATTAAATATGTTTTGCGTTTATTTCCATAATGGAAGAATTAATCAAGGGATACTTCTAGTCTTGGCTTTCCAACGTGTATATTTACTATTTATACAAAATAATCTGAAATAAAGTTTATGTACGTTATCGTACATATCTCAGACATAAAAATTTATTTTTTCATTACTGCTATCCCTTATAAAAAATATTACCGCTACATTTAATATGACTTATAAATCATTCTCGTTCATCAAATTATTGTTGGAAAACCTAATTATTTACCAATATTAATAATAATATTATTAAAACGAAACTATTATTAATACAAAAAGAATTTACTGACAATTAAAATAAAATTATTAAACTTTTTAATTCTTACTAAAAATTCTCTAAATTTCTAACTTTATGACTTTTCAAAGAAATGCAATAAAACTAAAGTCACTGACTTAATAAACGCCCAAATTTCCCAACTTTTTAAGTTGGAACCTTTCCCCTACCATCAACCATAGTCCTAATGCACACCATGCACTAATATAAATACGATCATCATTTTTCACTAGTCAGATCACTTAATTCTTCCTTCGACAAGCCTATTCTAAATATCTATTAAAAATAATCTTATTTTAAACCTATATGGAATATTAAATAACGAATACTATTAGTTACAATACAATTGTTTTCTAAATTGAAAATTACTTGAATAAATCTCGTCGGAGTACAACATTATTTAGAATAATTTCATTGAAAAAAATTTTTATTTATAAGATATAATATGTAATCTAAATATTATTTTTATAATTATCCTTGAGACTTTTTTTTTAGACTTTTCAGTCTCAATATTATTAAAAAAAATATGCGTATTTATTCAATCCTGCATCCTTTTTTCAATAAGATGTATGAAAAATGCAGGAACATCAATCTGATTTAGTGGTTTAAAATCCCCAAAAATTTTGTGCTCTTTCTGTTCAAATATTTCTAATAACATGTTTTGAAATACATCAAGTTGGTGCGGATAATACGATAATCGGAATTCATTTTGATTTTCTGGCTCATCATTATTTTCGTCAGAAAGGAAGTAATCCAGGATCACCATTTGAGGTTTACCAGAAACATATAAAACAGATGTTCTAATATCTTTTGTATGGGGGCTCTGAAATGGATATAAATTTATTAATAAACGTTTTCTTTTTGTTCCTAATAAATAATCATTATTTTCAATTGAATTAGGTTTACGTTATAGTAGATGCATCTAGAAGGTGCTGTCCCGGATTTAATCATGTCATCATAATTCCTATGATCAATGAAAAGAAAACCACCAGGTTTGATACATTGCTCAAAATTTCTTAAGATTTGCTTCTGTTCTCTTTGATCACCATAAGTATCTGGAATATGAGCAAAGCTATTGCCTAAACAGATAACCGCGTCGAAACCATCACCGATAAGATGAGATATATCTTTAGGCAGTGTCAACCAGTTAGCTTCTTCAATAACTGAAAAACATACAAATAATTAAGCTTTTATACTAATAAGAAATGACATTGTTTTGATAATATTTTTCAACAAAGATACACTTTTAACCGCTAGTTCTGGCGGTCAAGCTAATAAAACTACTGATAAATAATTTAAAAAAACTCGTATTAGCAAAATGAGTCAATAAATCTAAAAAAAAAAAATATTTTATAAAAATTGAAGAATATTTTTTGATAAAATATCATAATTATTAATTTTGTAAACATGTAGATAATCGTACGCTGAACAAGTTTGAGAATTATCGGATCAATCATAAAAGTTTGCGATATTTTATAATTGAATAATAAATTATATGTAAATGATGACACTCGTATCACAATAACAAATTATCTTTTGAGTATTTATAATTTATTTTTTAAAAGGAAAAATTTTTTATAATTCGATAATTCATGAATTATATAAAAGACCCTGATAGACAAAAGTTGAAATTTGACATCAATTGGAGCTCAATATGTATGTATTACAACATATGTATGTATTACAACATATTGAGCTCAAATTGATGTTAAATTTCAACTCTTGTCTATCGGGGGATATTTAATTCAGGAAAAAATATATTTATCATAATGTAATTCGAAACAAAAACAGTTTGCTTTCAATTTTAATTAGTCATACCAGGAAGTTTTTTGAGTAATAACAAATTGGTTAAAAAATTTGGTAAACTGTGCAATTATTGCATCAGTCATTTATTTGATTTGACAAAATCAAATATATCGATTCCATTTAAAAAGTAAAATTGCCTCGATTAATTTAAATAAGCGAAAATGACAATGTGATAAATTTTATAAAATAGATAATTACTCCAATTATCGAATGCTGGTTCCTTTCTCCGATTCCACCGGTCTTTGAGGGCATATTTGAGCATTTTATCCGAAGCATCAACACTCACAACATCGAATCCTTCTTCCAATAGCATAATTGAGTCAATTCCTGTTCCACAAGCCACATCTAATACTCTTTTACAACCTTTTTCCCGCAATAAGCCTACCAGAAAATCCTTGTAAACTTGAGTACGTTGTTTTTTATCTCCTATGAACGTTTTCCAAGCTTTAGCAGCTTTTCCATCAGCGTACTGATCTCTCACACCCTCAGCAGCGGTCCCCGGAGTACGAGTTCGGAAAACTAGATCCATCCTAATTTATTTCTTACTCGTAGTTTTAGTTATATTAACTGATGGACCGTAATGAAAAGTAATGGACAGAAAGTTCTGTAGGGTCGTATACGTAATCGTCATGAAAACTGATATTCCAGTTCTGATCACCGCTTATATATACGCCAGAACAAACACTCCACAAGTGTGATAAAAAATGTTATTAGACTTATCTGTATTAATACACATATACAAATATATTATGCTATATTCCCAATCTAACTAATCAGTTTAATGGTTTGATTTTATAAAATGTGTATTTCGAAATACTCTCCTCACTCTTTACTGTAATATAAAATACAAGGAATTTCATTTTTTCAATCTCACTGGATGATTTTTAAAACAAAATTAATATGTAATGATGACAAAGATTTGTTTATAGTTTAATCAAAACATATCATTTCATTGCGTTAATGTTGTGATGCGTCGTCATTTCTGATGTAACTGAATCATCAATTAAGTAGTCGATAGAAAATAACATTTAGATATCCACAAATTAATTGATTGAAACTATTTTTTTTTTATCTTTTTTGATATCTTATTGAGCAGGTGTTTTTTCATTATTTATATTTATTTATATTTGTTTAACAAAATTGGAGTAGTAGATGAAAAAATAATAGTTTAAATTCATTAGTAAAATATAAAAATCTTTTCAAATTAGTTCGAAGTCTTGCTATGTGCCAAGTATTCTTTTTTTTGAGTAATTGGGCATTAGTTGACAGCATTTTCTGAAGATGAAAATATTCAATCGTAAAAAATAAACGTGCAAAGAAACTACACATGATATTGATTATGATTATTTCAATAAAGTACGATCAACATGTTTTTTAATTGTATATTTATTCATTGATTTTATTGTTTACTTTCAGCGATTACATAACTAAAATTATTATTTAAGTGGCAGTTATTTTATTATTTGATCTAAGGAATGAGATGAATATATTCAAAACATTGTGATATAAATATTATATAGATACAAAAACAAATTCATTCCCAGATGTAATGATTTTGATTTGATCTTATTCATTAAAATCTTTCAACTGCTACTGTGAATAACAATAACTATGTATTCAAATGAATGTCAGTAAAAAAAATTTTTAATGAATTTTAGTACTATTTATGCGCATTAAACTTTTTAAATTGATTTTCATATTTTAATAAATTTGCTAAATTTTTTTTAATCACGATTTTTTTAGTGAGTTAGTTAGTAATAACATTTATAAAATAGTTAACCTACATTTAATTAATATATAAAGAAATTATAAAAAAAAGTTTTGAAAAGAGAAATATTTATTAACTTTTTTCAATCAGTACTTAAGTGTCATTTGATAAAAAGAAATTAACAAATTTTACGAGGGTGCAAAAACTTATTAAGTTTATGACGATTTAAGCTGTGAATACGATTTCACCGATAATTTGATTATAAATTTTTTTAGTTTGTGTAGAAGTCAATAAATCATCGGGTCAAACTTTATAACTATGTATCACTCAGTTGGTAAATCACTCGTATTCCAGCGAATTATTTAAGTATTCTTTTTTAATATTCGCCTCGACGATTACAATTAATTGGAATTGCTTATTATTTTCATATATTTTTCAAATCTTCAGGCATTTCGTTCTTTGGATGTTTGTTTTCAAAATGCTGCTTATACGTCTTAGGATCTGGCATTTGAGCCTGAAATGAAAGTGGATAAAAAAAAACTTCAATGAGTTGTGTAACTTTCAGATCAAGATAAAAATAACAATGAGAGAAAAATGTACGAATTATCTTCATGCTTATAATCATATAACTCAATCGATTATAAATAATTGTTAGTTTTATATAATAATAATGAACATAAAATCTTGGCGTAGCAAAATAAAATTTTTTGATATGTTAGTTATTATAATTATAAAAGATTAGATAATTCAAATTAAATACCGACAGTAATTATCGTCAATAAAATCTTTCAACATTAAATTCATGTAGTTTTGAAGTTCTGAATTGAATTTGAGAGTTTTTTCATAACTGTGAATTACTTGTAACTGACCTTACAAACAACGCAAACATGGACGAGAGCTTTTTGAGCAGCTTTCTTTTGGTCGTTTGCACTGTGACCTTGTTGTTTTTTTAATTTAGAAGCCTTCTCAGCTGCTTTCGCTTGAGATTGAATTTTTTGTTGACCACGAGCCATGTTGTTTTCCTAAATTTCTCTGAAAATTAAAAACTGACAAATGAATATTACAGGTAAATATTTGCCGTGGTTATTCTTGTTAAATTTTAAATTCAATCAATTTTTATATTTGATATTATATTGATTAATATTCTTTCAAATATGACAAAAGTGAATGAATTATAAATTTTATAAATTTTAACTTACTACAAAGGCATATGGAGACATTATTTATTTTGATACAACTAAATCAATAATAAAAGATTGAGAGAAACTAATCTAAGACAAAACATGAAAGACTTTAGAAAAAATAGTAAACACAGTATGTCATTAATATAAACCACAAAATTAATACATTTTCGAAGAAATGTCCTAAACTTACTTCTGTGATGTAAAACTTTTTGATACTGTTCTTCTTATTTTTAATTACAAATTTTACTTCTATTACTTAAATATATCCAATCAAAATTAATACTTATTATTGCTTTAATGAAAGTTTTTAAATTATTTTAAAGTAAAAAGAAACTACAAATTTGTGTAAAAATTGAAATAATTGGCAATGATGCTTTCTCTCACGTTCTCTCCGATAATAGGTTAGGTAGTTAGTAAATACTCTCAGCAGGGAGCAGGACAATCTTGTTTGTACCTGGAAGTGACTAACCTTTTTTCATGACCGTATCGAATGAATAATGTTAAATTAACCCGAAATAGTTACCATTAATTAAATCAATTATTTTAATAATTATAAAGAAAAAAAATTTTTATAATTACATTCATAAATAATCATAAATAATTGTGCTAATTTTTCATTAGTGACAGCCGATAAATAATGTGGAGTCGCTGTACGATTTTTTTGGAGTACTCCGAAATTTAAAGATGTGTCAAAAATTTTAATAAAATATTTTGTATTAATTACGATTCGCAAAATCACTTTTTAGATTTATTTATTTTCTTTTTAATGTTATTTTTATATAAGTACTGAAATTTTTACAAATTTTATTGTTTGAATTTTGTGATTTTATCTAATATGAGATCTAACTTTTCAACTGAGTATTCATACCAATGATCAGGCGCCAACGTGAAACGTGGAACCTCTCGAATTCATCATGAATTTACAATAAATATTAAGTTTAGTAATTCTAAATTAATTGTAGTCGTGTAAAGCTTCAGTAATTTAGTTCTAGTAGTGAGTGAATGTTGTTGTGTTGTCAATTCTATACTTGGAGAAATGCCTCCACGAAAAAATAAGGGAGGCCTCCTTGCGAGAGTGAATTTTCCTCTTTATACCATTCAGATGTTGACAAGTAGACATGTCATCGTTGGAGGTGGTGGAGGTTCTTCAAAAACAGGAGTAGCTAATGGCTTTGTAAGAAAAATAATGAAGCAAGAATATTTGATGAATAAAAGTTTCACATAACCTCATTTTTTGACAATAATAAGTTTATAATAATTAATGTTTTTTAGGAAATCTTTGAATTGTCTCATGATGGTTGGAGTTTTGTGGCTGAAGAAGTCACAAGGCATGAGACAGGTCCAAGTGTTGTTATGAATTGTGCTGCATTCAATGATGGTAAAAGAACTTGGCTTGTAGCTGGTCAAGAAAGCCATTGCCAATTATATAACGTCATTCCAAGAGTACTTACTTTAGAGAATGGAGAAATCCAGTCTAAGACTGATAAAAGTACAGATGAAGATACACAGAGTAATGTTAGACAACGAAAATTGAATGAAAAAAATGTAACACCTGAGAACACTAAAGAAAAAGTACAGACAATACGAGAAGACAATTCTCATGTCATTCGTAAAAAACTCCAATTACTTCTTAAGCCTTCTACAAGCATACAAACTGATTTTAGGTTTGTACTTTCAGTATCATATTATATTATTATTTTTGAATAATGATTTTATCTGTTTAATCATTTATTTGGTAAATTATTTCTTATTTATTATCAATTTTTGTCGATAAACAGTTGATTAGCTAGTAATTTATATTGCGACTCCACGTTTGGTAATTAATTTTAATTGAAACTATTCGAATGGTTGCAAATAGTTCGTTAATTGACTTAACAAAAGCTTTAGAATTTCGCCATTAGATAAATTAACTAGAGTATTTCGAATATTTAATATATTTCTATATAACTGTTTAAAAAATTGCAGTGATTCTGAGCCACTTCAAAGAATAGTTAGAGTTAGTCCTAATGGAAAGGTAATGGCCACAGGAGGATTAGACGGAGTAATAAGGCTCTGGAAATTTCCTCAATTAGTAAAGCTTCATAATTTAGAAGGCCATACTAAGGAAATTGATGATATTGACTTCAATTTAAGTGGAAATTTGGTTGCTACTATTGCTAAAGATGGTCAAGCATTTGTATGGGATGTTACAAAAGGTGCAAAACATAAAGAGCTCTCATGGAATACTCCGGATGGAGCTAAATACATGTACAAAAGACTACGGTTTCGTATTCCACTTGAGAAGAAATCAAAAACAGAATTGTTTATGCTATCGAATGCAATTCTAGCAAAAAATCCAAGTTATCTTCAATTGTGGGATGTTGATCAGGGTTCTATTGTTAAGTCAGTAGAGTTTAAAGAAACTTTATCAGCAATGGCTGTATCAGATGATGGAAAATTTGTTGCCGTTGGAACAATGTTTTCTGGAACTGTTGATATTTTTATTGCATTCAGCCTACAACGTGCTCTTCATGTTCCTGGTGCTCACAGTATGTTTGTAACTGGGTTAGAATTTTTGCCTACTAAATTAGATGGTCCTGCTATCACAAGTAACTCAGAAACTGCTGTTGTTAGTATTTCAGTTGATAATAGGATTTGTATTCACAACATTCCTTTCAGACGTAAGTTTATTTCGACATTTATTCTATTTATAGTGCTGATAAGTTGTTCATTAGGCTTACCAGAAAGTCTCACATTATGGATATCGTTTTTAGTGCCCATATTTTGTGAGACCTGTTCAAAAATAAAATAAATGATACTTTTATAAGAATATTAATGGTAGAAAAATTGATTAAGTGATTTAAATTATTCCAGATTCATTGCCATTCTGGTTAGTCATCGTTTTCATCGTGTTAAGTATTTGTGGAGCACTTTTATTTTGTAGTTTTATGGGTATTTGACCCGAGTTATTTAATCCGAAATTAGCTAATGCATCTCTAATGGTTTATCAAATTTATTCTGTTAACTAAATCTTTATATGGACATTACCTTGCCAAAGGCAAATTAACCATCTCTGTGAGGCGATTATAATTCATTAAAGGTCCATATTTATGCCAGCAATATTAATTGCAATTTCATTTGAGTAACTCGATCAATTAAACAGCGGTATTTATAGTGTAATGAACAATGATAGATAAGTTTTTTGTAAATGGGAAAACAAGATTAACAATGATAAGATGTCCATTTATTCATCCAATTAAAAAAAAACCTGAACACATTTATAAATTCATGTTGATTTTAAAAATTATTAAATGAATGCCTGAAAAATTGTAACGATAAATTAATCAATTTATCGTCTAATGTAGCTAGAATATAACAAATTATATTTGTAGTTGATGGCATTTATTGCATTGTACTTCTTGTTATTGACTTTGAAAGTCAATTTGCTCACACATTTGTCAAAGTTGTTATCAATTAAGTTATGAAAAAAAAGTAAATTTATTTCTACATTATTTAGGGTTTGAAAATTGCTTTACAATAATTAGTTATTTATTTGTGAAATTGTTAAGCTTGTTTATTGTAGTGATTTTTATTTAAATCAAATTGTTTAATTCTAAGACAACACAGACACCATGCAACAATTTTATTAATTGACCATTTTAGTTAATAACAATTCAATCAAATTGTATATTAAATTGATACTATTATTAATATTATATTATAATTATTGTATCTAAAATAAATTAAATAATCATTAAAATGATATTCTATAAATATCTGAAATATATTTTATAGCCATTAGGGTTGGTTAAAAAAAAAGTTTTCGATATTTCTTTAATTTAAAAAATTGTTTATGAATCATAAAGTTTCGAAGATGCTTCTGCTCAAGGACTTTAGGATTAAGTAATTGCTTTTCTCGTTATAATTCGAAAAGGAATGCAGTTTTAAAATTAAAAGACTCCTAGATTATAACTGACATTTTTATGAGTACTCTTTCTCTGAATTAATTATTACACAATTTATTTAAAAAATTTTTTTTTATTAACTTCTTTTCACATTGAAGAATACTTCAAGCTCTCTTGTTTTATTTTAAGATAATACATTAATATGTTTAAAAAATAAACATGACTTACTTTCTAGTGAAAAAGTCTTAGCACTTAACGTGGCAATTACAAAATTAACAAAAATTTTTAATTCTTTTTTATTGTAGAAAAATAATTATTTTATTTTCTCATAATAATCGTCTAAATATAAAAGTTTTGTACTTGAAAATATTTAAAAAAATTCATTATATCACTCGTTATTCAAGTACATAATTCGTATGATTTTAACTATAGTCTATATAATTTATTTTAAAAAAAGATTCGGGCCACGTTATGCACCATCAAGATAAAAAAAATATTTTTTCGGTGGATATTTACAAATGGAAGTTTCTAGGATACTTTCATTAATCCGGCTACTTCACTGAGACCCGTTGTCTGGCAATGATTTATTTAAAAAATATTTTCATTAATTTTTATTTATTTTTTCACATTAAATCCATCACCAGTAGGGTCAAGAAGCCAAGGATAGTTGTTAGGGCATTCCATACAGGTGAAGAGACGAAGAGTTTCTCCTGGAAGTTCCCGAGTTGTTAGTGGACATGCGTTAGGGAGAGAACAGTAGGGTTGTCCTTTCTCATCACAAGTTTCTTTCCAGTCTTGGAAATCTCTCAATGCTGACAATTCGGTTGGAGTTTGCATCCATTTTATGACCTAAAAAACGAAAAAATCCCAACATAAATAATCAATAATAATTGTTGTCATTCACAAAAAATATTATTAACAAACCTGGACCATAGTAACGAAATAGACATCTTGTCTGCCCAACATTTCTTCAATAAATTTAATCAATTCTTCTTTGTATTCTTTTTTACTCTTAAGCCAAGAGGCATGGAAATGAAGACCAAGAGGTGCACGGTTGCTGTTGAAGTGGCGGTTGAAATTATGTCTAAGAAGCCGAGCGAATTGTTCTCCAGTTTGAACATTAGAGCAAGAATCAACCATGTGACAACCAGGAAGAGATTCATCGAAAGTTGGGTCATCACGTCGATCGAGTTCATTCATTACCATTTCCCAGACTGGATGAGATCTTGATGGGCAGTTTCCGCCGTTACCATTACACTTGTGAGGCATTCGGAAGTAGAGAGTATAAGGCCAGATAGGGACACGACCAAGAGAAGCAGTAATGGAAGCATCATAAACGAAAAATTGATCAGCCATCATCTCAAATTGTTTATTTCCACCAACTCTGAGATATGGAGCACGAACTCCAATGATCGATCCATCAGTGATGTTAGCAAATCGTTCAATTATTAATCGAGCTCCAGCCATTTCTGCAAGCCAATCATCATAGCTTCCTTGGCTCCAGTATTGTGGATCTTCTTTGTGTGTTAATGAGAAGACCGAAATTTCATGACCCTTTCTATGTAAATCTTGAACTGCCGAATAATTAGTATATTTATGAGAAACGAAAAATGTTCCACGAATTTGACATCCATTAGGATTTTGTCGTTGGCCATTGAAAATTTCTTCATAAAGGTCGATATTGTCAATGTTAACAGCACCGTTGAAGGTGATGGTAATCATCTGAGGTACTTGAGTTGCTTCAATGCCACCGGGAATTCGGGTACCATCAGCAGAACAGTAGCAATCAGGAAGAACACATTGAGTTGGATCACAGTCAGGTGCTCTGTTGGGATCAGTTTCCACAGCTGAAAATTGATATACCATTATAGAATTGCTTCACCAACTTTATTGAACTCTCACAAGACATGGAAAGAATTTTTTTATTATTTTGAAAAATTTTCTTCATTCACCAAATGTTCCAAAAAGCAAAATAAAATTTCTTCCTTTTTTATTGGAGTTTCAAATTTACTATAAAATTGTTGAAATACTTACTGCAAGCATTTTCATCAGACTCGTCTTTACAATCAGGTTTTCCGTTACAAAAAAGCTCTTTGTCCACACATTCTCCATTACCACAAGAAAGTTTACCTTCGGGACAAACTGGCTCGTCGGTTTTTAGAATTGGAAGAATCTTGCGTGGTTCTGTGAAAATTAAACATTTTCAAAAATTATAGTTACAATAAAAACCAACAAACTTTTCCAATTTCCTCTATCGTAGATTTCAAGACCCGTCTCCATACGCTTTATCCCCTTCTGTACACTACTTGAAAAAGCCTCTTCAGCTTTTTCTTATACTTTTCTACTTCGTGTATTTAATTAAAAACATTTGTAAAATTAATAAATTGATATGTGAGTGCGTGTGTGGTATTGTCCATTGTCTGAGTTTGAATCTACATGAAGAATAAAAAGTTGATTTTGATGAATGAGTAAGAAACTCTTTTTGGTATTTGTCAGATTTCTTTGATCTATTATGTTTTAATGATCATTCGTGACGCGTTCCCGGGTACTTTTCGTCGACTCACGACGACACTCGCGTTTAGAAAGATGAAAGAAAGCTTTTTGTTTAACTTTTTTGATTGATATTAAAAAGAAAAAGTTTTTTAATTTATTTCTTTAGTTTATTTTTTTAATGAACTTTGTAATTTCTCTTCTGATTACAGCATGATATAAACATAGAGCAAAACAGAGCGAGAAAAAGAGCAGAGTGATGAAAAATGTTTACGACTCGAGTCTGCTGCGAGTGTATAAAATAGAGAAAGAGTAAGTGATAAAATTTTAGATAAGACTTTTTATTCACAATATTTTTGAAAAAAATTATTTTAATAATTATAACAATCGATTGAAGATTTTTATTAATAATTAACTTAAATTATTCTGAAATATTTATTTATCTTTTAATGTTGATATATTTTTATTGATCAGGTATAGGAGTAGATAAAATATGGGTGTTAGATATTTACAGATTTATGTTTGTTAATTAGCACAATAACAAACCATAAATTTTAATTAGAAGCAAGGAATGAACAAGCAAAAAGAACCAAAAAGCTACAATATATTGAAGCTGTTAGTTCATATCAAACTAGTTCACAAAACAACAATATAAAATGAATATTGGTTATTAGAAAGCTAAAATATCCAGCAAATATAAAAAGCAAGTTTAAAGTAGAGTAACTTGAAAAAAGAATTCTCCTTCAAACTTCTTTTAAATTGTTTAAATAAAATTTTTTTTAAGTTACTCAACTTTGTAAAAAAAAAGAATGCGAGAACTTTTTGGCGTGCTACGGCGCGAGTCTACGATCGAGCCTGAATTTACTGATCCTCTGATCGAATTTAAATTTTCCTTTGAAAATGGGAAAATAAAAATACAAATCCAGAAGATAAAACATAAATCCGGCACTTCCCCGTGCGTCACTTACTCTCGAGCTTGTCACAGTTGGTGACCTTGCCCTTCCAATCACAGGTCTGTTTGTCCAAATCAAAAGCCAATCCACTGGGACACGTGATTTGCTTCAGTCCAGATCTTGTACACCTAAAGGGTCAAAAACGCATGGACTTAAGTCTTGATATAAAATAAATTATTCTTACTTTCAAGCTGATCACAATTCTTGACATGAGTTCTCCAGTCACACGTTTGCCTCTCGATGTCGAAGGCCAGACCTGTTGGACACTTGACTGTAGCTAGTCGGATGACTCCTATCTCACTAGCTTTATCACACCTGTATTATAATTTAGATACAGTTCTGGGATATTTTATATAATTTTTTCTAAAAGTCCTTTCTCGTATATCTTGCTCACATAAATCATTTTTATGCATAAATAGTAGATAAAAATAATTCTTGATTATAAAAAATGGAATAATTATTTTTACTTCTGATGTTATTGATCCCTCAGACTAAGTTGTGAAATAATCATTTCAAACAAGAAACTATAAATAAATTTTTACTATGTTTTATTAACAACTACGAATGTTAACTTGGTTCATTTTCAACGACAAACAAATAATTTTTGGTACAAAGAAATGGCACTCAACATCAAAGACTAGCATCAAAGCACTGGTAAATAAGTACAATATTTGAGATTTCAGTTTGAAAAAAAAAACAAAAATAAAAAAAGGAAAAAGTTGTTCAAGGACTCTTTCTGTTAAAAAGCTTCGAGCCTTTTCTTTTTCTGTTTTAAATTAAATACGTGTTTACTTGAGATCTCTTGATGGCCTTGAAAGAATAAAAATTTTATATTCTGGATGATTCACTAACCAGTTTGAAATAATTTTTTTTCTAAAAAGTGAAAACAAAATTTCCCTTGTTTTTTTTCTACCATGACTTTTAATTTAATTTTTAAACAACCATTTGAAACTAAACGAATACTTCAAAGTATCCAAAACCTCTAGGAGTTGATTGAAAGAAAGTCAAGTAAAATGTTTACATAAGTTTCCATAACAAATCAATATTATTATTATTGTTGGTAATAAAAATAGATGAAATTTTCTTACCTCACGACATCTCGGCAATCACCATCAGTACTTAGCCGGAAATATTCATCACCGGGTCTATTTTCACAGAGTTCTTCAGCATTAGGATCAGCTCCATCAGAACCTTCATCATCCTGTGCCTTCACTGAGACTGAAATACCAAATTATGAAACAAATAATTTATTAGCATGCAATTAATATGATTACAATGATAATTTTGCAATTCTTAATCGAAAAAAACGCAAGTTATTCAATTGCTAAAATGATAAAAGCATCAATTCTGGTTAAGACATGACTTCTAGGGTCACCGAACTCTCCTGTTGAAGTAGAAAGTCTTGTAAATGTCAGGCTATTCATCGGTAGGGGAAAGCATCAGTGGTTCTCTTAAGTAGGTTTCGTTAATGTCTAGTTCGATTTTCATTGCATTTTAAACATTTATATTCATTCATAAAACGTTTTATTACGTTCAATAAACAATAAAAAATATCCACGTTAAAATTACACGTTTCTTTCTGTTACTACTTTATAAAACATCAATTCTATCAATTCCGATCTCCTTGAAGACAAAATTATTCTTGAATACCGTGGAAAGAAACTTTAAAGTGAGAAGAAATACTTTTTGCGAGACGAAAGATATTTTAAAACGAAATTTAATATTTTACATGTCAATTTTACAAAAATAGAAGTTTGAGTAACTGAAAAATAAGATAAAAATACGACGAATAAATTTTAAAAAAATGTCAAGTACTCACCGGTTAATAATAAAAAGCATCCTAGAAGAAATATCAACTTTAGCGACATGATCTTCGTCGTCAGGACAGAAAACGTCTGAACAAGCCGCGCCCTCTCGCCCCTCTATAAGAGCTCTGCCACTCCTTCCCTCTTCTTTGACAGGACTTTCACCACCTGGATAGTGCTGCCATCGTCTTCAGGTGTGTTTGTCTACCGGTTATAGATTTGTTATAGATTTCTGAATCATTATAAAAGAGCCTATGAATATTTTTTGTCCACAATAAAGAGTTTTTTTCTGGGAAAATCATTCATAGCTACTTTTTCTCCAGCAAATCTCCAGTTTTTTGTTAAAAGTAATTGTTATCATTATTTATTGTTATAATTATTAATAAAGTACAAAGGCTTTGAACAAGTGTCTATGAGTAGTACTGATGATGAATCAATCTTTTATGTTCTTCTAGAAATAAATCGATTTTTCTTGAAGTTCTTGCTGCTCTTTGTTTCCTTTCTTTATCGATGGGCTTTTTGTGTGGTTTATTTATCTGTTAGGTCAACGATGATTAAATTATTTCAATTGACCTCGTCAGTTATTGATTGAATATATTCACATTAAATATATTTTTAATCAACTTCCTTAATCTACAGTAGAAGCTGATAAATCCCGGTTGTTTTCTAGAACAGGTGCATTAGCAAGAGTACTTGTGGCTTAGCAGAAGTTTGATGATAAATAAATTATCAACTGAATCAAGTATATATAATTACTAGGTCATTAGTGTAAAGTAAGAATTTCTATTTAGAAAACAAAATTATCTCTCAATAGAAATTGTTAAATAAAATACTTTCATTTTTTGAGAAATTCGAATCCTCTAATAATTATTAAATTTCATTTCTGAGAGAAAAAAAAACGAAGAATTACGTTCATTTCAACCTATAAAATTTCTTGGGAGAATGGATGAATATTTATTGCAGATTAGAAATCGATCAGTCATTTATTGTATTTAGCAACTAATAGTTTATCATTGGAATGATTTTTTAGACTAATTAACGTTTTTTTTTGATAACATATAACATTATACAATTTATAATTTCGCATAAATAAACATTTGTATTATTATATAATATTTCATATTATGTTATTAAATTTATTATTACAGTAATTGTAACATACAGTAGCATACATAAGGACTAAATTATAGTTACATTTATAACTAGATTTTAAATGATTAAATCATAAGATTTCTCAGAAAATAATGTACAGAATTATATAACTTTTTTCTTTACTTTTTTATTAATATTTATTAGGTATAAATTTCTTCCAATTAAGGATTAAATTCAATTCTAAATGTAGATTTATTGTCTTGTCATTTTTTAGTTCACAAAGAATTTTTATAATGTAAAAAAAAATGTTTAAAATATGGAAATAGCACTGGTATTATGTTAAGAAGCTTTGCAAAAGTATCTATTCTTAAAGTAAAAAAAATGCATTTAGAAATATGTGTAAAAAACTACATTTTACAAGCTTAAATCTTGATGCACCTAAAAAAATATGGTTGAGTTTTGTAGTAGTAAAAAATATGACTAGAGAATTGAAAAGAATGACAAAGCTTCCAGATATATTTCTGTTTCAATATAAACGCAAGGAAGCAAAGAAAACCTGTTTTTTGTTATTCGAATCTAGTGCCTTTGAATTTGTATTTTTTAACAAAGAGACTTTGATGAGGAGCAATGGAATTTTATTATTTTTAACAGAAGGATAAATTAAGCCTTTCACAATCTCTCTTTATTCATCATAATTATATTGCATATCCTTTATATTTCTATTGTTTGGAAAAAATTACTTCTCTGTTTCAACTCTTTTATTAAATTTTTTGTGATAATTAGTTTTTTCAACAAATGAAAACAAAAAATATATCATAGAGGGAAAGAACAGGTTGAAAGACTATTAACTAATTTAGAAATGATTATGAAAAGTGAAGTGTTTGATATTCGAATATTTTGAAAGTGGAAAAAAATTCATTCAAGATCCAGTTTGGGACAATTTCGTATTTTAGAATATAAATAAAAAAGAGATTAAACCGAAAAACCGGTTCAGAAAGCATATTCAAAATCTGGTCACGATTGAAAAGGTTTTCTAAGCATTTTGTCTCCTGAAAATAACAGTGATCCAAGCTAGTAGTTAAGAAAACAAGTAGTGACGCGACCAATTGAAGGTTCGGGTAAATGTCAATCGATAGTAGTTAACATCTGCAGGCTTTTAAAATGCTCCGACCACTCGGCGCCGATTTCAGATAAGGTACACTGACCTACACTCATCCTCACCTTTATTTTCTCTGATCTTTTTTCATTATTATATTTCTATTGTATTTAAAAATGGTAAAAAAATACCTTAAGCAACCCTAGATGATAGAAACAAAGTCGATAAATAAATCGAATAGTTATTATAGAAAGTATTAACAGATGTATTAACATGTAGGTTTATTGATGTTGATAGATTCACATGGTTTTCATCAGTTCCATCACTAAGAGATGTTTATCAGCAACGATTGATTCTCATTACCTCAATCTTGGATAATGTTGATTATGATGGAAGTTTTTATTTCTGAAAGTGATAATGTTGGGCTCATCTAGAGAACGTTGGACGATGAACTCTAGCAAGAGGACACGGTCAAGGTGACGAGCGGGTGTCGGGTATATTTGCAAAACAGGCGTATTGTGACTTCTTGATGCGTGTCCTCTTCCGCAACGCACAGTGAACAGAATGTAAATGCTAAGAAGTTTTACCTGATGTTTTTAATGAATAGCCAAATGATATATAAATTGCGTAGTGACCCAATTTTTCTAACAATGAGTCAACAACCTCAGGTTTTATATCAACCTGATTTAGTATATTCCTTTTAAAGTGATGAATAATTTACAATAAATTAGAAAGAAAGAAAAAAATAAGCCGAAAAATAAATAAAATTCATTAATTTATTTTGTTTTAACGAGTTTTTCATGTTAATTTTGATGATTTTTTCTTAATTCATGTGAGCTAGGATTTGTTGAGCTAGGTAGCAAGCACGCACACAACAACAACAACGTGGGAAGAAAAGAAAAGAGAAAGAAAAAAGAAACGTGACACTGGAAATAAATGGATATGCATCTTTTATACCTGCTATGCGCTGATGCATCGTTCCAAGTAGGCGCGTGTAATTATGCACATCTCGTATTTCGAAATGGCGCTCCCATCATTCGACCCACTACATAGTACAGAGTCTCTCTACGACACTCCTCAAGTCGAACCAACCACGCGACAGTGAACTTTTCACTCGAAAAATATGCTTCATCCTTATAAAAGTTACTTGAAAAATATTTTTTTTTCTCCTCTAAAGAAACTTTTTAATGGAAATCTCCGATAAACTTTTTTTTAATCCTTTCACAATCCTTGTCTGTTTGAGTGGACATTAAAATAAGCTTTATTCACATCAGCTTTTGTTTATTTCGTCAATTTTAAAGGTTTTTTTTCGATGAAACATTGTTGGATATTTTTTTTGTATGCATTGAAAATGCTTTGAATAGGCTGAGGAGTAGAATTTATTGAAAAATCATGGAGAAAATTTATGATTGGGGATATTTTTTGTTACTTTTAGAGAAAAAAAAACGTTGTTTTAATAGACAACAAAAAAAAATTATTCCTTTGTTAGAAGTATTTTCTGCTTTTGGATTGAAATAATTTTCTTTCCTTTCATTATTTATTAGAGCATTAATAATAAATACTTTGACAATTTTTACTCCAAAACTATTTCCTTTGTTTTTTTTTATAAAGACGTGATAAAAATATTTGGTATCATAGGTTGTCAATAAAACATTTTGAAAGCTTCCACAATGGTTTCACAACAATAATTAGAAAAAAAGTGAAACAAAAAAAAATATTATTAGCTTATCTATTTGTTTTTAGTAGTAGCTATATTGATCATGCAGTTTGTATACTGAATATTTCGCGCGTGCGTGTCTGAGAATGAAGATAAAAAGTAAAAGTGGTATTAAAAATAAAATACACAAGAAAATTTATATAAATAATTAACGAAAAAAAATGTAATAAAAAGGTATCACTAATGACGAAGGAGTTGCGACAGTTTAATCGAGGTAATAACGAAGAGAAGGAGTAGGAAGTTATGGTCTATGTCTACCGGTGGTTCACCTTCGACGCAATCTGCAAGCATTCCACGGCCTTCCGTTATTTCACCTGCACTTTGTGGTACTTAAACAAATTATCCTTATTTTTCTTTTTCCTTATCAGTGATGCTCATCACGAAAACCCAACTAAAGTTTCATTGTTTTTGATGAATTTAAAATTCTGTAATTTATTTGACATCGGATGTGAATAAAATTTCAAAAATTCAATTAATTGTTGAATAATCAGAATAAAAATGATCATTATTCAACCATTTAATACAGTTTCAAAAGGTTAATTAAATACAAAACTTCTTCATTCAACAAAATTTTTATCGATTTAGAAATTTACCAGAAATGAATAATAAAAATGTTTTATTTAAATTGCCAAAAATATTTGATTAGTGAAAGTGAGAATGATAATTATTTATTTAAGGAAAAACATTCTTTTGATAGAAATCCAGAATAAAAAGAGAAATATATAAAGTGATAATTTAGAGTATTTTCAATCGTAAATGAATCTTTGGATGAAAGTATATGTTTCTTGTACGTCAGTTGACCCGAATTTTTACCATACATCACCTTTCTAAATTAACCTTCAAGAGGAATATCGTCGTATCGAGTCGATTTCCAATTTCATCGTGAAACGTCTCGACTGCAATGGAAAGTTCGTCGAATGCTATGTTCGTTGTGGTCTTGTCGACACTGAGGTAGCTCGGTTACACGTGGTCTTTTGAAGTTTACTCGTTTATGTTGTTGCTCTTTCAAATTTATTCTCCTGTCTTTCTAAACATCAACATCTAACCATTGAAATATTACTTGAAGTATCATTAAAATGATTCCTTCAATCAATTCTCCCTTTCTCTAGCATAATAACAAATTAACATATCAAATTAATTCATTACTACATTCATATAATAAATATTTTTGATTTATATTAATTAATTAATAGTGTACAATAACAATTATTTAATACTAATAACAATGAATCAATAGTTTTCAATTACACGATATCATTTAATTTATATTTATTTCAATCATTGTAAGTTTCATAGACTCTTGCTAATAAATAATCCCACAATAGACCTTCCAAGTGTTATTTTGTAAAGGTAAACATATTTGTTTTGCGAAAGAGAAGTCACGGTGTCAAAAGTTATTGTAAATATCATATAATATAAAGTAGAAAATTTATTTTTAGAATAATGATATTTATTTTTACTTTAAAAAAAAATTTAACATAGAAATATTGTAATTTTCATGGAATTGAAAAATTAGCAATAAATTCTTTTATAGTGACCTTGTTTCTTGTCACTTTCACCCGTTGGCCGGCAACCACAGGGTCATATAAATTTTCTGGGTAAACCATGTTGCCTTCAAGACGATCGATCCATATTCTTTTTATATATAGTTTTCTTGATATTTTTTTTTCACTATTTTTTCTTCATTCGAATACCCGAATTGCTTTCGAGACTGACCTTGACCATGAGAAAAATTAATATCAACCATCGAAGATAAATTGCAGTTTCATGATTGCACTTTGATTTTGCGTACTAGTAGAAATCGTACGATTTGGTCGGACAATGCATTGACGCTTTTCCTGATTTTCTGCATTATTTTCTAATCGACCTTGTTCTCTACAGATGTCTTAATATTCCTTTTATTTATATCATGTTTAAAAAAAAAAGAAAACATTTATTACCTCATTTATTCTGCTCAGGAAAGATTAAACATAAAATATAAGGAAAGGAAAATGAATAAATTTCACCGAATTTGTTTACTCAGTAATAAAAGAGACAAAGAAGGTTTTATATCAAAGTAGATTTGGACCGAGTGTGGTACGACTTTTGCTTCGAACACCTCCGGATAACTTTCACTGTCAAACGTTATATGTCACGTAACACCAAGAGCCGAGGCCAGAGAGTAGAACAACTGGTCATGGCAGTACCACAAAGCGAGAAAGAAAGAGAGAGAGAAAGGACAGAAAAAAATGAATTCAATAAATAATTGATATTTTAAATAAAATATTGAAAAACTGATATACTAAATAAATGATAAAAATAAAATGAAATATAAAACTACAGTTTGAATAAAAAATTTAAAAATAGAGATACAAAACAAAATTAATTATATCACAAGCAGAAAGAGAATTGAATAAGAAACCAAAGTTTTCATCTGACTTCATCAATATACAATGAAAATTGTGGTATAAATAATGAAGCAACTAGATATTTAACAATTTAACATTTGATTACACTTGTACAGGTTTTACGATCAAAAAAGTCTAAATGGGGCGTGAAATTCGTGTTCAGAAAAAATAATAAAAATTTAATAGAAAACAAAGAGATGAAGTGAGAGAGTCTTTTACTGAACTAAATTATAGCCTACTGAGGTGTATAAATGACGTGTAAACTCAAACGAATGATTCATATCATTTCACATCTTTCATGAATTATTCCTTCTTCCCAAGTGCATTGATTACATTAACATCCTCAATGATTTTGCATTTAATCGATCATTAATATTCATTCTCTATCCTTTCGATTGCTTAGAAAAATTCATTTCTTCTTTAATAAATACGAATACTTATGCATAAACATTTTCTATTATTACAACAATAATTTACATTCATTTTTGCATTTCACTATTCATTAAGATTTACATCTAAAAATCAATTGTAGATTTTTTATAAATAGAAGTTTAGTAAATCTCATCAAGGTTGTTCCTAGCTATAAATCAAATTAGAAATAAAGTATTTCTTTTTTTTTATTTCTCAACTAATGTTGTTGTTGTTGTTATGTAGTAAATTATTTAAATATCTAAAATCAATTTACTGATAGTTTTCCAACTTTGTTATATAGTTTTAAAATGTAGATGTAGATTCCTTTTGACCTTTAACATCAAGGATAATGCACATTAAATTGCTCTTTATCCGGAAGAAAATTATTCTTGCATCGAATGCTTGATGGATCGATCAAACACATTTCCATTTAGAACAAAAGTACTTTGGAATGTTGTAGTGTAGGTGCCTTCAGAGGGTGTGGTTAAAACTGAAAAAAAATGTCAAAGAAAGAAAGACTGGTCTCTGTTAATCTCACTAACAATAGGAGTCAAGAATGTTGAGAGTCATTTCAAGCAACACATTTTACACCAAAGAAACCAACTTGTCGCGAAATTACTTTCTTTTTCTTCTTCACTTCGATTTGACCTTTAATGGTCATTGTGGAGAAAAAAACTCAAGTTTACTCTGAAGACAAATAAGGAAGTAAAGAAATGACTCACTTTAATTTAGTACTGTTCCGCTTTGATATTCTATAGTTTTTCTAACCACTCCTTCCATTGATATTCCACTGCGTTAAGTTCATATTTTGTGGTTATAAATTATCTAAATAAAAAAAAAAGAACAAAAGAATAGAGAGAAAATTTGTGGTTATAGTTTAATTACATATCTAAATTGTTTTCGTTAAATCATCATAATAGTAACCTTCTTTTTTTAGAGAAGCATAGGTTCAATAGATTTTATTTATTCATGAACTTCGTTGATTAACTTATTTAAAGTATTATCAAAGCAATCTAATAAACACTCCAACTGGTAAAAGTATAATTAGTAACAATTAGTGGTTACAATTAATTAAATTCTCCATCAGTGTGGTAAAATACATAAATTTTCAATTAAACTTTCAATTTTGATTTTGTTAGGAATTATTAAATCAGTTTCTTCAAACTTTTTTATCATCTTGAGAACAATGGAACCACAAGGAAAATTACATCAACATCTCTTTACCAACTTTTAAACTGAGTTAAAAATGATGGACAAATAGAAACACTTATAAATGGTAATAATTTGATAAAAAATATAACTTAATTTTTTTCAATGACTACTGGAATTTAATTAAAAAGTTTTAATCTAATTAAAGGATAATTCATTTGAAATTAATAAAAAATGTCACTATTGGAAAAGTGTCTGCTGGGATCCATAGTTATATTTGTAATTTTTGCTAACTGTGATGATCCAACTCCAATAATTCTTATGATATTATTCGTGTCTGTAATTATTCTTGAATTTTAATTTCCTCTTCCTGAAGCTGAATTAAAAAAGTTTTGATAGAAATACCTAGTAATTATGTAATATCAAATGCAAAAAAAATAAATAAAGAATAACAAATTTGGTCAAAACATCAAAGTTAATTAAATCTTTGTTTAATTTTGTTAAAAGGTAGGAGTCTAGTGAATAGAGAAAATGTCTATTGCACACACTTCACAATGTTATCACCGATAATTAACTTAACTTACTAGAGATTAAACTCACAATCAGTGAAGCATAACGAGAGCACTGTAACTCTAGAAGTATTTATGTTCACTTGATGTCGACGTAATAATTAACAACTGGTAAGATGAACATCAGGAGTTTTTCTAGACTATGTTATTTATTTCCTCTCATTAAATCTATACCAACTGATATCCATGAGAAGGATTGTGATCGAATATATCCTATTCTAGCTTAAAGAAGAATTGATTCATCAATCATTTAGCAATTAATTAAAATTTTTAATTTATTCCAATCTCTTCTATACTATTCAGGATGATAGGAATAGGTTGATAGAAATGAATAGAGAGACTTTTTATTGGAGAAGTTTTAATGAACTATCTATTCTCACAGTGATACATTGAAGATAAGTTGAGGTGATTCATAAAAAGTCACTTAAAATATCCAATAACAAGATGATGTTGAATTGAGCAGCAGACTCACTTTTCAAATGCAGACACAAGTAATGAAAAGAGAGTGAATTTTAAGTAGCACTGTTGTGTTGTTTATTTGTCACCTACTGACCTAATAACTAAAAGCTAATTTCACCTGTTTCCGTGTTTAATTCATCACTAAATGTAGGTAGAAATTTCGTAGGAGGATAATAACAAGTGTGTCTTTAAATATATCCCATTTTCTATTTCTTTTATTTTTATTGCTTTCATATAATTATCATGATATGAATTTTCGTGTCAAGGGAAAGTTGAAGAACACTATTTATCGTCGCTAAATCTAGAACAATACAGAACAAGGTACCACCAAGAGAAATTTGATTGAATGATAAATGAAAAATCTTATGTTGGGTGTTAACTTAACAATAGGTGTGGTGTTGATATTCTTAATAAATTTATTATAAAGTGTCATGCTAATACATGCTGACCTTACTCGAGTATTTGTCAGAGAGGAGATGTCGAAGAAGTTGGTTAAGAAACTTAACCAAGTATCGGCCTTGCGGTTTTAACTTCAATGGTGTCTCTATCCTACGCTTTCACTACTTTCGCTTACGAGGGATTTTAAAGGAGTTGCTATCTCTTTCGATCATTAATTCCTTCCTTATACTTGATGATCTTGTTTGAGAACGTTGAAAGCAGATGACCTTCTTCTTTTCTATTAAACTTCAAATTTATTCAACCCTTCAGAAACTTTCAAACATTTACTCTAATGAGAACATACACTTTTTTCAAACTTTCTGGATTACGCTATTAAAATCTCATTCTCGTAGAAAATTTTATAATTATATTTGTATTAATGTTATCAGTGATCATTCATGGAGTAATAAATTTAAATTAGTTTGAATTTTATGATTATTTTGTTAAGATTAAATGTATCTATGTCTGAAGGAAAATTTTTAAAATAAATAATTTATTCGAGAGCTTGTTTTATCTAGTTACATTAATTTTAATCAGGAAAAAGTCGAGTCTTGAATTTTGGAAATTATTTTAAACCAGATAAAAGTCTAATAATGTTAGTTTATAATGAAAAAGTTGATGAGAGAAATTTGAACAATTAGGAAAATTTCAATTTCATCAACATTAATTTGCTGAGTTATTAATTCACATTTAATTTTCATTACATTGTTCATTATTTTTATTATCATCATTTTTTTTCATCATCCTTCCACTTACTATAACTCATCAAGTTTCTTCATTATCGGCAAAATATGAATATCAGAATTTTTTCCAACCATTATCGTGCTGCACGATTACAAAAACATCCAAGCGACATATACCCATGTATTTACAGACTTTATGAAAGCATTCAGAATTCATGATTGCAGGAGAGACATTGGAATGCAATCGTGTCGGCCCATTGGCATTTGACGTGGCAGTCGGCTTTCAATATTTTTTCATTTTTTTTCTACGAAGACGTTGTAACTCCTTGAGTATTGCGAACAAGAAAATAACGGTACACTTAGTAGTCATCTTCATATTGTTGATCATTAAAATTTCTACAATATTCAACACTTGTAATTTAACTGAAACGTATATTTTCATCAGTGAAAAAAATGAATGAAATTCTTGATACAAAATTATAATTAGTGGTTGCAATTTCACCTCGTCATTCCTGCCCTCCTTCACCTCTTTTTCCACGTCTCACTTACTTGACAATCCGTGGCCTTGATCTTAATTCATTGCCCGAAGAGGACGTGCACCCTCGACTTCTCTCCCTCACAATTTTTTATATTCTGCGTATATACGCGATCTCTCGTTTATGACCTCGACTCACGGCACATATTACTGACCAATTGAAGCAGCAAACCAATGCTGCACAGAAATCTAATGAAATATCAAATTAATTTATATTATTTCGCTCGTACTGATAATTCAAGAGAGATTTTATCATTTTAGTTTCTGTGCTCATGTTTATTAAATTATAATAAAATCAGCTTTTAACAAATAATATAATTATTAAATTCATAGAATCATTTAAATTGAATTTATTTGAAATAGGAGTTAGGTAATGAAAATTATTACGAAATTTATTTTTATTAATTATTCTTAGAAAAGTATGGAATAAAAATATTCAGGAGGTATCAATAAAAACACATGGAATTATAATGTTTTACTAAAGAATTTATTTTGATATTCAATTATAGTTACGAAAAGAAGAAGATATCACTTAGTTTTTTGTTTTTTTTTATAAATTTACATACACATGTAACATAATTATTAATAATTATATGAACAACCCTTAGAAAAATAAGGACGTTCTTCAGGAGCTTTTGGTGGATTGCTTAGGGATACAGAGAACAGAATAAAAAATAAAGATGTCGAAGAAGTAAGAAAAATAAAAAAAAATTAAAAATAGAAAACAAAAAAAAAACATAGAAATAAGATGGGAAAAAATTGTCATATCTATATTACAAATGTCTTTGCGGTTTTATTTGCTCGCTTGAAAGGAAGCAATAAAAGTTAGATTTTTTTTTTCACTTATTTCTTTTTCTCTTTCTCTCCCTCCCTTTCATTCTATTATTCATATTTATCATTATTTACTTTGAAGTTTCTTATAACTCCAGGATTATAAGACCTAGTTCCCAAAAATCATGATAAAATTATATTTCAGTACCAAAAAAGCATGTTTCGCATTTTAATATGATTTTTTGGGCACTGGAGATCACGTAGATCACTAGACTCTTTCGCATTCTCTGCAGGTGTATAAATTCTTGCACAGACTGCTAAAAAAACTTTAGCAACATGTCTTCGTGCAAGTCAAGGGTCAAGGTAGTAAGTGACTTGATGATTTATTAGTTATATTTAAAAGAAACCGTCACCAGTTGGGTCATTTAACCAAGGATAATTATTGGGACATCGTACACATGTTTGGAGATTGATTGTTTCCCCAGGTACTTCTTTAGATGTTAATTTACATGTATGTGGAACCCAACATGCTGGTGGTCCATCAACAACACATTTTTCCCTCCAAGATTCAAAGTTCTTTGACTCGGTGACTGTACGTGGGTTTTGGATCCATTGAATTACTTGAGTCATTGTGACGAAATAAACATCATTGTGGTTAGCGAGAATTTCATCAATCCAATAGAGAAAAGCATCAAGGAACTCGGGATTATTTTTCAACCAAGCTGCATGGAAGTAAAGTCCAAGTGGTGCACGATTTTGTTCATAATGACGTTCGAAGTTGTGGTTTAAGAAATTATAGAATTGGTCTCCAGTTAGAATATTACTGCAGGAATCAACCATAGCACAGCCAGGCAAGTATTCATCATTCTGAGGGTCTTCTCTGCGGTCCAACTCATTCATTACCATCTCCCAAACAGCATGAGACCTTTTAATTGGAAGTTTATTGATTAGCATCAATTTAATTTATTTATTTGATTATTCTAGATTGTTCATGTTGATGAGTTGGTTAGTTAGTTGGTTAATTCATTAATTAATTGTACTGGTGGGTTTACTTACCGGGTTGGACAATGTTGAAGATTTCCATGGCAACGATGAGGCATTCTGAAATACATCGTATATGGCCATAGTGGAGGATTATTAAGTGCTGCAGTAATTGTTGAGTCATAAAGGAAAGCTTGCTCTTCCATCATAGTGAATTGATTATTTCCACCGACTCGTAGATAAGGCGCTCTCACACCAACGACACTATTATCCGTCAAGTTGGCATACTTCTCTGCGATGATTCTCATTCCAGCCATTTCTTTTGCCCAATCATCAACTGTCGCTTGAGACCAGAATCGTTCATCATCGTTATGCCTTTAAGAGAAAAGCATTATTAATCATGAGAAATTTATTATTCTTTTGTTCGTTAGAAAAAGTATTAATAAAATGGTAATTAGGAATTCATGATACTCACGAGATTGAGTGAACGGCAATTTCATGACCTTTTCGATGCATTTCCTGAACTGCTGAGTAATTGGTATATTTGTGAGATACAAAGAAGGTGGCCTTGATGTCACAGCCGTTAGGATTTTTACGTTTTCCATTGAAGATTTCTTTGTAAAGTCCAATGTTGTTGTTGTTGATGGCATCATCGAAAGTTATTGTAACCATTTGTGGAACATCTTTTGGCGGAAGGTCTCCAGGAATTAATGTACCATCTTCAGAACAGAAACAATCAGGGAGGGAGCAAACTGCTGGATCACAAGGTGGTGCTCTATTTGGATCATTATCCATGTCTATAAATTAAGAAAAAAATAATTACTCTATAACGTACAGCAAATTTTCATACAATTAATGATGGTTTTTTTTCGTCAATTTATTTAAAGTTTTTCATGCTAAAATTCTTTTAAATTTTTTTTTAATACTTGAAGGCTATTAGTATTTTAATAAAATTTACCGCAAACATTTTCATCGGATCCATCAGCACAATCTTTTTCTCCATTACAGAAGAGTCCCCGTTCAATACAAGAACTATCGCCGCAAGCTAAAGAGCCATCAGGACAAAGTGGTTCTTCAGTATAGAGCAGAGGTTTAGCCTTTCTTTCCTTGTTTTTGAGCTTGCAATTATTGACTGAATCCTTCCAGTCGCATGTCTGCTTATCGATGTCAAAGTAAAGCCCAGCTGGACATCTTATAGCTTGCAATCCTGAGCTTGTACATTGAATTACATCTCGACAATTATCACCCTCACCAGCGACAAGTCTGAACCATTCGCCTGCGTCCTTGTCCTTGCATATTTCATTCTCGAAGCTTTCTTCCTTTTTCTCCTCTTGTCTCTTTACTCGGATGTTCTCACTCTCTGAAAAACGTTTTTAACATTCTCGATAACAAAAAATTAAAATAATTATTTAAAAAATGTGAATAATGATTTTTTTTAAAATAATTGTCACATATGTTGGATTTTTTGCCACGCATGCCTTAGGTTATGGCGAGACGGCGAAAGTTTCTCCCATTTTAGACTCGCCTGAAGCAGGCAATGACGTCAAGTTAGCAAGAGAGAGATCTAGTCCTGGGCTTTCACGTTCTAATCTCTTATGCAACTTCTGTTGCGCTTATGCACTCGTCGTTAAACCGACTTCATAACGATAAAAATTCATCAACTATTCCCAAATCTATTGTAAAAAATTATTTATTTAAATAATAATTCATAAATAGCTTGAGAAATTGAGAGTAAGTGTGAACGACGTGTAAATGAAAACCGGTTTTATCTCGCGGTAGATTAACATAAATCTTGATCAGGGAAATTAAGATTCAATTTAGACGAAAAGAAAATCCAGAAGTTTCTGCCTTTCTCCATCAAATATTTCAACTTGTTATTTATTTCATCATTATTTCTATCAAATCTTCTTCTTCAATGACTTCACTTGATTGATAATTATCAAAAAAAATAAAAATAAACTAAATCGTAATTAAACGTAAGTTAAAATTAATCAAACGATTGATGAAAATAAAAAAAAACTTACGAGCAAAAGAAACCGCTACAAGTAGCAAAATCACCAGTGATGAATTCATCATCCTCGTGACTATTGTTTAGCCGTAAAACGGCAAAGGTGTTTCACTATTTTATAGATCGATTGGTTAAATCATAAAATAAGCTGACTACTAAGAGACTACGACGTGTCACTGTTTCCGTTTTTCTCGAGCTACCGCCTTCGCTGGCTCTTTTATTGAACTTCCAGCGATCGGTGAAGATGGTGGTGGTGGTTGATGAAGAAAGGTGACTAAGATGTGGAAGAGAGAAGAGTTGAATGAAAAAAAGAAAGTAGACAAACAGACTTTTTTTCAAACGCACTGATTGAAGGTAATATTTTAAGACATTCACGAATGAATTTAAATATAATTAAAATATCTTAGTGAATATTTTTTTACAATGTTCAATTAATATTTTTTATGTTTAATAACACTTTAGAGTGGGGCGCGGACCTTGGATTGTAGGTACCGCTTATGAACTGGCCGAGCAGCGCCACTCACTGGGCCTTATATTGCCACCACCACCTTCATCATGTTCTGAGGGGTCTGCGAGGTGTTCCTGGAGCCTCTCTCGATCAAATAAATGTCCAAGACACTCCACTGCCTCTTTTTGTTCATAAACCAGTTGATTTTTTATTTTATTTATTAACCCTTCAGTGATTTTGATAACTAATTTGCTTCATTTATTCTGATAACTTTTTTCCACTGATGATGAATATCATTTATTCTCTCCTGATGTCATTTCATAATGAAGTAATTTATTTTTAGATCTATCTAGAGAATTTATTAATTATTTGATTATTCATTAAGGTGGAGGTGGATATTTTCTATGTCTTACATTGAATAAACAAGTTGGTTGATGGCGCCATTATCTTCTTATAAAGTCAGAGAGAGGTCTGAATAGGACCACAGAGAGCTGGAACCCACTGAGCCACCATCATCATATGATTCGATAATTTGAAACTCTTCTTCGTCATCAATTATATTCACTCGTCTGGAGCAAATTTTGAATTTCGTCATGTTTATCATTTAATGAATGATTTATTACCAATAATCTGCATAGTGGTGCTTCGTCCTCTGCTACTTGTAATTCTTTTTTTCTTTTGCAGAATTCCTAAAGGTCATTTCGTAATCCAACATTTTATTCCTTTAATGCAGAAAAAATTATTCAAAAGTTTTTAAAAGTAGTATTGTAAAATCAAAGTTATTATCTCTATTGTAATATCATCATTATAATTATCATCACCATTTGTCCTATTAATTTAATTAAATTTCTAGATGCTACTTAATTAAGCACATATTGAAACCTGCGACTTGTAAATTGATTCAAAATTCAGTTTCAATTAAATTAAATTAATTATTTCTTTGGTGAATGTGAGTTAATGTTGATTCAACAGTAAAAATATGTAATAATGAAATTGAAACTGAAAGAAAAAAGAAAGGAAGAGTTGGAGTATTGATGAGTTGATGAAATATTTAATCATGTTAAATTGATGAATTTATTGAACTGAATGGAGACTTTGATGACACAGGTACAGACAAATTGTGTAAAGTTGAATAAAAAATCTTTGTTCATGTTGGAATAATAATAAAAATATGAAGAATATCGATACTCAGACCTTTGAATCATGAACTTTTAGCTTCTTTCCCTGAACTTTCCAGTTCGAGAGATCGAAGCTTCTAAAGGTAACAATAATGAAGAGTTTTATTTGATGCATCCATTGAAGATGCGACATTTACGTTCACAATGAGAATGTCGGTATGTACTGAGACCTTTTATTAACTACTGCTATTATCCCGTTATCACATGTTTTCATCGTGCTCATGTAATCGAACTTAATCGTCATCATTCATTATGACAAACTCTCTCTCTGATCCTCATTGTTAATAAAGATACCATTAATAATAATACCGTTTACGTCATTGATATAAATCAAATCTGATGTAAAGAATGAAAATTAAATTTTTAAAAATCATAAAAGTAATCAATCAAACCAAGTATCTAATACTTATTGAAATAAATAAAAGAAAAGTGTTCAAACATAATTGGGTCTTTTTATAGAGAAGTTATAGAGCTTGGATTGTAAGCTGTCTGGAGTAAGCATATAAATTGTCAATTCCCCTGCAACATGGCAATTTCATAAATCAAGAATCATGTTCTCTAGGGATTATTTAGTAGAAGCTTTTTAATACTTTATTACATCTCAATAAAACTTTAGTAATAATTCCATTACATTAGAAACTAAATCATCAAGTTCAATTATTTATTTAAGGCATTTATTTATTCATTTGAAGTATTGATAATATTAATTAATCACTTAAATATTAATGATGATCATAAACTAAATGTTAATTTAATGCTGGAATGATAATTAAATTGAAATTTGTTGAAGTGAAAGGTTTTTTCATAGAAGATGAAGCTGTCACCAGGAATCTTCGTTTTGAATAATTTCAGACATTGTACGCCATCTTTAGGTACATCGATCGTTTAGAAGGAAGATCAATATCAACAGGTTCAAAATTGATTTTAGATCTAAATGTTATCTAAAGGAAATATATTTATCGCGAAAAGGTTATGTAGGAAATTTAAATATTAATAACTTTTGAATCAATGTATAATAAATACTTTTTTTTATTATTTTATTTTTAAAAAGCTTTTCTAAAATAAGAGATCCAGTTAATCTCGAACTTCATCTAGGTTATTTTCTTTCTTGTTAAAAAAAGATAATTGTCAGTTCATGAGAATTTTTTTTCATCCTTCTGAATTACTGGTAACCTTTAAATTAAAAATCCTCTACACTTCAATTACCATTCTTTCTTTTCTCATTTTTTTCTAATAAAAAGCTTCAGATCCGAAAGCAGTATATTGTTTTCCTCCAACCATTTTTCTATCCACTTTCAATCTTTTCCACCTTTAAACCTGGATTGTTTTTACGTCATTTTCTCCCCTCGGTCGACTAATTTACGCTCACTTATACGCCTCTGCATCATACATAAGACATTTTTAGAATTTATTAGATTTCAAAACTGACGTCACTAATTTTTTTCTGATTATTAACACACGTCATCAATATTTATCTCTTTATTTAAAACTTTTTTTTATATAAAATTGTAATGGAACTAGGTCTTTCAACATGTGGTATATTTTTCCTATCCTGTATCAAATCCCAGAATATTCCAGCTCAGGATCATATTCCCAGGATAACAAGTCTGGTCACATTTACCCTTAATGGTTTTTCCAATTAAGTCTATTTTATTTCTCTTTTTCTATCTCATCAAAATCAACCAGACATTTCTATGGATATTTTTATTAATACTAACATTTATTTATAAATTTTATTGTGATAAATTGAGCAATAAAATAATTTATAATGCACCCATGCAATAGAAATAAAATATACGATGCATAAATATATGTTGCAGAAGTGTATCTTATCTGGAAATATAAAAATTGGATATTCAAGTTATTGATAGTCCCATGAGCATGAAGATATACGATTAATTTGTATAAATGTCAAGTCTCAAGAGAGCTAATAAATTTCGATCACCTATCACGTATGACCGTGTCAAGTCATTGTAGAAACAGACTGATACCTCGAGGGGAAAAATAAGCGCAACAGGGTTTGAGATATATGTATATAAACGTGTTGCTAAAAAAAGCTTTCAGCTCTACAATTGCGATACACGATGGCAATAAATGCATGCCTTGCACAATTGCCAGGCACAATTCAGTGCTCTGACCTCGTCCTTTATGGTTATTTCTATTATACTGTTATCCCTCTTCAACTAACCGTGTATCATTAAATGTGAAAAACATTATATGATGAACCCACTCATATTGAATGAGCTAATAAAACAACTCACAAATTATTTATTTTACTCTTTTATTTATCATTATGTTCAACAGCTCTTGTATTCTATAACAATACTATTAATTCCACACCGTTTAATAATTATGAACATTAATGAAAATAAATACGATCATTTTCTATTTTGTTATTACAAGGTTTTGTCATGTTAATAACAAAAAATGATATTGTTTAATCGATTAATAATAAAGCATTCTTTTTTTAATTCAACATAAGTGGTGATAATATAAAATAATTATAATAATCATAAAAAAACTGAATAATGATAAAAATTTTCATGTTAAGTAAAGATAAAAATGTTAAAATACCATAAAGTATCATGCTAATATAATTATATGATGACATAAAATTAAAAAATTAGTAATTAGAAAATATTTTTTTGTTTCATTTTAATAAATTATTAAGTAGGGTAAAAGTTTATATGCCACAAAATAACTAGGTTTATGTATAGCTGTAGCTATTTTTTTTTCTAAAACTTTTAACTGGAATACATTTTTTATTTTGACATAAAAAATATTTTATGTTAAAGTTATCAATGCCACAATGAGTAAATGTCTATTTTATTATAAGTTCAGACGGTGAAGAAAATTATTGATCAATTTCTTATCTTCCAATCGTTCCCGGACAATTTAGTAAATTTAGATGATGTCTTGCGCGAGTAAGTGGTCAAGGTCATGGATGTATTTTATCAAGATTCTAGAGCAGAGACAGGGAATAAGCGTGGCAAGCCCATGGAGGTGGGTTGTTTGATGATCACTATGCCAGTCAGCAGCAGCAATTTCTGCAGATCAGGGGGAGACATTGGAATATGACCGGCAAGTAGCTCTAGATCAGGGTAAATTCGTGAAGAAAGAATGCTTTGGTATATATGTGACCTTGACCTACAGGATAGTTCGCGCGCCGGCGTCGCGCCCTCAGTATTCCTCTCTTTCTGTCTTGCACCCACTTTCTCGCATCCCCTTTCTGGTCTGGCGAGTTGCCCGATACTTTGGCTTTCTCCGCGTGCTCGTTGACGACGCCGCCGCGTTTCGGAACAAACTGAAACCCCCAGAGCTTTCCAACCCTTGCTGACACATTAAAAGGGTGGAAGGGGTGACCGTACGTTGCTGAATAAGGTTGGGTCCCCTGGATACGTTCCCGAGACGCTTCGCGTACAGTTTCTCCTCACTCTCAGTTGACCGCGAGTTCTCACGATCGTGACACTTTTGATTCGTAATTTATGCTAAGTGGCAACTTGTTTCTCGTTCTTTATGAACTGATTGACGAAAAAACAATTATTATTGTATAATTAATTTTTTTAAAATAAAACTTCCGAATAGAAATCATCAAAAGTCATTTGTTTTAGTGGTAAATATTTTAGAAATGTTTCAAGTGTTTGTTTTTAATTTTTAAGTTGATTCATTTTTAACAAGAAATGTTATTTTGACAATTTATTATTTATTTTTTTTTTCCATAAATTTTGTGTTAAGATAAATTTTTTGATAATTTTCTTTTAAGGTATTGCTTATCTTGGAGATGAATTTAATTTTTAGTCTTTTAAAGTTATAAATAAGCTGTGAATTTTGTGTTCACCATTTTAATTTTACAAAATTGTTTTTAATTGTATTAAAATTTTTCATTTTGTTAGAAAGTTTTTAATTTAATTATAACTCCAAGAAACCGTGTAAAACAAAATTTAATATATTTTATTTAGTACAGAATAAAGAAAAACTTTTATAAAATATAAATTCAACACACTCGAGACTTTTGTCTCGATGGGAAAGTTCTTCTTCTTTCCTGCCATGAGTCTCTCGTTGGAGATATGCAGGTGAGTTTTTTTGAATTTCTTTAAATTATTAAAAAAACGATCTTCATTTTCTTTTATATAAATATTCTTTATTATTTATTAAAAATCTTTTCTAACATTCTCCAACATGTTACTAACATCAATGTCAATTTATTTTCAACACGTATTCTAAAAGAGGAGAACAAATGCCAACCAAATCATAATTGAATATCACTAGAATTATTCAGAGCATTCTTATCACATGAAAATTCATCATTTGTATCTTATAATTAAACTCTGGACAACCCGGATCTAATTTAACATGCGTAACTTTTTTTCAAATAAATCAAATTGACATTAGAAACTTTGAGGATTAACGATCATAATTTATCACCTGGTTTTAAGGTAACAAAATCCCATGAGGATAAGATTTCTCTGCAAAACTTTTTGCCAACTTAAATCGAATTTCTAGCACACTTTCAAAAGATCAGAATCCCAGAAACCAACAACACTTATTAGAAAAGAAACACAAGTTTTTTAAAAATCAAATATTAGTTGTGTAAATGATTCAATAACATTCTAGTAATTTCAAATAATTCCCTGACATTAAAAACTTATCTTTTCCGAGTAACATGCAAGTTGTTCTCAAGAAATTTGGCCACCAGCCAATATGAACAAGGGGAAAAATTCTAATGGCATTAACAAAAAGATTGACATTGAGAAGTTTAAAAGAAATAGTAATACAAGAAACTTGCGTGACTCGTCAAGAATCACTAGCTTGTTTAAATCGATTTCAACCGCCTGAACCATCGTGTTCAAGGCCTGGATTAAGTCGCAAATGAAAAGAAAAGACACAGCTTTAGTCAATGAACTCTATTTGTTATTAAACCTAATTGAATTTTCCATCCAATTAATTTAATATTTTCTTCCATATTGTCAGTAAAATAATCTACGAAGCAAAAGTCATTTTCTTATAACTTATTTATTACATCAAAATAATTGAAAAGTTAACTTCTTCAATTAAATAATCTTCTTAATAAATAATCAGTAACTTATTGATTTTATTCTTTAAAATGTCTATCTATGAATAGATAAATGATTTATTCTCTCGGCCTTGTACTTCACACTTGTTGCTCTCAAGAGTGAAGAAGAAAATGAAATTGAAATGGCAAGAAGAGACTCAGAAAAGAAATTCTACGATAAAAGGAATGTTACAATAAATTTTATTAGTATATTCTTGTTCATTTCTTTGTTCTTAGTTTATGGATATTGTGCTTTTGTGCATTTGAATTGAAAAGAAAAAAAAATAAAATTATTTCGAGTTCACTAGTCACCGATGCAATTTAAAATGTAGAACAGTCCTAAAGTAACTATCGATTCTTTCTCTGAAAGTCGTATACGGCTATCTAAAGATAATATCTGTGAAATGCGAAACTCCTTTATGAGTTTCTCGAAGGAATCTTGAGTACTTCAATACTTGTACAATGGGAATTTCATTATAAATCCTTAAGTAATTATGTCAAGGTTATATTTTGCACTTTTACTGACAATTTTCAAAATTTGCGTGCATTATTTGTCATTATATTTTGCTTTGATGAAATTGTCAATAGCTTCTTTTCATGTAAATAAAAAGAATGTTTTATTTTAAAAAGGTCACATTTGAAATAAAAATAATAATAATTTATATTTTTTTAAATCTTTAATAAAAAATACATTTTAAATATAAAATAACATTAAATAATCTACACAGGTCACACATTTATTATTTTTCCCTATTGCAATTTTCATCTGATGCTTTTTGCTCTATAGATATACCATTTTCATTGCTAAGTTATTTACATTTTCCCTTGTTTTTGGAAACTGGCCAAATTTTTAAAGTAATCTTTTGCAAAATTTCCCAAAGATTTATTTTTAATAAGTAAATAATCCCACTTGAAATGTATCTACACTATGAACAGTGCACTCTCACTAGTAGTATTTTATAAATGTAAACATCAACAATTGATCTCATGAGAGAGATAGAAAAAGATATAGATGATAATAAAAGCCTAGCGAAACGCGATAGGATTAAAGGTCCAATGTCATGGATAGATAGGATCAATATTGCAGTTTTTTAATATTAAATCCCGTTAAATATCTACCAGAGTGTTCAATAACTCAGTATTTAGCAAATAAAATTTTATGACATTTTTTTTTGCAGAAACCTTTAAGAGAGCTAAGCCGGCTGTGCTTAGGTACTAGTGGTCAAAATAATGCAGTAGTTGTTACAGCAGATGTTTGTACTGAACCACCAAGTGGTTTACCATTACTCCAAGTATGGCCAAGCGAATCACCCAGAGGCGAAGGGGATGGGCAAGCCTTCATCTTCCCAGATACTCATCAGGACAGCATCAACGACAGTGGCATAGAATCTATCCAGGTAATTTACATTTATTTGCTTGGCTTTACATGATAAGAATGCCATAGCAAAAATAATCCAATCAATTCATAATTCATTTTAGCTATGACATTCTAGATGTACAATTAGTCGTTTAAAACACCAATTCTTCATTACCAATGCTGGTCACAATCATGTTAAAAATGATTATAAATTATTCGTACTTTGTCTTTCATTATCTTTTAAGGTAGCAATTTGAAACCAGACCTAGACACGGAAGAGAAAATAAGATCAGGGCCATTTAATGATTATTTATGTCATAGGTAGTTCTATTGTAGTAATAGGTAAGATAGTAATATCACTACCTTCAACTATTCTGAGTAATATAAAGAGATAGTGATGAATATGATAGTTGTCTTCACAGTAGCATATTTTATAAATGATATGAATTTATGTCGTCAAAAATAATTTTTATTTTTAGCCAATTTATATCAAAGCTCTTTGCTAGATATTTTATATCCATTATGAATATAAAAAAAGTGATCTGGGATTAGTACCCTCACGATGAATTTCCCATTAATTGAAATTCGTAATTTTGTCATCGTTTTTTTTGTTTATAAAAAGTTACTATTGTTATAAACAATATACAATTGTTTAATCTCATCGATTTATTTATAATAATATTTTATTGATATTTATGGACTATAATCATAGTAATGATAATTGAATTAATTAAAAACTATATTTAATTGAATTTTTTATAAACACTACATAATTGTTTTGAGTCATATGAAGTTATTAACAAGTATATTATATTGATTTCAATTGTCAATAATGTTAATCATTTAATAAGTAGATTTAATCTATTTCAAATATCATTTTGACTCAATTTATATTATATTCTTTTTGTTATCAAAAAAATGGCTAGACCGAATTTGTAAAAACTTCTTTCATTGCCTTCATTGTTCTTCATCAAAAAAAGCTTGACATATGCACACACACTGCAAATCTCAAATTTGGAAGTGTCTTAATTTAAAACACTTAAAGTCTTTTAAAATGACGTCATCCATTTGATTAACATTGTAGTCATTTTTTAAATACTTTCAAGTGCGTTAAAAGTGACAACAATGTTAATCAAATGGGTGACGTTATATTAAAACACTACGATTTGCAGTGCACGCACATACATACATCCATGTTTAAACCTCCTAATATGCTTTCAAATGTCTCAAAACGTAAAGATGTGATAAAATTACGAATTTAAAAAATTGATCTCATTACAATAACTTCCTAATGGGAAATGATTAAATGTTTTGAATAGAAGATACTTGACAGTAAGCTTTGAAAAGCCATTATCCACATATAAACCTGATTTCAAGTTAATGGAAGCATTGGTAATTGAGGATAATGAATTCACACTATTTGAATGATGACTATTAAACATCATGTCCGTGTCAATTCCCGGAAAAATTCATGAGAATCATTTAATAAATAGAATGCAATTGTGCACGATGAATTATCTAGAGTAATGCCAAATTCGAATAATTAAACTGTCATAGACTTGAAATTGCAATACTTGCACAATTGTCAGTAAATTATCGAGATTCCGGTGAATTATTGAGGCCGGTATTTGGCCGTGGCATTTCCGTGTCAGCGAGATGATAATTATCGGGCATCCTCGCAAAAGGCATCACCATCGCCGTGTGGCGCGGCATGCAGCAGTGTAGCAGTCAGCCCTCAGCAATCTCGACGGCCAAGTCTTCTACATCCAGATCATGCTCGGCTACATCTCTATCATTTGAGACACAATCATGGAGCAGCGGATCGGTCACCTCAATCGCCAGACAGAAATTCTATCGACGAAGAACAAGCACCGCCAGCACCACCGAGTCCGTCCAGTTCCACCAGCAGCCTCAGGTCCATGCCAAGTTCAACCATGGCTTCAGTTCATTCTACCCACGATAGAAGACGAAGCAGCCGGTAAGTTGATGAATTATTCAGCCAAGATGTCTAACATTGGAGAAATGGTCTGAAATAAGAATTTTAATTGAAAAAAATCATTTTCAATAATAGAATTGAAGAATATATTTTAATAATAAATACAACGCATAATGGCTGCATGAATTATTCAAATGCTTCTTTTGATTAATATTTAATTTTTTTTATTTTTTCATTGTTATTTAATACGCGTAGAAATGAGCAAGAATAATAATAAATGATGTTCAAAGTAGAGTAAAATGTATTTTTATAACACAGGCTACCTGGCAAATAAGAAAAAACTAAAGAAAAATTACATTCATATTATTTTTATGCTAAATATTAATTTTAATTGGAAAACATTTCAATGGATGAATTAAATGATTAAATAAAAGCTTTTAAAACAAGTTTACTGTTATATGCTTTTTCCTAACAACTTTTCTATTGTCTATTTGTATCAACATAGATTTGATCTATATACCAGTCATATTTACATAATTAATCAATATACTGTAATTGATTGCCGTAGGTACAGTGTTTTCGATGCACTCGATTTGGAATACGCATTATTACGTGCTGCAGCCCGTGGATCTGTTGGTCCATATTCTCTTTCTGAATCTCTTCACAAGCTGACCTTCACGCAAAGTCTAGCATTTCCAGCATTAGCACGGGGTCTCGCGTCCAAACAAAGTGTACCCACTAGACGCCCTCAACAACACTCAGAAAGTGGTTTAAATGCTTTTGCTAAAGTAGTTACAGCATTGGTACTGATGCTTGTGAGCGTTCTTGTGTTCGGGATTGTTTATAAGTTTGTAAGGACGTGAGGGTGGCTGCTGGTACCTGCTGACCATTTAGACTCCTCAGACAAGTTGATACATGTAGATGGTAATGATCCAGGTACCGGCGATCCTTTTTCAGTGAATATTTGATGTGATAGTGAACTATTTATTTATTTAACCTATTTCAACAAGGTAATTTATTTTCATTTAGTTGGCAAAGAGTGATAATGGATTATTTACCAATATATTTTATAAATGTGACATCAGTATTAAAAATATTTTTTGATGAATTATGGAGGTTTAAATGTCATGCTGCTATATATAGATGATAAATTCATATAAATTTTGTTATATTATATTTTAAATATCTACAATATTGTGAATAGCTTATAATGGATTTAATGTCAAAGCTGAAGTTCTTGTTGACTTAAAATACTTGTAATGAATGCGCTATCGTTCTAATTACTCTTCTAAGTATTGATTAAAAACTTCCACCTCGATAAACACTATTCTATGAACTGTGAATGTATTCCAGGAAATTTGTATCAATGTTTTCTTGAAGATATTCCTTTTAATTAGCTATTGGAGCTGCGATATTATTTGAATTATGAAATATTTTTCATTCTATTGTAAATTTGTTCAAAGTATTCAATGAACTCTTTTGAAAGTGGTGATTTTATCGAGTTAATAATATAATTCAGTAAGAGTCTATGAAAGCAAAGTTTTTAATGATCTAAATATTTATGGAATAATAATTATTTTTAATATATTGATAATGATATGAAATGTTTAACATGTACATGTGTGTACTAATAGGTGAAGTTTGAAAATGTTGAGAAAAAAAAATATCAAGTATAATAAATGCTATTCTCTATATTCGTAATATGATTAAGCTTAAACATTAAAATTCGTTTAAAATATAAAACGAAATTTCATATTATGTAGTTCTAAAAAGCTTTGGAATATATGAAAAAGATGTGATGAAGTCAGAATTATACTGAACTGACAAAAAATTTTTTCTTTATTTTTATAACTTTCGATCGATAACTATAATAATCGATCTAAATATCTTACAAAATTTTAACGTGATTACAATGATAATGAAAACTGTAAAATTGATGATGTTAAAAAATTAATGATAATTCAAGTAACGATAATGATCATTCCGAGGTTTAATTTGCCAGTAAATGATAATTGAAAAATTATTACATTGGTTGTGAAATACAGTTATCATTAAAATTCATTTATAATTAAAAAAAATTTTATATTACGGTTAAGTGATTTGAATTTTATGTGATTTATTGATGTCAACTACTATTTGTATTTTGCTCAAACTATCTAAGTGCTTTATCATTAACTCCTCGACAATCTTTGATGAAAAGGCGTTCGATATAAACCTCGAGAATATTTTTTAAAGTACACGCGATGATGTGTTGTCGACCGTGAATCGACCAACGTATAAAAATATCTTACGAGCGAGCTTTTTTAATGTCACTGGTAATTCTCATCTTTTTTTAGATCAATAAAATAAAAAAATTCTCGTTCTTCCTGTATACTTAATTTTCATAATTGAATTTTACCTTATTAATCACATGAAACCTGTAAACTTCAAAGAAAATTAGTAGAAACTAATGTAGAGTAATGAAAATCATAATTATTAAATCATAAAATAATTTATTCTATATTTTTTAATAAATATTTTAACAAAGAAAATTATCCAACTGCAATAAATAAATAACTTATGTATAGTATTATTTATAAGTATTTATGTTCTATGATTAAAAACAAAAAAATATGAAATTATAAATTATAATTATGTGAATTAACTTTTTTTCTTTTTATAAAACAACGAATTTGTAATTAACATATATTTATCATTAAAGTATAAAAGGAATGTAAATAAATTTCAGTACATGAATATTATTATAAAGAAATTTACTTGAAAAGAGATAAATGAAAAAATTCTGCTTATTTTAGATTTTTTTATTTAGTGGAATGAAGAATCGATCATCGATAGTCGAGTTGTCTTATTTTTGTTTAAGTATTCTGTATTGAATATATATGTATATATCTATTATAGTTTTCTTTAAATAATTATTAATTTAATAATAATAATTCCAACTTAAAATAAGATAGAATGTGTTCCCTCTGGAGTTCAGTTTGTTTCACACCTAGTGCTATTATATCTACAGTGATATTTCTTCTGCTATACATCTTTTATGTTTTTTTTTTGTTTTTTATTATTGTAATTATTTTTTAATGAATAGCACATTTTTTAAATTCGTTTTTAACTTCCCAGTGGAAAGTTATGATAATGGGTCCGATTTTGCGAATCTCAAATGTTAACATATATTCACGTTTTAAGGTCCCCAGAGCCAAATGCAATAATTTGCAAGTGGACGTCTGTATGTGTGTGTGTATGTATGTAGGTATGTGCGTTCGGAATTATTTTTTGTCTCGATTTTCTCGAGAACATGATATCGATGTGGGACCAATTGCATTCGACAGGTAATTATGCAACTTAGAGCTGATTAGATTTTCAACAAAATCGGTCCAACCATTTTTTATGCAGAATCAAAAAACTGAAAAAAATGGTAAACCAGTTAAATCTTAACTTTCTTTCCACTGGGAAGTTAATAATGTGGACCTTTCGGGTCGCACTCAGACCACTGCAGAGCACTGATATTTATTATTTATATTTACCTACATATACATCCGTATTATTTTATTAATTTTTTATTTTTATTTCACCAATGTATTTTAATTATGTACATCATAATCTCTTATTATTTATTGCTAATTTACATTCTCAGTTTCACATAAATTTTATTCCGTTTATTCGTATTAGTTTTATTTATAATTTGAAAAGTTCATGGAATAGTATAGTCTTTTTTGTTTGAAAAATTACTCTTGCTTCCTTATACAATATTTCAATGTTCGTTCCCATCTTTCATCAATGTACTGATCGATGTAAATCACTGGCATTTAAGAAGTATAAAAAAAAAATTATTTGAATTAAAAATTCGTTTCGGAGACTGATATTAGGCCGTACTTAATTCTTGATTGAGTATAAACTAAACAAACAATTGTTTCTATTTTTTTTTATTTCTTTGTAATTCAATTCGGTGTTCATTTTATTTTTTCGAATATTTTTATCCTTGCCATTTGTCACTCTGGTACTTGGATACCAAGAAAAACATTGACAAAAGTTAACAGAAACTCGGCATTTTTTGTAGAAAAATAAACTATCACCGAGTTTATATAATTTTTTCTTAGCGTTTAAGAAACTACTTTGTGATTCGACATGTATATTTTACACTTTTTACGACAATTTATCACGAAATATATTTTTTCTGCAGATATTTCGAGTTTCAGTAGCTATACTTTGAAAAGTCAGACATTTATGACAATGTTCTGGCTAACATCTTTACCGATGGTAGATGAACCCGAACATAGACAGACACATTTTACTTTCTACACTTCATTTACTTATCTACCTATTAAGTAGTACACCATGAGTTGTCAGACAATTTGAAATAGAAATTGGAACAATTTATTACAGCGATTAATGATCATATCATTGTTCACGATTTTTCTAAATCAACACAATCATACAATAGTGATTATACGAATAAAGTTTTTCATTACAATTAAATCGTCAACACACACTGATTACATTATTGATGACAAACGTGAAGATCATTTCTCCATTTTCAAATAACAATTTAAAATATCTCTATAATTAATAATAATTATAATATTCCTCTTCTTCATTACATAATTATTTTTGTTAAATTTTTTCTCTTCATTTTTTTTTATTATTTAAACAATTTTTTAAACATTTAATTTATAGAAATGATCTTCTCGCAATTCCTTCTCATTATCATGTGAAATTTATTTTGATTAAGTCATTCATTTTCATTTATTATTCTCTTCCTCAATCTTGCACAGTAAAATCAATGACACCGTTTCATTATTTGTTATTCTTTTTTTGTTTTTTTGTAAACATCTTGTTTTTCGTCTTTCAATTATGATTCGATAATAACATGACAACAGAAGTCTATACAACGTTTCAAACGTGTGTTATTATTTTTTTTTATTCTTGTAACGATCAAATCTAATTTACATTCAATCATTTAGTAGGGCCACAATTTTCGTAGGCCTTCGTTTCTCTCTTCCCTCATCATCATTTGAGGGAGTAAAAATACGGAGAATTAGACATTAAAAAAATTGTAATATTCATTTTCATTGTCTATTTAATTTCTAACTAAATTAAAATATATTTTATTTATTTATTTTCATATTAATATTCATTTTAGTAGATTTAGTAGTAGTGAAAGCCCATTTAAAAGATCTTTATCGATGCATTAAAATTCTCCAATAATCATTTGAAAGTTTTCATAACTTTTATCCATGTTTTCAATTTTTAGAAATACCTTTTGGTATTTATATTATCATACTGATGAGTAAAAATTTTAATTTCATCAAATCAGTTCAATATTTGATTTTTAAATATTTATTGTTCAATTAATTTGAACTATTATTGATTCTATTAGTTTCTTATACCAGTCAAATTTGTATATTTATTTATTTATTGATAAATAATCGGATGTGTTGGTACAACAGGTAAATCACTATCGAGCTCAAGATCTACTCCATCTTTGGATACTAAATAATGGGTCAATAATTGTCCTTTTCCCTTTACAAAAATCATTCCTCTCTGAATAAAACCAAATCCAAATGGCTCTAAAATTTTTCTCGTTTCATCAGTGACCTAAAAATACAAAACCATTATCAATTTAGTAAAAAGGAAGTAAAGTAATACATCAATCCATAGAGGATAAAATTTTCACCTGAATGTGACCAACTTTTCCAGTGCTTTCCATTCTAGAAGCAACGTTAACAGTATTACCCCATATATCATAATGAGGTTTTCTAGCACCAATAACTCCAGCAGTGATTGGTCCATGATTAATACCCATTTTGAGAACAAAATGATTGAAGCTTTGGTCGTTAATGCTTGAAAGAGCTTTCTTCAATTCTAAAGCGAATTCAACGAGTGTACAAAGGTGACCCCATCTTGGTCCATCTTCAGGTTCAGCGACTTCTGAGATTCCTGAAGCGGCCATATAAGTAGAGCCTATCGTCTTAATCTTAATGATGCACTTGAACTTGCTATTATCTAAAATCTTGAATAAGTAAGGCAGAGTTATTATACAACATCCAGCTAATTAAGATATAATCAAATTGACCACCTAGTTGTAAGATAAACAGATGAAGATAAAAAAAATTAGCGGACTTACTGCATCAAAGTCTGATATAACTTCGTTGAGGAATCTCAAACATTCAAGGCCTTGATTGTTGATACTTTCTTCACTGTAGAAATCAGCAAAATTGGGCATGCTAGCAAAAAGAACACCAACTTCCGCATAGCTCTGGCTGTAGAGGTCATCATGATGCCGATTAGTGGACAAAAAGTAGGTAGCTACATGCGGTGGTAGAATGTTATATATCAACGCCCCATTTCTTCTTTTCATGTCTGCTGCACGTTCCCTTTGAGCTACAACTTCCCTGCCTCTTAGGTACAGAATTCTTCTTGCTTTTTCCGCCTATGATTAATCACAAAGAAGATTAATTGAATTTTTTTTATTGATATATAATCAAAAAAAAGTTTCTGTTCATTCTTTATATGATGTATAGTCAGGAGATCTCTTAATTTTCTATCACGTCCATTATTTACTCTTTCTTCAGAAATATGACATTGATAAAAAAGTTATTTATTATGTAGTTGCTCAATTTCTAAATGCTGTTTGTTATCAAAATTAATAGAAGCATCCCATTTTAATCAATTTGCTGAATTTCAACAGTTTTGATTCATGATAGTTGAACTCTTTTGTGTGAGTTTATTCAACAAGAACTTGAATATGATTAAAGTCTTATAAGTATGCTATTGCCAGATTTTTATTGAAATCATAATACCCCAGGAAGAACATAATTTTCGTTCAAGTTCTTACACAAACAAAATTTATCTGTTATTGAATCCTCAAACTCGTGCTGAAGTCGGAGAAAATGAGAGGAAATAAAGGAAATAGGGCGTTTGATTCTACTATACTAAAGTTAATTGAAATCCAATGCCCAATCGTGTCTGAAATTATACTTTTACAGATATATAATGTTACTAAACTTGATTGTATACGTATTCATCTAATCAATTACGTTCCGGCTACGACCCACTCTACGTTTATTGTCTCCAATCTCACCCCCATTTCACTTAATAAATCGCAATAACTACTCACTGCAGAAGAAAAAGAAATCTCTAAAACTACATTAATCTATCACTTTTATTTTCTTTTTTTTTTTGGTTTATTAGATATTTGTAAGGCAATAAAATTAACTTACGTATCTTGCGACGAAAACGAGGGTTACTACTATCGTGAGAAGAGTGACAGAAAGCAAATACTTGAGAGGATAAGCAACTGGTTGATCAGGCGGAGGCTGATGAGAGGTTGTATCTTCTTGATCAAGACTTGGTGCTAGTATTAAGACGTTCATAGAACATTGTGCACTAGCTAATAAAAACATCAGTACTGATTTTCCGAGGTAACTCATGTATGTTGGCATAGAAATAACTATCAGTGATAGTACTCCAACGTAAGAGTAATATGATGGATAGGGACATGGTGAAACCCAAGTTTCTGAAGCATTCCTTGGTGGTTCTAAGTCTTCAATTACAGCACAATTTAGCTGAAATATATTTGTAAGTAATTTTATGATGCTTTTTTAATGATGAAAATAATTTTGTTTCAAATAATTACCATGTCTAAAAGTAGGAAAACACTCAAAGAAAAAATCATGAGTAAAGCTAGAGTTCGTCGAAGCCATCGAGCTCTCACAGCACTTCCGAGGCACGTTGCTCCAGCAAGAACTACTCCAAATAAAACTACAACACCAGCACCACCCCATGTAAATGGTCCCCATGGCTGAAACCTCCATATTGGAGAAGCACATATTATTACGAGAGGTCCACCCAGAAGAGACAGTGGAGAAAATGCTTCTCCACTGGTGTGAAACTCTGACTCTACGTTTGGATCTTTGAACTGAAGAGTTAACCACGATGCATGATCTTTGAGTTCTGTTCCACCATCTATAAAATGATCTTGAATAAATGATTAATCGGAGAAAATATCTTTGATAAGTTTTAAGTAAAGGGAAAAACTTTAAATAAAAAAATTAAAAATGGATTAATATGTAAACTTGAAAGTCTTTTTTATTACGTGAAATGTTGATAGTTGATGTTATAAAATTCAATTGTTGGAATTTAGAGTAAAGTATACTACAGTGGACACATTTATTTGATAGTTACCTTTATTCTCAAGCTCTTGACGTAACCTTTCTTGAAAATCGTCTGAATCTTCCTTCGTATTTTTCTCGTATTTGATATCTCCATGGTTCATCATTCTTGGAGTGTTCTCAGCGTCAGTAAGAGAAGCTAGACTCTTGGTAACAGCTGGTTTGAATGGTTTCAATGCTCGCACGATAAAATAAGTAACTATTCCAGCTTTCGCCAAAGCCTCTTCACGATTTTCTCCAAATGCTGGTTCCACTTCAAATTCTCCATTTAGAAAGCTCAATGTTACGTTAGAAATGTGGACTCGTCTTTGAAATATAAATAAATTGTGTAGAAATAGCAATTGAAAATAGGAATATAACTATTCAATAATATTACAATAAGAGAAATAATGTTTACCCAGCCATTCCACTACTTTCCATTTTATTTGCCAACTCAACATCCTTACTATAAACATCGAATTGCCATTGCCTTTGACCAAGGACACCTGCTAGTACAGCACCAGTGTGAATACCAACTCTCATGTCTACTGGACTTTTAGTTGTCGCTTGGACATATTTTATTGCTTCTACCATTGACAATCCCATGTGAATACACAACACTGCGTGATCCGGTCTTTCAACTGGTGCACCACTAATGCAGTAATAGCAGTCTCCAAGAATTTTTATTCTTAATTGCTCGTACCTATTTCAAAACAATTTATTATTTTATTATTTCATGCTCAAATAGAATATTGATTAGATAAAATTGGTTCTCATAATATTTAATGTAAAAATATTTATGTTGGGGTTGTTAGAAAAATATTATTACTAGAAGTCAAACGGTTCCGGTATAGGAATATCACTTTTTGTATATAAATAAAAAATTAGAAAGTCGATAAATAGATTTACAATTCATTTGAAAGTTGAGTGATAAAATTCTTAAGTTAATAAGGTGATCATTCATTGTCTTTGTTTATTAAATTTCGCTTTCTGAATTGCATTAAAAATTACAAAATAAAGTGTTGAAGTAGTAAAGTGTCCGGACGGTCAGACATTTCGATCGGGGTTGATTAAATAATAGGTCGAGACAGAAGGGAGGGAATTTAAAAAGCATTAAAGCTGAATCATGGTGAGTTGCGTGACTAGAAATTTCTAACATATACTCTAGTATAACTCCCCAAATCCAACGTATAGTTTACTCTACGAGCACGAATGCTTGATCGAATTACGGAATCTTTTATCTAAGAATGCATGTTTAAGATAAAATTTCATAAATTTATTGAATCATCAAAGGAGTATAACCAGATTTGACATTTTATTTCAAACATTCTTTATATATCATCGTTATTCACATTTTTATTCCTCCATTCTGTCTAGCGTTTTCGTCCTTGTCAAGGAAGTAAGAGTTAGGAAGAGAGGGGCCTAGGTAGAGAGCGAGAAAAAGTGTGTATGTGGCAAATCGATAAAGAGCGGTAAGGACGAGGGAATGGGTCGACTGAAGAAAGGAATTGCGTATAAATATATCTATAGGATTATTCCCTTGTTCTGCTTCTAATAATGATACGGGCATTTACCGTTCGCTCAGCTGATCGAAGCGAGCAAAAAGCTCATTCAATATCTTCACAAGGTCACCAGCGCTATAAGTTGATGAAATCGCTGTGAAACCCACAATGTCTGCGTAGAGTATTGATACATTTTCATGCCTTGACATGTAAATTTTTTTAAATTGTGTATCAAAAGATGCGCCTAAGTCTTGACGCATTTTTACTGCCACGTGTTCAGGCAGGACACTTAATAGCAGTCGTTCTTGTTCTGCACTTTGTTCTTCTATCACCAGCTGAACCTGAAGACTCTGCCGGGTTTCTAAAAAAGCTCGACGCTGCTGGAACTCTGCCAAGGAATAACTCGATGCTCCCAATATCACTGCACCCGCTGACAATGTCACAGTTATTATCTGTAACAATTCGTTCATGTTGTATTTCATCGGTTTATATATTTTTTTTAATAATTCCCTTGATATTTTGTTGTGTTTTTTTTCGCCTCTGGTAAGACTGATAACGTTATCGAATATCCCAATGTTTGAGGGGTTTAAATAAAATGATATGAAATTATTATTTATATATTGAATAAATGTTAACATTAAATAACTGCTCTTCAATTAAATTTTTTAAATTGGCATGTTTTTTTTTTTTAACCGGTAACTATTTTTTCCTCTTATTGGGGAAAAAAATAGCAGAGTGATGTATTTTATTTAAATATTTTTTAAATACATTTTTAATTAACGTAAATATTTATTCATCCATTGGTATGGCATATTCAATCTATATTGAAAGCAGAAAAAAAATGGATTCTTCATTATTTTTTATTATTCATAATTTATTATTATTATTATTTCTTTTTTTTTGTTTTTTATATAGAATAGCTCTATTATTTAATAATATAACATTAGGAAAAAAAATTACAGATAATGCAAAAAAGTTGTCACAAAAATGAAATAACAAGTAAGATAAAAAGTTTATCTATTATTAAAAGTAATATAGTTTTTTATAATAACTTTTTCTATTATTAATTTATTGATATCACTTGTTTACTGCTCTATATAAAATGCAGAAATAAATTTTAAAATTAATTATAATAAGAAAATATTAATGCTCTCATGTAAAATACACATATTGATGTGATTACATTCTAATCAATGAGCTTAAGCTTAGATCTATTTTAATCTACCATTCACCATACTTCACTCAAGTGTGACTAATGAATGTGAACACGTGTCGAAGACTTCAATCGTTTCAATACTATCTAAACCCTACAATCTAGAAAAACATTGATGAAGATCTTTGACATGTTGCTATAAAAAATTTTTAATCAAGTTAAATCAACTTTGTTCTAATTTTAGTAGAAAAAAAAAAAATTCTCAAAAAATCCTTTTGATCAACCTATTTCATTATCAACAGCGCAATAAAAAATTCTTATCAATAGCAATATGACTCATACAAATGATTTATTAGCGTTTGAATGTAGTTTAATTACGTCTATAAACAGTCCTATATTGAAGAATAATGATTTTGTTTGATAGCAACAGAGAAATCGCTTATTTAAACATTTACTACCCTCAATTTCGTGCAATTTAGATTTTCAATGGATAGGATCAATTCAATTGATTATATTCAAACGTGGTTAATTAAAGAAAAGTTATTTATTCTATCTAATCTATGTTGTTTATGATCAAGCTTCTGAATGAGGGCTCTTCAATCAATTTGATGGTAGTTCTTAATTGAGAGAAATAAATATTAATGACAAAAACACAGAGGATCTATTTAGAAATTTTATTGAATTATAATGTTAGAAAAAAACGAGATTCATGACTCATTGAATTAATTTATGTTTAAGAGAAAGATTCAATTATTTGTGAAATTTGATACTAGGGTTGTTAATGATTATTTACTTAGAGCAGGTCCAACTTAATGACTAAGTATAATTGAATAATAAAAGAAAATCAACTTGGCAAATCATATTTTAACTTTTATATTTATATTATATTTGTTCGGAAATAATAATCCCTGATAATCCCTCTTTATCCTCCCGAGGGACTCCCCAAATGACAAAGAGTCTTTCGTAGAGTGGAAAAAATTTGACGCAGTTGATAACTGTAAGTAAATATTTATTCTTTTCGAACATGAAACAACATGGAAATGAACAAAATAATTGAATTCCGTTTAAAAAAAACTATTTTAATTAAAAAGAATCCTAACTGCGTTTGAACTATCGAATTGTTTTCATGATGAAATAAAAAAGGTTGATACTCATTTCCATAACTAACAGGACTATCCATTACGACAGTAACAAAAAACAAATATTGAAGGGGGATATTACATTTATTGGATAAGAGTGTTTAAATTCAGAAATAAAATGTCCAAAACAGGACATCCTTTCCACTGAAATTTATATTGGTAATTCAGAGGGCTTTTTTCATCAACATTAAAGCCCAAACTGGAGAGTTTTATATTTTTATTACTGTCATAATTTGATCTACTCAATTTTTATTGTGAAATTATTCATTTTCTAAAATGAAAAATTTTCTCTTTAATTTATCACATTTTATCTGTTTGCAGTAAAACATTCGCGTGATGGTGAGTAAACAAGCCAACAAATGAATGCAGCTTGGAAGATTAATAGGCAGCAAAAATTGAATAGGGTAAGCAGTACAGTTGTTGACAGGGGTATAGCTTCTGGCTAGTTATTGGCTCTTTAAATGTAATATACAATGAGATGAAATAAAGCAAAATGACTACCAATAACTGCACAATTTGCTCCATCAACTAAACTGAATAATCCATGAAAATAAAGATAAGTTATATGCTGATGAAATGTATCATTGTCTATCCTGACTTTTATTTTTATAGAGAAATAAAGCATCCAAGTTCCAAGGTGAATTTGTTCATATATTTAATCTGAGTTGAGAGTGATTGTTTTCTACTTTGTGTAATATACTTTGAAGTACTTACTGTACCTGAATCAAAGAACGATTCAATAACTGAACTTCACATAACAGAAAGTGAATGTTTTTATTGGACTTTTGATCGAATTAATTATTCATATATGCATTTATTCATTTATTCTCAAGTACCAATGAAAGGTAGAACTATTTTATAAAATTTTAATATTAATTGTGATAAGATAAATTTATCAATATTTTAATACCAATGATCCATTCATACCCTCCATTGCATTACAGCGAAAGGTAAACCATATTATTTATGAATATTTATTGAATTAATAATATAAATCCCAGGACTTAAATTTAAACGTATAACTTATCTTTCATCTTGGTTAATTGAAGAATAATTAAATTGATCAACGTCACGTACCAGAACTTCAATAGGGGTTTGAGTTGGAACTTTAGCGAGGCCGACAACAGCGATGATATAAACCGTGGCAGTACTGAGAGCAAGTAGAGCAGCATGAAGAAGCCGAAGAGGTAGAGTAGTAAATTGGAGATAAAGACGAAGAAGTATCCAACCAAGACTATCCCTCGGTGTTACCACATTAGGTTTAAGGAACAGCTGAGTAAGAAGTTGTGCTGTTGATAGAAGCCAAGCTATGTGTGGTAATGCAGACCACATGCAATCTCTTCCTTTGGTGCCTCTTTCAGCCATGGCAAGTAGACTAAGGTTTAATCCAATAGACACGGCAGTAAGCCCCTTGGCGGCTGCTTCAGCTTCCAGTGATGTTAGGGTGTAGGCATCGTAGAGAATTGCTGATAAAAGGAAACAGTGAAGTCCTCCTCGTCGTTGTTGGAGGGAAAAAGCTCGGTAAAGTTTTTCTAACTTTTGATCTGAGAAGCTGGCTTTGAAGAACCTCAGGGGTCGACCTGATTTCAGGTACGACTCCTCGTTCGGCAACATTTGTTTTTGCGACATGTTTGTGTCTAAAATGTCTTCTACTTGAACAGGAAGAGACGATTTATAACTCGAGGCATATTCAGCTGACCTTGAATTTTTCTTGGTGTCAAGTAGATTCTTTTGAGCTTCTTTTTATTTTTTCCCACCTCTCTTTGATACTCGTTCGTGTAGAACTTTGTTACTTATCTTACTTTCCTAATGACTATTTATCAGACTTAGTCGAGAATTCGATGCTTAATATCGTTAATCTCTTGTTCTATTTTTCTAAAGAGTATTCATCATTCCAGGGCCAAAGTGATGATATTTAGTCATTTATTTTCGTTATCATCATAAAATAAATAAACACGTTTGAATGTAGTGGAACATTTACTTTCATACTTGAGTGAAATCCGTTCAATTATCTGCTTCAATAAAAGCTTTTAGCATTTTAGTCGTCACATTGTGGCCTCCTCTGAATGAAATGCACCAAGATTTTTCAAACACTCTTCAATACGACCTAAAATTTCACTGAAACACTTGTACACTGCTTGATAACATTAATCCATTTGCTGAATATCACTTGGGTACTTTTTGTGCCAGAGAAACGGGGGAAATAATGATGATTATTGCGATTGTCTTTCTTCCTGTTTCGCAATCCGTCGACCCATGCACCCAGGGTCTCTTGGATGCACCGCCCGCGCGCGGGGGACTGGCCGGGTTACTACCAATTCCCTCATCTGCTTCCTCGTTCTCCGGCGCCACCACTTGGTCCGACGATCGCGTCGTCCAGACTTGCGCTATGCGACTCTCACCCACTTCGGGTCGATATTAAACCACTACAACGGATCTAAAAGTACATACAGTCACACATGAGTAGTAAAAGCCACAAGGAAAAATCCTACTTGTTCTACCGGCTTAATCCTCATTCTCAATTCCCCTAAAACATTTTTCTATTTCTTTTCATAAAAAAGTTCCTTTTTATTTTCTAAATTACAAAAATAAAAGAAAATATTTTACTGATTTTTATTTTCACACCCTCTTTAACTTACCCTCTTGTTTTACTCGGTAAATTTTTTACGGTTCTCTAAACTCATGAGTATCTCAACCGTCAACATCATTCGTCAGTTGCACTCGACCTTCAAGCAGTTTTAAATCTGATATGGGTGAGATTTATTTTTTTTTTAATTTGTTAAACATACTATTGTTACACTTGTTCATGTATTTTTATTTACACTTGACACTATGGTTTTAAATCGAGGATAAATTTTTAAATTATATTCGCACCTATATATCAAATAGGAAGTTTTCATTTCAAGGACTTCTTATTAATTCAGTGTTTTTCAATATAGAATATCGAATTTTTTAGATTACACAACTTTTAATAAAAGAATATGAAGAAATTAAATAACTTTTTACTCATATTGCTTTTTAAATATTCCAATATCTCTACTAACATTTCTTTAGGTAAAGATTTATTAAATATTTTTGAGAAAAAAAAATCCAAGACTATTATATAACCACTGAATGTTCTTTGCAACCATCAATGACAGAATAAAGGAAAGATTTATCTTCACCACAACAAATTAAGTATTTATTTTGATATAACAAAAAAATATAGTCGTCATGAGTTAGTAGGTTTCATTTATAAAAAAGGTATCTTTTGTTCGACCAACACGAAGCTTTTTAAAAATAAATCATCGTAAACTTATTAGAAGATTTAAAAGATTATTTCAGGTGCAGACATGAGTTCAAATACTCGAGGCTTTTGAGAGCTTTATAGTTTATTAGAAAAAACTAAAACGAGTATCATCTCGTTAATGTACAAACCAGAAGAAAAGATAGAAGCTTCTTGAAGAAACCCAGTGCATACAGTGAAAAAGGAAATAAAGATGTGGAGTCAAACTCAAGAGGATCGTGAAAATAATTGGAGTGAACTCAGTAAAGAGTTGCTGTACAACCCCTAGACTAAGCTGTTCAATAATAAATCGATGGATCAGTAACTGACCTAACATAGCTAGAACACTACATAAAAATAGTATAACTTCAATTAATTTTGCTACTCATAAATAAAACAATAAAATAATTTCATCTCAATCTAAAGCAATAAATGACTTAGGGTGGAAGTATTTTTAAAAAATTTTATTTAATACTAAAAAATGTATCAGTAAGTCACATAAAAGCTAATAAAATGGCTACATAAGATGTATATAAATTCAGTAATAAAGTTGACCATAAAGTTGAAAGATCAGAGACCTTTGATCGTCTCCAATAATTCATCAGGGACTATGTAGCCGAGTGAATACATTTCCTTCACAAGCCTCGGTTTTAAACTCAACGAATCGATCCATTTATAGTATGGCAACTCCTCTCGTGTGCCGCCATATTTCTTCGGCAAGGATGTTGGTGCCACATGCTTATGAAGGCTTGACATGTCATCACCATGGAAGAATACACGATCTTGCATCTCTTTGTTTAAAAGTGGCTTGAACACAGCGTAAATCATATCAAAGACCCAAGATTGGTGGAGAATATGAATTGCGTAGGTTTTCATTGGATTTGCCGTTACCATTAAACCCAGAACCATGTTGGCGATCTAAAAAGAAATTCAAGGTTACTATTTACTATTTGTTTTATAAAATAATGTACTTGATAGGTGTATTTACTAGAATATAAATGATCGAAAAATACATATTTGTCGTGAAAAAATTGATTAGTGTATCAAATAGAGGATAGATGACCATTTTTTATCTAGGACATCTGCTCTATATATGACGTTTTACTATGAAAGGCCTTTAATCCATTCGGTAGACATCTATTCCACAAGAAAGAATTTTTTCAATTAAGTGTCAAAGTCTACATTTCCATTTTTATTAAAAAAAAAAATTATCTACCATATCGAATGAATAACTAAAAAATTTATCAACAGTCTTTCAACATTTATTATTAAGTGTTGTTGGTCAGAAAAATATTATTTAATATAAACTTTTTTTATGTTCATTTTAATATGAAAAATATTTTTAAAAAAATTCTATTTATTTGATAAATATCATCTCTTTTTCATAATCAATAAAAGAAGTTATTAAAATTCAACAACAACAATTTTTTGTACACTAATGTTTTGTTAACAATCAGTTGAAAAAAAAAAGATGTTAAAATGTTTGTGAACGGTGTATGGTTTAATATTTTCCTGCAATCTAAATCATTCCATCACTTCATGCAAATAATGTTAATGGTTGTTTATGATTCTGATTGCTTCGTGAATATAGATATATATATGTATATTTAATATTTGAGCTTTTTTCATGTCTATCAAGACTAAAATCTAAATTCGAGGGTTGATAAGAAAATTACCTGGGGTGTAACAGACCACGCATGCGCAATAGTGATACCCTGAAGGTCGAAGATGACGACACCACCAAGAACTTGTGCTCGAGGTTCCAAAATTCCGAGTTCAAGGATGATGACTGTTGCTTTGAAAATCTCCTCAACGCCGTATTTTTTTGGATCCCAGTTGCCCATCCTATAAATCATCATCCGTCGCCCACACTGAGTCCTGTAGGCTGGTACGGTCATCACGTCATCATCACCAATATGACGCATTTCTAGAGGATTTACGTTTTTATGAATCTCTGGATATTCTTCCTTGAAATTGCAATACTTGACTATCTATCAAAGGAAAAACAAACTTTGAATAAATAAATTTACTCAAAAGAAATAGGAAAAGTGATGTTTTTTTATTCTTCACTGCAACATATTTTACATGACTTTTAGATGCCGGAAGTTTCACGTGTGATACTTATGTAAGATACTTTGATCCAGTCAACCAACGACTTTCCAACACTGTGGAAGTAATAAAAAGTTTTATGAACTTTGATCAAGTGTCACTATATAGCAATTGAGAAGAATAAAAGGATGATAAAGGTGAGAAAAAAATTGACTGGAGAAGCTAAAAGTTGGTATAATTCATGAGATTAATTATTCATCTAAGATTGAGAAAGGTGTGAGGATTTTTTTCTTGTTAGCGTTGTGATATTTAAATTAGAGATTTTATTATTCACTTGATAAAAGATATTTGAAAAAAAAAACAAATAAAAATGAATCAAATTTTTGATTTAATAAGGAATGAAAAATAAAAATTCCTTCTTTTGTTATATTCACTTACCAATCTGTGTGCTCGATAAACATTGAAATTGCGTGCACGAAGAAACCTGATCAGGAAGGCATCATCCATTCGATGTGGTGAACATTCGCCTTTTTCTGCCGATCGATTGATTATATTGACACTACAGTTACGTCAGACCAGATATATTCTATATGTAAATCTTTAGCTTCTTAACTAAATCATTGTTAACCATTTACAAGTCATTCTCAACCTCACCCAAGACTAAATATTTTTCCTCATGAAAAACAACTCAACTATCTTGAAGAAAATTCACAAAAATATCTCCCTTAATCAATTTTGACCGAAATTTAAAAAAATATCGTTAGTTAAATCAAGTTCATCAATGTTTCTATTGCAAGGTAATTTCATTTAAAATTCATAAAAATAGCTTTTAAATTGGCTGGTATCTTTTTACTTTTATTTATTCAATGGCTGTATGAGTTAATAGTCAATAAAAAATGCAAAAACCTCAAGTGTAAAAAATTATAACACAAATTGGAATAATTACCATATATCATGTCACGAAGCTCTTGCAGAGTCTGACACTTGACCTCCTCGGTTTCACCGAGTTCTCGTTTAGCGTACTCCATCACTTCAGGCGGGAGTTCCTCACTTAGGTCCAGGTCGAGTTCCTCATCTTCTGGATTTATTTCTACATTTGACTCCACTTTCTCTGGTTTATCTTCAATTATTTCCAACACTTCTTTACCCCCAGTTTTAGTTTCAATTTCATCATGAACACGAAGCATTGATTCCCACATCTTTTCAATTTCTCGTGGCTCTTGATTCCTCTTTTTATTATCAATCAATGAGTCCTCTAAATTAATTTTCCTGTAATGATACATATTATTTTTTTTATTCCAATCATGACTGTGTTATAACTAAAATTAATTTCAATAAATAAAATCAATCCTTGAAGTTATTAATTACCCATCTTTGCAACTGTAGTTTTTGTCTTCATGGTTTTTCGCCAAATTCTCACCATTTTTCAGAATTAGCATTTTTTTATCTATCTCAGCCATTGTTCAAGGAAAATACTCTTAAATTATGACACTCCTTGGTTCTTTTGTGTTCCAATGTGAACGAGCTCTCTTCCAGAAGTGTCCGGCTGTACTGAGTAAAATCTACTGAACACTTTTCGTCTTAAGGAATGTATCTTTAATTTGTTAGGTCAACACGCAAATGTGACCGCAATTATCTTTTATTTTTTGCGTGTTTGCTGTAATTGTACCTGATCACACATTTATACATTCTGATTTAGCAGTTTTATAATTTTTGCATCAGCCTCTTTCGTATTTTCTGTCACTGATAATCACTACTTATTATAATAATAAACACTTTATTATCTCTTTCAACATTTAGAATTGAATTCACTTTTTTTTCCTTTTATTCTATTTACTAAAGAATCTCGATTTAACCATTCCTGAAAAGTGTAACAATTTTATGAAAATAAGTATTATTTGTTATACCAATTACCATCCATGTACTTGTCTCTTATATAATAAAAGAAATAAGAAATAAATTATAGATTGAATTCATTTGTTTGCACAAACGATACGAATTAGTTGAAGAAAGTGCATGAGACTAATCAGCGTTAGTTGTTCAGCTTTCAAAGGAGTCCATTTAAAGTTTGTTACTTGTGTTAAAAGAGGAAATAATAAAATGAAGATGACAGGCAGATAAACGAAAATGGTTTCTCTTATGAAAACGTATATTGTGAAGTCAGTATTTTTATTGATCCAAAGATGATGCAATTGCTTTGTACATGTATGTCTATAGCTTAATCATAAATTATGAAACGAATACATAACGTTGAAAAATTATTTTTTTTTTGTTTTTTATAAAAGTCTTTTATTATTCTAAGTATTTTCTGTTACACAGTTTCATTATTAGAATAAATAAGGGGATAAGGGGAAAAAATAGTCTTCTCTATTTGTAAAAGTGAAGTATAAATACGTTAGATAAGTTAGTCTACAGGTAAAATAGACTGAGAATGGCAAGAGATTACTTGGTGTAGCGATTAACCCACTGATGTAATTTGTACTTCGTGCAGCTGAGTCTAGATTGTCTGCGAACGAAAATTGCGAAATTGAAAATACCTAGCATAAAATTATCCCTTGTAACTAAGCTGCTTTATAAAAATTAACTTTAAATTCAATTATGTTTTATAAAGTTTTTTAATTATCCTGTCATTCCTCTAATGAATTATTTTATTGTAAAAACAATAAATTGGACGGAATTTTTGGTAAAATTTGTCGAACATCAAAAAGTATTTGGTTTAGAGAAAAAAAAATGTGTAAGTTAATTTTGTACTATGAAATGTTTTGAAAGGGGATTAAATGATGGATTAAATCAAATTAGTTAATTTTTTAAAAATATAAAATTCATTTGACTTTTATGAGTAGAAATTCTGAAATTATATGCTCACCATACAAGCCACTAATTCATATTTATTCATGCATTATTCAGAATATAATACACTTATAAATTGACACATTGATGTTGATATTTTTAGCATGTATTAATGTAGATAGATGTTTATACACATTTCATCAACAACATGTAGATGATAAACGTACGTACATTTATGAAGTGTTAATGCATTTATAAAATATATCAATGATGCACTAGCACTTTTTATTAACGAAAAATAAAGAAACAAAACTAACGTTGGAAAATATGAGATAAATATTCATTCACACATTACACATAACATGGCATGTTATTAAGATAAAAATAAAATAATTTATCACTTGCACAGTACTTTAAATAAATTTAAAGTAAATTTATTTACAAAGATTGAAATTTAATTTTAAAAAGATAAATTTTAAATAAAAATTTTCCAATGGTTTATGAATCATAAGACTTGAGATATAATAAAATAAAACTATGCCAGTGATATAAATGTAAAATTTAACGAGGAGAAATGATGCAACTGACTTAACTTGAGCTGCACACTCGACTGCACTGTTGCACGTCGATCGCACAACTCCGATTGCCTGTTACTCGTCATGGACATTTGCAAGCACTATACGACCATGCTTTACGGATATGTACACTAATAACTTCAAAAAATTTTTTTATTGTCAAAGGAAAAAACCTTTATGAATTTTATGATTTTTTTTTCCTGATTAAAAATGCTATTAAAATAATTATGTAATATAAGGAAGTGAATGAGAAAATTAAGTTCTCGCATTTGCTTAGACTCAGTGAATTGCAAGTGGATAAATAATTACCATTACTTATTTAGTACATCGGAAAATTATTCGTCATTATTGCTTGCATCTGTCATTGATGATAATCTTTTGAATTACGGAGCTTTGTTCTGTAACTGTTCTCATTTTATGTAATAATTTTCTCACAAAATATTTCCTTTTTCCTTCGACATTTAATTCTCTAACAGTTTTACAATTAACTTTTTGAATGAAATTAAATTAACCTGAAGTATTATTCATGTTTTTTATTTTTAATTAATTAATATAAACTATTTTTTTTTTGTTCTCGAGTTTTACAAACAATAAAATATTGATATTTATAACTCAAACAATTCAATTATTTTATAACTACCACCGTTTCTCCAGTTCAATGTAATTATTAAATTGTTAGAATAAAAAAAAATTAATATTTCATGACAAAAAATACTATTGCACTTTCAGTCGTGTCTCATTACAATTTAATCTTTTGTTCTACGGCTGTTGACATTCTCCCGGCTTTTAGACGAATGAAATGGAGACCTTGAATGTGAGAGGTTGACTCGAATAATTCAAAAACTAGTTACTATTTAAATTTTTCATAAAGAAAAAAAAAGTGACTATAAAAATAACATAAAATGATCAAAGTACAAAATTTAAAATGAACTATTAATCTACGTATAAAAAAGGGCCGTTGTCCTTCTTCGAGCTTATAATATAAATGATTATACTGTTGATGCCTCAGTACGGTATTACGAAATAAAACGTGGTCAGGGTCACCCTGTTGCGTCCATGGATCAGTGCTTTCACTAAGAATACGTTCACGGTGCTGAATCGTACACGTCATATATTACGAGTTTTATATAGATAAAGGAGTAGTATGATTGATTAAAGGTCAAGTGAATAGAAAAATTTGAAATAACTTCATTTCAAAAATTCAATCCTATCCATTGATTAATCGCCTTACAGGGTAAAATTAATCACTGTTTGATTACCTAATACATTGAATTTTAATATTGTGTGAGAAAAAGCTATTTCCTTCTTTTTTCGTTCATTTCTGCCAGTGTCGAAATAAAAAGTTTTAATTTATACTTTATGATCAAATAATTAAGATGATTTATCAATAACTGACTATCAATTACCGATTATTCAAAATTTATAAATCATAATAATTGATGAATTTATCTATTTGATGCTTATTTATTTATGATCCATCAAAATAAACGTTTTTAATCTTTTTTTTTAATATTTGTCCGAGGTTTATACTGTTGTTTTTTAAAAAAAAAAAATTTTTCCACTAAGATGAACATGATTGTACTCAGTTAATTACCTAGTAGTGTTAATTAGTGAATTAATATAGAAAAATGCTCCTTACATTTGCCCTAATTATCCTCTATTTTTCTTAGTCACTCTATAATGACGAATTAAACTATTCAAATAGGCAAAAAAGTGTGAATAGATTTGATGATTGTTGTGATTACAAAAAAAATATTGATTGACTCATTGATTAGGAATTTTTATGAATACTTTGTATTGAAAGAATCATAGTGAAGAGTATGTAAATGAGAAAAATAAAAATTCGAATTAAAGTTGATGTTTTATACGTCAGCAGATGATCTGAATAAATTGATGAGATAATAATTACCGATTGATCGATTATTGATTAGCAACAGATATTTTTATGAAGCGCGTTGCGCATGCATGCGTTTGTTAAAGAAGCACGTGTAGTGTATGTAACGAAAATACGTCGCGTGCAAATTCTCAAGCGGACGTCACGGTGGATACTGGCGTTCAACAGCTGAAGCACTAGCTATGGAACCTTAGCTTTACCTTCCGTGTTTGTGATTTAACCGGCATGAGAAAGTTGTATAGCCAGCCGGCTCTGTATATACTCAGACAACTGCCTTTCTACGTGGAAACATTTATTCAACTCCTATACTTTATAATAGTCGGAATGAAAAATAAAAAATAGTGAATAAATATATATATATATATATATAATCTCTACATATATGAATAGTATAAACTGTACTTTAACAGAATAATATCAGAAAGACATTAAGTTCAAGACGTTATTGAGTGAGAGTGTGCGGTAAATAACGACAAGAAAATATTCTCATGTTAGAGAAATCGCTTGGTTAATTCTCAACTTGGAAACAAAGCCAATTCTTACGTTGCATGCAATTGTATAGAGTCGAAGGATTCGTTTGATTGTTCTGTTTTGAAAGAAATAAAGAGCGAATATGAAATATCTTGATAAAAATATTCAAGATAATATGTGTTTGAGTAATTTTCAAATATCTATCTTAAAGATATTCGTTCTGGGATTTTTTATTATTTTATTTATAAATGAAAACCATTGAAAAAATTTTCTTTTTATTCAGGAATATTTTTATCTGTGTTGACTTTTATTTAACTGAGTATTTGAGTAGTTTTTTTTTTGCTTTCATTAAATTTACTTGAAAAAGATTTGCTAACTATGAGAAGTGTTTGATTTATAATTTCTGAGAACAGTGAGATATTTTTAATGTTAGAGTGAGTTAAAATCATCGTCATAACTGGATAAATGACGTCATATTGATTTTACATACAAGAAATCATCCATCCATCCATAATACCTGACGTAGGTAGAATTATTTATACAGTTTTTATTTTTTCCCTTTGCTTTTTTTTTAATACTGAACATCCTCGACTTTTCAACTTTGTCATTATAGACTCTACAAAATCGTTGGTTTTTATTCTTCTCAGTAATTCTATATATTTTTTATTATTTTTATGTTTTTTAAATCAAATGACAATCATTTAAATGCATGTTAAAAAATTTTAATTAAGCAAAATAGTCAATTAGCTTTTGAAAAAAGAAAAAAATATTCAAAAAATTTCAAAATAAAATTATCAGTCATTCATGATTTATCTACAAGCAATATTCGTTTTGCAAATAAATTGTTTCTACTCTTGAAACATGAGCTTTAAAATATAAATTTTCATAGGATATTTATCTTAGTGTCAGTATGAATATATTTGAAATTTCAAATGCTGTCAAACCACTTGGATTTTTGTTGTTTCATTTAAGGTTGAATCTCGAAGACCTTATGAGATATTGCCATTTTAATTGATACGAATAAGTGTCAGGTCAAATAATAAAAATGACTGATAACTTATAATACTATTGATATAATATATAAACGAATGATATAACTGAAAAAATGTTTGTAACGAATTATTAAATCACATTACATTACAGAATAGAAATTATTTGTTTTTTTTTTGGAGCATAATTTAAATTTGCTCTTTATAGTATGTATCATTAAAATAATTATTTACTAGACTACCAGTATGTTCATGTCACTAACAGAATAAACAGAAGAAAATAATTGCACAAAATAGATAAAAGAATGAGAGAGAGAGAGAAAGATATGACATGTACTGAGTGGCACATCTCTTGTCTCATCTCGACCGACGGACTTCGATTCATGTCAAGCTAGAGACACTCAAATAATAGAAAAACCTGTCATCTTCAGTTCTATTTTAATCAATAGGTCAATAAGAGTTTACTCATTAATTCTCTTAGTGTCAAAAATATTTTTGATTCATAAAAAATTTTCTTATTATTCATGACCTACTGTTTATGCATAATAGTCAATGGCAAAATGTAAATATGTATAAATTATGATTAAATAAAATTCTGAATATTTCTATTCATCTAGTGCAGAGATTGGCAAGCATCAATATGCAAGTTGTGTCGTTAAGATAAAGGAGGGAGGTCATGGACAAGTCAAGAATCAAATCTTCCGAAAAAAGTATTACTTTGAATAGGCATCAAATTGCACTCATGTATTAAGGATGTTGTGTTTCAGCTTGACAGAAAAAAAACTAATCAATTCTATGTGTATTTTAATGAATGAAAATGAAGAACAATAGTTCATAATAACGAACAATAATTCATCTAGAATTATTCATTTTAATTAAAAATAATTATTTTTTGTAAATATTTTGTTTTAATAATAACAATAATGTAGTTAAAAGAAAAAATTATTTAAAAATCATAAATATTAATTTGTTGATTTGTTATTACTAGAAGAAATGATTGAAAAAAGTTTTTTTTGATACCAACAGTTGCTTATGATTTACATTATATTAATTTAATCGTTAATTAAATCAGTGAAGATTTGTGATGCTTGAACGATCGATTCATAACATTCCTTCAACTCGTCCTTCAATACAGAACGAAACGTCATATAATAGTGGACACGTATTTTAAAACACGATGCAAAAATGGATAAGGAGGGGATACCTGTCGAGGGTCAGAGCTCAAATACTCCTATTGGGAGTCCATTCTCGTTTATAAAGAACGCTTCGTCTTTATTTCTTGCACACTTGTTTGCAATTTTCGTAGTTAAACATTACATTTATTGTCACTTGATGCTTACTGCTATTCGCGCACGTCTCGCATAACTTATTTACTTTCATCATTCTACCAAGTAACGCTGACGCTCATCAATTTATCAACTAAAACGGAAACTAATTAGTGATTATTCTAAGCAGTGAATGCTTTGGGAGAAAGTTTTTATTTATTCTTGTTTCGGCTGCAATTAAGAGTTATAAAAAAAAGCCGGTAAGTGATTTAAGTGTTAGATATTTAATTGAAATTTTTTGCTCCTTAATAATCTAACAAAAATAATTACTCGACAGATTTTTTTAATCAACAATCTTTTTTATTTCATAACCTTCATTAAAAGAAGAACATGCTAGAGTTAATAAACATAATTATAATTTTTTTAATAACTTGAACCATTTTTTATGTCTTAATCAATAAAATTAATTAAACTATTCTAAGAATAAATTTTAAAAAAATATTTAAAAGGAATTTATAATATTCTAAAGTCGTAAAATGAAATTCGGATATCATCGATGTATTGGCTAATGGATTACGTTCGCAAGGTGATATAAAACTTTCCAATGAAGCTACAAATCTTTCGGAACATATTCTCAATACTAGCGTCATCAAGATCACCTAATGTTTTGAATAACAACCGGAAGATTTTTACAAAAATGATATTTGCATCATTAATATTTTTACAATGACACTAGAGAGTATTAAACGATAAATGTTTCTATTTACAATTCATAGTAGCAAATTAATGATTCGTAAATTTGATAAATTTATTCTTTACAGAAAAAGTTTATAAAACATCAGTGCCATGCTTACAAACATATTATTACTATCAGTAATTCTTTTAAATTGCAATTTTCGTTACATAAACATTCATAAATTATTAGAAGTTATAATTTATCTAAACTAATCTTAACTGAGAAGTTATTTATTAATTAAAGTGGTTTTTATTTTGATTACTATCAAATATGGGCAATGGGTAGAAAAATAGAGTTAAATAACAATAAGAAACATTTAAATTTATATATATATCACTTATATAACTGATAATTGTATTGAAAAAAAATTTTCACTCTCCCTAGTGTCTGTTTCTACTTAACTGGTCAGACATACGACTCCTGCAGATATGCTTGTCTATGAAGTACTATTTCAATTTCTATTGGCTAGAAAAATTAATAGGTTGCTGTTTATAGATAAATACAAATGTTCAACACAAATACTGACTACGAACTTGAGTTTTGCCCTACTGAAAGATATATTAACTTCATGATAGCACATAGATAGTGCATATACACATAACAAAAGAGCTGATGTTCACTGTACAAACCTCTGAGTGCATATAATGGACAATAGACGAGATAGTGGGGGCAAAACTCAGGTATTCTATCTATCAGTTTACTGTGGTCTTTAAAAAAATCGTCTTATTTAGAGTTCTACATGATGTCTTGTATGGTATATGTATAGTATACCGAGGTCAAGAAGCGGGGAATCGGTATAAAAGATTGATTCAAACGTAGCAATCAACATTTGGATTAGATTTTGAGTATCATAAATACTTATGAAGTTTAATTATTCCAAAATTGTTCACTAGTAAAATTAAACAGATTTTTCATGAAAAATACTTGAGTTTGAATTGTTTTGTTTTAAAATTATTTTTATTCAAGTTTTGTTGAAAAAAATTTAAGTTTTAAATTTTCTGTTGAATTTAAATCGATATCATAATGGAGTTTATAAAAGAGAGTGAGTAAAAATGAGCGTTCTTGATAAACACACTAATTTTATTGACTATTTTGAAATTTTTCAACTAGAAAGAATGAGAAAAAAAAATTTGAAATGAATATTGAGTTTGATAAAAAAATTTTCAGTTTACTGATTTCACTATTCAACAGTTGGTTGATTTTTAATAATAACTCAATTATACACATGCTTATTTTTTGTTATTTTCAATTTCTACAAAACTGGAGTTTCGATGAAAAGTGGTTCAGAAATAGGTATTCATTAAACGAATATGAAAGTTGCAAACTCAATTTTATTTATTTGTGTTTCTTTAATCATTTATAAATGAAGAAATATTATTATAATTATTGCATTGAAATCTTAATTAATAACAAATATTTTCATGCATCGATTCCGATTGTAATCAATTTCTCGTTTATTTTATATCATTGCATGTTACAGTAATTAATTAAATAATTAAATTAACGAACAGATTAATTAATTTGCTCTTTTTGATATATTCAGTAAAACTACTGTATGACTCTGCATTAACGTATTATAAAGGACGTGGAAAAAATTTAGTCGTACTATAACCTCGACCAAAAATTTGACGAAAGACGTTTACCTTGCCTGTAAACATTTCCTTTCTCTTGATATTAATAAATTTAAGAAAAAAACAACTTATCATATAACTCGTTGCAACTTAAAGTAACATTTAATTATTCATGTCAATCAAAAAAAAATGAAGGAAAAATTTTTTAATTCTCCTGACGTCAAAATATGTTTAGAAAATATAATATACTTTTTTTTTACATCAACTTCATCTTTGTATTCCACTCTCTGCTGATTAATATTCTTATTAATTCATTGAAAAATTAATTATCTTGCTTTGACGACAATTTAATAACTATAGCTATACTTTTTCATACTAAGTATCCATTAATTATAATACGTAATAAAAAAAAATGAATACTTTATAGAGCACAATTCCATATCAGTAAATGTTGCATAACAACAAAATTTCTTGATAAATTTTTTCATTTGCTAACTGACTATAACATGTATTAGACTTCGGTAACTCCAATTCTTCTGTCAAGCAAAACAAGAAAAGTGGGGCTAATGCTATGGTTATCATATGTATAATTAAGGTATAACTCACATAAAAAGCAAAGATGCTACACGATATAAACAATAATAAGCTCTAAAGAAAAAAATGCTTCAAGGTTTTAAAATGTTTCCAATCAAAGTACATAATGCTTTGTAAGATCTTCAAACCTTGTACTTTGATTGAAATCCTTCTTTTTTTCCAACTCATCTGATCATTTTAAACAAATAAAAAAGAAATATTCTTTTAATTAATATCATGATTGTAATTAATCAAAGTATTATGTTTATTTAAATGTCTTAGAATATTACCTATTGACTTGATTTTTATGTCTTTCAATAATTTATTATCAATCAAGGAATAATTTATTCATAAAACGTCTGATTATTGATTTGAAATCCTATATTTTTAGATTAATGATTAGTTATGATCATTTGTGATTGAAGTCCTAGTATTTATGTATGGTGAAATAAAATTGAGAACGAATTGATTGAGTATTGCAGTGAATTTTCTGATTAAAATGATCGTAGCGATTTCTTCATATTACAAAAGAAGTTCAGAATTACTTAGCATCCCTGACAAACCACAACGCATAGGAATTTCCAACGCAACACGCTCGAAATGCTTGCGCAAATTGAGGAATTCGTTGGTGCAAGGAGGGCATGCATGAGAGAGTACTTTGATATTCTAGAACAGTATTATTGAATGACAGTAATGGTATTAATATAGTTTGTAATCTCACGTTCTTGTCTTCTGTCAATCCGTCTTACTTCTCCCTAATGTCTCTTAGCCTCTTATTATTTGTAGCTTATGGTCAATGAACAGAAAGCAATCTTGTTGTTAGTATTACATAATCCTACTGATAGAATTGCTTTTATATTTTGTGGTTGAAGAGAAAAAAATTTTTTTATTTATTAATCATTCTTTTGTATTCCATCATTTACTACTTTATTATTAAATTACCTGTTTCTGACTATTTATAGACCTATTATCAAAGTAATATTGAATAATTAATATTTATTCAGAAACAGTGTAGTGGAGATTGCAAATTATTGATTTTTTTTTTGCTTTTAGCATCTTCTAGTTGTTTTTATTGTAAAGGCTATAAGTTTATCATGAAAAAATGAATCAAAAAAAAATCCATTATCATTAAAATAATAATTTTATCTGGATAAGTTATGTTATTTATGCTTTAAGACAAGTTCTTTATTCGATTAATTTTTAATCAGAAAAAATGTATTTTGTAAAATACAATGTAGAGGCTGTAATATAAAAATTGAACATTGAAAGCTATGAGATTTTATCTAGAATTTGATGCATTAAAAGTTGATGATAATTATTTTGTCTTGTCAATTTTTATTTCAAGTTGGGAATCAGTTAAAAAAAGAGTAGAGATAGAAAAATTATAGAGCTATATATTTCAAGCTTCAATTAAATTACGATGATATTTTTAAAAACTTTATGTGTATGATTAATTCATGATTTTCACTCAATTGTCATTTATTCCATCCTTTTTTCATGTCTCGTCCAATTTTTCTTGATTGACATTTTTGATGTCATAGTTTTAACGTTCTTGCAACAGTCAACTTTTATTCACGTAATCTAATGATACGTCTCTATTAAAAATACGTTTAATCGAAAGTCAAATTACTCACATTGATTGTTCAATTTATTTTTATGCACGAGTTATTTCTTGCAAGTAGCAACATATCTCCTATCAATCAAAGTTCTATTTTTTCCAACTCATTTTCTCGTCTTTTTTATACTCTAGAAACATCCTTCACTTTTTTAACGTCTCGACTTATTATCTTGATAATTATACTTCATTTTCTTGCTCTCATCGCATAATATTGATCGTTAGATTTTTATATTTTTTTAGCGTTCTTTTTTTTCATGACCCTTTATATGCTTCATTGACGTACATTTGTATATTCAAATTCAAAAAAATCCTGATTTATTTGTATGTAGATGTAAATAATAGGATTTAAACAATTACCATTAAAATTAGGTCGATGAATTTATTTAAAAATTTAAAAATAAATCAAACGGCCATGAATAATAAAATCTTGAGAAATGATGTAACATGATAATAATTTTTAAAGTGATTACTCTGACAATTTTACCATTTTTCCAATGAACTCAGAATCATTTGAATTCAGTCCACATAAAAAAAAGCGTCATGAGGAAATAGTATATAAGGCCTGTCTGATAATTACTTATCGTATTCACTCGCTGTGTGGTATATATTATCGACTATTTGTAAGCACAGAGATTTTATTTTATTAATCAATTTGAAATGAAAAATTTTAAACTCAATTCCGGTGATATTTTTTTGCAACACATTTATCAAAAGTGTATTAAATTTGTTTTATTGTTTAGCTTTTGTCTTTGTGTAAAAAAAATTGTAGATAAAGGTGTAAATGAATTCAATTTTCATTCAATACAAACACCAATAATTAAGTATTATTTTAAAAGATATATTATTCATTATCGTAATTATTTTATAAAAATTATTTGAAGGAAATAGCTTATAATATTTTGTTTGTACGATTAAATTAGATGATGATATTCCACTGGTCTGTAATGAAATATTTCCAAATGTTAAATATGTGATATAAAACGAGTGTCTAGCTCTGTAGAGTCGAGTATCATTAACCTTGACTCCAGCATAAGTTGTTTAAGTATTTGCAGTAATATAAGTCCCATTCAACAACGTCATCTTAGTTAATTAGTTAAATATTTGACTCGTGGGTCACTAGTATACAGTGCTAATAAAATTTATAACTAATGCAAACCTTCATTAATGAGTTTAAAAAAATATGATATAGCTAATAACCCGACTAAATGGTATTCGCTAGATTAAACAGACCGACGTCATTAAGTAATTTTCACTATAGTATGAGATTATTATAATAATCATAAACTCATGAACACTACAGAGTGCATCATGATACATGAATAAGATAAAAATGAGTCAACCACAAATGTGTACTTTATCTACTGGAAATGAATTAGTCGTTAATTCGGTTTCGCATTAGCTGGATCTTCATATTAACACTCTGCATTTATAAATCATTATTTTTTCACAATAATCCGTTACATTATTTTTAAAAATACTTTTAAACTTGGTGAATACTTTTAAATACTTCAAAATTTTTTTTAAAAAAGTTGTGAATTATAAATGTAAACATATGTGAACATAAGTGACTATTAAATAATTTGTTAAATTACAGAAACCATGCTGACGGACATGGAAGACATGCCCTCTGTCAAACTGGGAGATTACATTCTCCAGTTTGAAATGGGACCACCACCACCAGAAATTCAGGAAGTTGCTACAAAAGAATTAAGAGAAACTCCGGAACGGCAGAAAAAAGCAGTTGAAGAACTTAGAGAATTACTCAAAAGTAAGTCAGTTAAATAATGAAAAAAGTTATAAAACTTATGAATTTATTTCATCAAAAATTAGGAAAAATAAAATAATTTCCTTGAGGTAATAATTTAATAAGATACTCCAACTTTGACCTCCAATTAGTGGAAATGATTTTAATCAAAATAATTGACGGTTCATGTGAAAGAAGCTAATAATGATGTCAATTTTATAGAGGAAACTGATCTGAAGTGCCCTTTGGACAACGAAGCTTGGCTCATTAGATTCCTTAGGCCATGCAAATACTACCCAGAGTCAGCTGTTAAACTTGTAAAGGAGTATTATTCATTTAAAGTAAAACACGCAAATGTATACGATGGATTGACACCAGTGCGTGAGAAAAATATCTTTGAACAGAACATCCTAACTGTTCTGCCAAACCGAGATCAACATGGCCGAAGGATATTAATTATTGAACTTGGAAAAAAATGGAAAACTAACAAGGTTTCTTTAGATGAAGTCTATAAAGGAAGTGTTCTGTATTTAGAAGCTGCTATGTTAGAACCAACAACTCAAATTGCTGGTGCTATAGTTATCTTTGATATGGATGGCCTGACTCTTCAACAAACTTGGCAGTTTACTCCTCCATTCGCTAAGAGGATAGTTGACTTATTGCAAGATGCAGTACCATTAAGAATAAAAAATATTCATATTATTAATCAACCATATGTTTTCAATATGGTGTTTGCATTGTTCAAACCTTTCCTTAGGCAGAAATTGAAGGACCGAGTAAGTAAATTTAATAGCTCTTCTAGACCATTAATGTTTATAGCTTGAATTTAATTAGTTAAAAATTTTTGAATTATTTTATATCAACTTAGTAAAAAGTTGTTAATGATTGAAGTTGATTTTCATGTAGAAAGTTGGATAAAGATCAAGTATTTAACCATCAATAGTTAATTTTAATAAAAGTTTGTCTATAAAAATCAAATTTAATCATGAATAATTTTTATTATTATCAGTAAAAGTTTTGGTAAACTTTAAATAATTAACTTCTTCATAAAATTTGAGGTCAATTTTGAGACTTTTTAATTAAAAAAAAACAATTCAATCATCATAAATATTAATGTCTACTTGACTGTTGCTAAAAATAAAAGCTTTGAAAAGCTTACATATCACGAAAATTCTATTTTTCGTGTTAAAATTTGAAAAATAATCACGAATATTTAACAATTGATGTGAAAATGAATACATATGTCAAGGGCATACATTTGAAAACTTTGAGAAAAAAATTGAAAGAATTCTTTTTACACAACTTTTTTATGACCACTGCTCTTCATGAAACGTACTTTTCTACAAATAGAATATTTTCTTACTCCTTAGAACGATTAGAGAGAGAAGAAATATACTTCTGTAGAAAAAAAATTATTCATTTAAAAGCGTAAAAAAATTTAGATTGAATTATTTGACAAAGTAAGAAACTCTAATATTAATGATAATTGAAAAAAATATTTTTGTAAACTACTAATAAATTAAATGGATTTTTCAGATTATTTTCCACGGTACAGACCGCAAATCCTTGCACAAATATTTATCACCTAAGTGTCTTCCCGAATGCTATGGTGGTACTTTATCAATCCCACGGGTGACAGGACCGCAATGGCTTGAATTGTTGGTCAAATGTGAAAAAGAATTTGAAGGTAAGAACATACCAATTTCTTTTATCTATTCCTATTTCATAAATAGTAAAGAGTTCTATCACTAACAAAAATCACTGTATTCTCAACAGTAATGATAATTTTTGTTTTCTTTTTTCAGCCATAAATTCCTATGGTTACAAAAAATAATATCCATCGATGTAGTGTTGATGAAAGTCAAAATATCCGGGGGCTCATATCAGTCATTAATTCAGTGTATCGATGACGTCACACTCCCAATACCATCTACCTCTTTGAGTTCATCGTATACTTCTCACAATCTATTTCTAACCATCTCAACAATCTGATAAGCCACGGATAAGGCTTGAAAATTCGTCCGTAATAATGTATTTATAATTAATTGTATTGATTCTAAAAGACGACATGAATACGTCTTTTATTATTAGTTTGAATTTTTTGCTCATTATTTAGTAAAAGTAAATATTATTTTATGATATTTTTATGAAAATGAAATTAAATTTAGTGAGATACTTGATTTTGATATTCATGCCAGAGATCTTAATCGAAACAAAACTACTTAATGTGAGTGAAAGTGAATTAAAAAAAAATAATTATCTTGTGTGTATGAAATAAATGAAATATTTTCGTATTACCTTTAATTTTAATTTTAATCAATATCAATAATAAAATAACTCTATAGTATCTCAACAAGTCAAATGTAATATACCACAATCCAAATATATAAATATAAATATATTTAGTCAGTGAATCAGTATTTATTTCTTTGATTGATATCCGTAAGTCTCAGCCTCTAAAAAAGTCACAAGATTGGATAAAAGATTATTTTAAAAATATGTAAAATTAGGAAGATAGTTATTTTACCTATAAATTCGTCTTCAAAATTTGAAATGTATTTCCAAATTTTTTCTCCAAATGATTCAGGTGGTAATTCTAATTCTCCACCATATCGAACTGGTAAAGCTCTAGCGTCGATATATTTTAATAAACTTTTTCTATCTGTTCCATGGAAAATTACTCGTTTTCGTAATTTTTCCTAGAATTTCAAAGAATTATTATAGAATCGATATGAGCAGTGTTGATGATAAATAATGAAATAGTGACATCAATGTTATTGAACAAAAAGAATATTTGATTATGATTGGAATGACATACCATCAAGAATGGTTTGAAAATTGCAAAAACCATGTTAAATATGAATGGTTGGTTGATTATATGAACACCTTTGAGGCGTGTAGGAAGGCATTTTTGAACCCACTCGAGTACAGCATTTGCAAAACTAGGAGTGTAGTATGTTACTTGACTCAAAAAGAGTCCATCCATGTCTAAAATCACATGGACACCATTAACCTGGGAAAAATAAGATAAAATATGTAAAAGTACAAGCAACTTTTTTAATCATGATATTTTAATCATTTATTTCAAAGCATAAAAAGCCAATATCTTTATTTAAGAAACTTATTCTTCAACGTAAAATAATATTAAAAGAGTTTTAGAATCGAAATTTTTTTCTAAAGTTCTGAAATAATATTCTATTTACATTTAAATTTTTCTTTGATTCTGACAATATTTCCTTCTGGGGATTGCCGTCAATCATTTTATTTATTTTAGTTATATCTGACAATTCGTGTCTTCAAATTGATTTCAATAAAATCATATAAAATAAATACCTGTGTTTCTGGTTCAATAACAGCAGCATCTAGGAGCATCATAACTGTTCTAAAAATTTGGTCGAGAGAAACTTTTTTAGGATTCCATTTTTTCCCACCCTCAATCAAAACTATCCGACAACCATCGTTGGTGCGCAAGGGGAGAGGTGTAAGTATATCATTGACAAATGCACTTGGCTCCGATTTTGGAGTGAGATTAATACAATATCGAGGATGAGTCAATTTGTAGCGATAAAAACGCTTTAACTGTAAAAAGAAAAATTTATTTCAATGAATAATCATTTTTGGTACATAAAACTTACAAATTATATTCCTATTTAGTAACTTTTAATGATTTTCTTTTAGAAAAAAAAAAATAATTCTATGATTCATAAAGTAAAAGAATTTACCAATTCAAATGCAGGCTTCACATGCCACTTGCAAGGTCTAAGAAACTTGGCAAAAAAATAATCATCATCCGGAACATATAAATCTTTCTCTCCTGTAATTAAGAAACATAGAAATAGTTAGCAAATATTAATAATTCATTTTTTATTTAAACATCTTGTAATTATCTTTGATAAAAAAAATTATACAAACACTTTTTAATCATCTTAAAAATGATGAAGATTGAAATAAAGTTGTGATTTCAGAGTATTAAATATTATAAATTATTTGCAAGTTTAAAAAATGCCATTTTTAAATAGATTACATTATTCCATCAAATCTGGTGTATCTTAATTAATCAGGACTGACCCCTAGACCTAACAATGAATATAAGTCATATTTGAATTCTTGAGTTCATTATATTCACTTGGAATATATTACAGTGTTAATTAATCGAATCAAGTAAAAATTAGAACGACAACGAGTTATTAAAAATTGCCTATTCATTAATAATAATTTTTAAGAAATTAATCTTACGATATTCATACATAAAATATTTAATAATTAGTGTCATTGGCAATTAATTAATCTTTAACTATCCTTAATGACAACGAAATATTTTAGCTCAACTTGGTGAAAACCAGGCAGTAGTTAATATTACATAAAAAATGACTTGACAATTTAATGCAAAAATCGAATTACAGCATGTATTATTCTATTTGTTATCCAATCATGCGTAAAAAAGTGTAATAACTATAAATATTAAGCATGTCACGAGTTATTAATATAAATATAGTTAGATAGTGTTTTGTGATGCAATGTTGAATTTCACTTTTTACTATGTTAACGAAAGGAAATTATCTGTTTGAATAAATCTCATTTTCATATGATGTAAGAATAAATTGTTGAAGCGGTCAGATGTCATTATTCGTTCAATGATAAAATCAAAATAAATTCAAAATCGAATTTTTATGACTGGAAAATAACTTTCAACGGACTTGAAGTGAAAAGAAAGTTTTCTCTCGTAGGCTTTAAAAATTTGAAAGACTGTTAAACAGAGTTACATGACCTAAATCAACGAAGAGAAGATTTTACGATAATGTGAAAGAAAAGAACTCTAGAAATTTTACATATTTAAATTATAAGTAAATATAAGTAAAGTTATCTTTGTGGAAAAAAGATAAAAATTGATTTTGTCAATATGAAAAAATGTAAACATAAAAGTAACAGTGAAAATAAAATCGAAGGACATATGCTGAAGAGGATATTATCTCACGAAGATACATTATTGCTTCACTATAGAACTGGTTTTCAAGAATTTTTTCTCACTTATAAGAATTTTTGATAGAAAAAGGAAATAACAATGAAAGGAAGATGCCATGTTATTATTGTCATTGAAGAAAAACTACGTATTTATAGAAATATAATAAATGAAATGATTACCTTTTATTAATTCTCTCATATCTGCAAGAGCTTGTTTAACAACTTCTTCAGTTTCTCTTAGTTCATTCTTCGCTTTCTCAATAGAAGCAGCAGATAAGGGTTGGAGTTCATATTGAAAGAATACATTACCCATTTTTAGGGGTTCAATATGTTTTGCTGTCTCCAAAATCCTTTCATATCTTCCTGGACTGATTAGATCTACTTTATCCATTTTTGATGACTGTAGTTTATTTACTTTCTAATTTCAATAATCAACAAACTTTAAATAAAAGGTTTCACTGATAATAAATAATAAAATATAAAGTACAACAGTTTACTATGAGTTGTTTCACTTAAACACTCATTAACTTGTTAACAAGGCATTAATAAATAATAAAGCATTTTAAAAAATACTAATATAATTAAAACCACCAAGAAACTGTGTTTGGAATAGTTTTTTTTCTCGAGTTTATAAACAGTCTAACGATTCTTAAGAATTACTGAAGAAGACTGTTCAAGAACTGCAAAGTCAGCTATGGTTTTACTATACCAGTTGCAAGAAAGTAAAGTTCTCCGTCCCCACTTAATTCTTGTACAAGTCGTGGCTTTGATCATTCGTCGACCTGTTGTGTTATTTGTTGCTCTACCGGGTCTCGGTCGTCTCATCATGCGTAGCGGCACACTTAAGACAATGGAAAGACTTAATAAATTTACTTTCGAGAATTCTTAATAACAGAGGTCTAGTGTCGCGCCAATATGTAATGTCATATAATTCTGTTTGTCACCATGTTCTTATAAAAAGCACATGGAATCCTAGTGTAAATGAATGAATATTGCTATTATACTTGGAAGTAATTCAAGGAGTTATGCTATTCCTGCCTAATATTCACTTGATTATGAAGTCTTGAAAAATTCAGTATATTTTTTTAATTTTTATTGATTTGCAAGTCACTTGATTGCATTGTCGTTTTTGAGTTATTTTCATTCGATCAAGAACACAATAATTTATTAAGAAATAATGGTATTGATTAAATCATTTATTTGACTTGAATTTTAATTTACCAACCAAAGAAACATTGTTACTTATTTGTATCTACATCTATTCACTCTTGAATAATTTTAAACTAAATATTTAAAAAATAAGAATATCAACATTTCCATAAAAATTTGTCATTCTACAAAAATATAGTTTCTGAATTCACAGCACGTGTTTAAATTAATGTGATTTATTTCATCATTTTTATTCTTCTTTCTTGCGATATCCGTAAGAGTTCCATTCTGAAAAAAATTATTTTAATTTGATCAACTGTTTAAAATATTTATATTAAATAAATGCCCTTTCTTTTATTTTTAATATAGTAAGGAATTATAAATATCCAAATCGATAACTCATTAATATATAGAAAATCTAATAATACCTTTAATAGATGGAACGCATTTTTGAAGAGTTGGATACCAATCAGCCGACGTATAATCGATTTCCGGAAGCTCTCCTCCATAATTTTTCGGAAGATGACTTGGAGCTAAATGTGCATGCAAGGAAGTCATTTTGGAGCCATGGAAGAACATTCGCTTTCGCAATTTCTCTCTTGTGAAGGGTTTGAACATTTTCCAAACAAGATCAAAGAGGAAAGGCTGCTTTACGATATGCACCTGAAGAGAAAAAATTAATTTAATCATTTTTTGAAAGTACAAAGTCGTTTAATCTATGTATTACAAAGGCAGTAATTTTTTTTATCTTACCTCTTTTAGTCGTAAAGGCATAGCTTCTTGAATAAACGTTAACAATCTCATGCTAAACGATGGTGATAATCCCAGTACTTGCTTCATTGATAAACCATCGAAGTCCATAATAACAACCACACCTCTGACCTAACATAATTGAAAAGAGTCAATTAATAAATTCATCAAATTAATAGTGAGCTAATGTAAAATTGTTGTTATCACTCAGGTAATGCTACTTCGAACTTTAAGCCTATTACCAGTGTATGTCATTCACATACACTTTGTTATCATATTTTTATCACTAGAGCAAAGTACAAATGACCTGTCTTTGAAATGATCTAACTAAAATTATCAGTATATTAAATAAAAAATATATTTTTTTCAATCAAATGTTATCATGCAAAACTATTTTTCAAATAAGAGTAACAGTATACTTATTATAAATGAATATTCCAAGGATTTTTATTGATAATATCACATTAAAAAATTTTTTTTTTTTTTGAGATCATTCTGTAATTTAGTAAAAAAGATTAGTATTAGATTATAATTTTGCTCATTTTAAGTACAATAAAATTCGTTATATAATTAAATTAGTTTGTTCTTGGATTGATTATACTATCTCGAAAATTTATTTTGTCACACTAATTTACGTCAATCATGAATTGAAAGCGTAATGAATAAAAAATACTGTATCCATTAATATTTCATAAAAAAATTTAAAAAATACAAATCGTTTATATTGTATGCAATTCCAAGTGAATCATTAAAATAAATTAATCGCAGTAAAAAAATGGAAATGCAAAACAAATTTCTTGCACGTCTATGACGTCAAATATTTATTGTTTAAAAAATTAAACAAAGCGACAAGTTCCTACTGAAAAAGACAATAAAAAAAATTTATTTAAAAAATACTTACTTGCGTTTCAGGTTCTAAAATAGCAGCTTCATGGACCAGATAAAATAGTCGGAATATTTGATCAGATGAAACCTTTGATGGATCCCATGATTTTCCAGCATTTACAACAAGAACACGTCTTCTTTTGTGGTCTCGATTTTTTAAAACATTGACCACATTGCTTTCTAATATTGCTGTTTTTTCATCATCTGGAACTAAATTGTCAAGAAGTGCAGCATTTTTAACTTTGAAGTCAGCAATTCTCTGCATCAAAGCAAATGCACTAGCGGGATAAAATTTACAAGGTCGTAGAAAAATCAACAGGAAATCATCATCAGTTCTGTAGTACAGAGTCTCGCTTTCTGTAAATAAAAATAATATTCTATCTTTATCATATAATATTATAATGTACAAAGAAATATTTTTTTTTTCAATTTAAATAAAGTTTGCATGTCAATGTGATTATAATTTTGATAGACTATCATTTCAAAAATTAATAGACGATCAACAAGATTATGTAAAATTAATCTAATTTATGAAATAATAAAATGAATAAGTTCACTACAAATTAAGAGTGCATCAATTGAAAATAATCATTATTGGTTTTCAGAAAAATCATTTAATTAAAATGATAATTTCAAAATAAAGGGGAATATAAATCTGGCTGAAACAGATAACCCGATTTGCTTGGTCCATTCAGCGATGACCCGCTGCGGTATTATAATTTATAAGCTCAATATCTCGCACACTTGATGGATATTTCACTTAAAATAACTCGCAAATCTTATTATTTATTTAATATTAATCAACTTCTTTATATTTCTTGCAAAATAAAACAAAAAATATTGCAAAGACAAGATTGAGAATATTTTCTTTTAAAAAAGTTTCTTCTTCCTTAGAGTATCAAACAAAGCACATATAAAAAACAAATTGAATCTGTAAGTTTACCTTCCAAGAGTTTTTTGAGTTCAGCGATACCATTTCTGATATTCTCAGGTGTTTCTCTTAATTCTCTTTCAGCTATTGCTTTGGTGTCTTCATCAAGAGGACCGGCTTCAAGTTCAAACGACATCACAATTATGAATTAAATCAACTACACGAATGAATTAAGAAAGTTAATTTAATTATTAAATGAATTGAATGAACCGATTGATAACTTATGCTGAAACGATCTGCAGAGTAGAACGTCTAAAATATATCTGCTCATGTTGCTTCTTTGGGGAAGCTCTTGTTCACCATCTCCTCCCAATCTTTGACCATTACAAAGTCCAAATGAGAACTTTGAGATTTGTGTGACATCAGAGGGGTTTTTCATCGTCCATACACAATCAGCACGAACAAACGAATAGTCACAGTATCCCGTGACTGAACTTGTCACAGTTTGATAAGAAAGTATGAAGACAACCGGGTAATACAGTGATTTATCATTTTACCATTCTTTCAATGGTATGAACATTGTTTTATCGTCACTCAAACAACAATGTCATTATCAAGGATAATAAAACAAAATAAAATGCTTCATGAAATTATTTCAACAATTATAACAGAATGCATTATTGTTTTTTCAAACAATCTTTCTTTTAATATGATAAAATTAATTGATATTCAAAAAATGCACGATGAAAATAAAAATTTTAGATAAAATGAATGATGATAATATTCGTGAAATTTGAAAAAAAAAGTTGTTATTGTTAAATATTAATGCAGTAGGACAATGGATGTTTTGATTAATCAAGAATGGTTGATTACAGATTAACAATTTTGATTCAAGAGAATATTAAATTTTTTTGTCCGTGCATGACAGCAAACAAAATAAAATATGTAAAAGTAATGAATATATCAATAATGTGTTCTTAAATGTTGGAAAATTTTTATAAATGATGTGATTAACTGAGATTATTTTATAATTGAAAAGACTAACTAACATTCATTCATTGTTGGTTGAAGTGAACTTGCGCTGCTGTCGATGATGATTTAATTGGATTAATGATAAATTGAAAGCTTTGTGGCCACAGATAGATTATCGTTTGAGGTACAGATTAATTTATGATGAATATTATCGATAAGTTAATTATATTCTCTAATTGTAAAATAAATATTTCAGATAGAAGATATATCAGGAATGATTTTAGAGAATGTGAAGCCAATAATCAGATTGAAAGGTGCACTACAAAATTTATAAATGGCAGCTGTAAAAATATTTGATATAATATAACAAAACAATTTATTCAAAACATACTGAATACATTTACAGGAATAAAGTATGCTCTTCAAAATGCTGTTGATAAAAATAATTCATAGACTATCAATTGTAACGAGTATTAAATTTCTTTTTTATCTACCGTAACAAACATCATAATGCAAACTGAGAAATCTTCTATGTCAAAGATTTTCTTCAACATCGATTTGTCGTGATATAATTATATTTAAAATAAAACGGAATTAAAAATGCTGAAAGTTATGATTGATGAAAACAAAATTTTTTAATCGGTTTTATTGATCACTCTACAATTTTTACAATGTTTTAACCTATAAAAAAATGGAACAATCTTAAAAAATAATTTTGTTACAATAATAATTGTAATTGTTATGGTAATACTAGATATTTTTTTCGAAGTTTGGAGTTTTATTGATTATTTTAAAAAAAACAGCTCAATAATAGCTGTCAAGATGTTGAACGTTCTGACTTAGTTCTTAATTTTACTTCTCAGAAGTGAACTTTACAAGCCCTTCTAATAAACTAATGTATGCAGAATGTTCATAAGATGTGCTGAGTTCTATCAGTTTCTCTGCAAACTCATTAGAAATTCCTTTTTCTTCTAAGTAATTCATCAAGAGATCATATAAATACTACAAAAAAAATTTCATAAGTTTCATATCATCCATGCTTCCAAAGATGATAGGCATATTATTATTGATATTAATCATTGATATTAATTTTTTATAAACTCACCCCATCAATAACCTCTCCAGCAACAGAATAAACTTGTTCATTGTGTACTCCTTTATATACAGTAACTTCATCAATGCCGAAACAGTCATCTAATAATTAAGAAAATTATTATAAATTATTATTCAATGAGTTTATGAATGAAGTAATTAAAAAACTATATCTAATTAAAATAACTAACTGTAATTGTCATCAGCTCCAGAAGCTCCAAGTTCATTATTAAACGAACAAGAGAATCCTAATGTACGATTTCCTCGTACTATGTCGATGTTAAAGTTAGGTTTGCTTTTCATTTCACCAATGTCTGGTTTGTCATCTGTTGGATCCAATTCTGGATCAGTATCTGTGTCGACCGTGTGGTTAATGTTAAAAGTAATGGTTATTCTATAAACAATATTAATATTGATGAATTAAATTATTAATCGTTATTTTGCTTTTTTATACCAAACAAAATGAAAATATATTTCTATTATTTTATAACTTACGTTTCCTTATCTAATTTTTTTTCAAGAGTAACATTGGCACCATCTAAAGAAACTTTAAAACCATCAAGTTCAGTTGGAATGGTCTTGAGTTTTTGTGCTTTTTTTTCTGCTACAATTTCTTCAGCGAGGAATTCTATTAGTTCTTTTTCAGCTGTAAATAAAATACGATTAAAATACTTAATAACAATTGTAATTTTAAACTCTATTGAGATATCTTATGAATTTTCGCAACTCATAGTAAATATTTTTATTGAATCAGAAATTTTTCGGCATACACGTGGGTCTCAAGCATTTTTTTCTCAGAAACTTAGCCATTTTTGGTATGAAATGCTTTAAAAAAATTTCTAAGACATGTTTTAATTTTAAATAATCATTGATACATATCATACCTTTAGTATGCTCAGAGCTTTTGCTTTGAACACTATATAATTTGATCGGTTTTAGCATATGATTCGATGCAAATGTAAAGTCTTTCTGATTATGTGATTTACAAAGATACCACATAGAGCGTGGTGCTTGTGAGGTTAACATTTGAGTTGCAGAAGTAGCGATTTTATTTAAAGCAGAGATGAACAACTTGTTTCGAATTATTCCACTCATATTTGAAACTGTTATTTATCAATTACTCAGAAATAACAAACTGAAATATCTTTCAAAATATTAAATTTTCGTTTACCAATAAGCCGGTATACTCAGATTTCTATTGCTTCGTGCAAGAGAGGAAATGATTTCCACTAAAATGGTGGAAACTACACGATTGGCCGGCTAATCGATGAAGTGGGAGAACTTGTTCTAATCAAGAAATTTTTTTGAATTTTATGAATCGTTCATTAGTTAGACAATAAAATGCAAAAATTATTGATAACTTTTTTTCTATTGGCAGATTATCTTGTTTACAGTGAAAAATTTTATAATTAAAATACAGAGTGTCCAGTTACTCATGGCGAAGCCGGATATATGATATGTAAAAAAAATAAAAACGCTCTGATATGGGAACGTATTCTCGAAAATAAATAGTTTTTGCAAAAATTATCAAAAATTACCCGACATAAATGCTGTGTAATTTTTTTTTTTACATATTATATATGTATAATATTTTGCTTCACCATAAAAAACCAGACACCCTCTATAAGCGAATGTAGCTAATTATGAATCGGCCTTAAATATATGACATCGTTGAAAATAAAGCTTTAGGCTACGACAGTTGAATTGTACTGCGATGAACTCAGAAGCGACCAACCCATTTCTATAACTCTGCCGTAATATGTCCTTTTTCACGTGTTTGTGGATATTTACTTTGAAATAGTTAATTTCTTTCTAAAAATTTAATTCAGTATTTCTTAAACAATTCAACGTTCACTTATCTATATACATTAGATATATTTTTTGTATGCACAAAATGGTAAGATCTGACTACTTTAATTATCAAATAGGTTATAAACTATTCATCTGACTCATTTTTCTCATAACTATACGTACTAATCTACTTGCGAATTTATTTTAACAACATTAAATTAATCAAAATTTTCTTTTTAGTCTGGAACATTAAAACCGTATTTAACTGCCGTCAGACGTACATTGACTGCTGCTATGTGTTTGGAGAATTTTTCATCGCAGATCGTTGAAAAGCATAATAAACCCGAAATTGAAGTGGCTAGAAGTAAAGAGTTACTGTTAACGCCAGTCATAATCAGTAGAAATGATAAGGAAAGAGTTTTAATTGAGTCCAGTATCAACAGTATGAGGATAAGTATAGCTGTAAAGCAAGTTGATGATATGGAAAGAATTTTGTGTCACAAATTCACACGATTTATGATGATGAGAGCTGAAAATTTCATGATTCTTAGAAGAGTACCTGTTAAAGTACGTTTTTTTTTTTAATTTAGAAATTTATCAAATTGAAGAAATTATGTTTGCTAATTGTAAACTTAATTTATCTATATATATTTAATATTTGTCTGACATTGATGATTTGTTTACAATTAATATTTTCATTTAATTTTCAGGGATATGATATTAGCTTCCTTATTACCAATATTCATGTAGAACAAATGTACAAGCACAAAATAATAGACTTTGTTATCCATTTCATGGAAGAAATAGACCGAGAAATAAGTGAAATGAAGCTTTCTATGAATGCTAGGGCTCGAATCTGTGCCGAAGAATTTTTGAAAAGGGTAAATATTACTAAGTACCTCTGTTTTACCACTAAATATTGTGTTACTAATAATCTTGATATCTTGTTACAGTTTTAATGACCAAAAAATTGTTAATGATTATCCTGACAAATATAAGAATTTGAATCAGTCTGAATCATTTAACAATCGCATTTGTAATGGTTTCAATTACCAGAAGCGGCTTTCTTCTAGCGAAGCAATGAGAAAATTTTTAATTTAGATAATAAAATGTTTTATAATTTTCTTTGATACTTACTGATTATCATATTAATAATTGGTGAAGAAATATTATTCAAGGTAAAGTGTTCATAACTAGAATTTACAAGAATTTTTATCTAATAAAAATACAGATATCGCTTAATGTGCAATTATATTACAATGAAACAAACATTTTGATAAAATAATCAATTTCAAAAATCAATTGTTATTACTTCAAAATATTAGAAATTGAAATATTGAAGGATTTTAAAGAACAAAGTTCTAAATAATTCAAGGGAATCATCATTCGATTTTTATTCAAATTTTTTTTCACTCTTGTCAATTGTGGTGATAACTTTACAATTATTGATAGATACTTATAACATTCATGATATTTTTAATTAATGAATGAGCCAGATTTTTTTCTTCATTTTGATTATGAATGTTGAATTGATGCTAAAATTTTTGCGATTTAAAATTCAAATTATTGTTGATAACAAAGTGCTTTTTAAGTAATTAGGTACTCTATCAATATTGATAAGATACTGTAAAATTTTTCCTGCCATTAATTTAACAGTATTTTAATTTTTAAAACTATTCTGAAATTTAAATAGATCAATTAAGAAATATTTTTGCATCGGTTCAATATGTGTTGAACTTACAACAAATGCATTTAGATATAATTGTAAAAAATTTTTCCATCTTAATTTTATCATCAATTGTAATCAGTAGATTACTCTCATGTATATATAAACTTTTTAATATATATATATATATATATATATACTGAGTAATTGAGTAAAACTATTCCGTTGGTATTAACTCTGTTAAGATTTAGTATGGCAGAATGGTTTTATTGAATACGTTTTATATATGTATACAAAATACATGTACAATAAAGTTTAAGTACTGGATTTAACCGTAAAGAAAGAATGCAATAAATGTTTATCAACTACATACAAAAAGAATTCTTATAAGTAAATGAGATGATAATGAATGAATTAACAACGCAAAGAGACAATTGGCGCATTTAATTGATTCGTCATTGTAGGCAATACAACATTGCATTAAATTTTTATGCATGACGAATCTTCGTCTGTCAACGCACTGCAGATTGCAAAGACCTTCGAGAGAGAAAAAAGAACTTACATAGGTATACAAAGTGCGCTCAAACGCGCGAGAAATCACCTGAATACCGCGTACGCATGCTTCTTAAATCTCGTCACGACATCGGTCATGAGCCTTCTCGAACTGCGGAATCCATCACGTTCATGACTGTCCGTTGATTTTTATTTTGTTTCTGCTTTCAGAGAAGGGGTGAGGTCATACAATCAGTGCTATAGACTCAGTACAGTTGACTGAAAGTTCCGTAGAAGTTGAACATTTGGCTTTTTAATTCAAACTATCAGAAGTTTCGAAAGAAGAAAATTAGAGACACACCGGCTTGCAAATAGTTGATATCAACCTGCGCGGCGTATCGCGTCGGCAATAATTTTGTTTTATTACTCAGTGTGACTACCGCATTCACGTACTTGGCCATATCTCAACCACAACATAACATAGCTAAATATTCCCGAATAATTTCTTCTATCTTTGTATGTACTTGAGTTGGTATACACACCGTACTCCAAATGCATACGGACATATACATGAAGCCTGTTTACATTTCTAGAACGTTTTCTGCATAATTTTCGTGCAAAAATTACATCGCCTTGAGGCGTAGCATAGCATCGCAATTAAATTTGAAAATTGTTACAAATTTAGAATATGAGAAGACACCTGCAGTATCATTAGAGTTTTGAAAGCTGCAGCATATTTTCCCTCTCTCAGCTTCGAAAGTCAATCCAAAAATACGAGTATCTCATCTCGCGCAACTTCCGCTCATCAGTGTTAGCAGTAAATGCGAGCAAGTAAGAAATAACCCAAAGGGGATAGAGAACAAGTATAAGAGAGACCAGGAGTAGTAGTAGATCGAAAGAGTTATTTTGCAGAGATTGCGTGTCTCTTTCTTTCTCATTCCTCCTTTGTTTCTCATAGTTGTCATAGTCAGTATCGTCGAGCGTGCGCTTCCTCACTTGACTGTGCCTACGCCGACGCCGCCGCAAACGACAACCGTTGCTCGGAGTCGGCGTAGTCTGGGAGCTAGTGTCTCCCGATCGGGAACGTGAATATACACTAGAGGTATAACAAAAGACGAAGAGACATTGAGACTTGAACGGAAGAGGGAGCAAGAGCAAACTAACAGGGTCGGAGGGAAAAAGAGAATAGTGCAGCAGATCAGCCGCACACTAGAGGAAATCCACGACTATCAAGAGGAAGACGGAATAGTTGAGTGAGGAGTGTGGCCAGCGTTAGATAGGATGCGTGAATCTGGGCGCGGTGTCTCACCACCCTACATTAATAAAAGCATCCACAACAACAATAACCACAACAATAGCAACATCAACAACAATATTGTTACCAAACAGTACAGTCATCATTCTTATATCAAGAATACCTATCTTCTTAGGTTCTCAAAAAGTGATACAGTCAAGCTTTGCCCAATATTATCAAGTTATCTAAACGAAATAAACCAGATTTTTGCTGCTACCAAAATACGGCAGGTTCTTCTACTCTTTCCCGTTGATATCGTGTGGAAGACAAGGCTGAGGCAATTTTTTAAGCAATTGAACATCACTGAATTGTTGTCATTAAGGTGGAAGAGCTGTTAAGAGTTGTGTATTCAATTTCATAAAAAAGTTTTCAATCTTCAAAGTCATTTACAAGAGCAATCGTGTGCTCACCAGCTTCAGCCTGGACTGTTTGAGTTACTCATGTTCATCCCGGATACCTTGAGGAGCTGCATGGTGGAACCGGATGTTTCAACTTATCTACAGGCTCCTTCTGTAGGACAGGTGCTTATTTTTCATTAATTACTTTTTATTTTCATTGTCATAGAATTAGGTAATTTCATTACATCCATCATTACCATTCTGTTCTGTCTATACACTAGATTATTATTAAAATTTATCTTATCTATTATTTATGTACATGCATAAAATGGCCCGCTATTTTATTATTAAATTTTGCTAATCGATGTTTGATTGATGCATCTTACTTAAAAACTGAGAGAGAGAAAGAGAGCACGTGGCCGTACAGAAGTAGATCGCGTGTTGTGGATTCGTGCACGCTAACTGAGCCGAAATTCCAACATTCCACTCTTTTTACGGAATCTATATACTATATATAACTATATATCTATAAATACATATATATATATACATTTGTTTCATTCCATTCTCACTCTATTACTTTACCTATAATCACTTTTCATACCTTTATTTATACTCTAGACTCTAACCAACATATTGCTTAGAATAATTTTCAATCTTCATTTTCGTGTAATTCACCTGAAAGCAGACTGTCGCTAAATAGCCTGAAGCACCCTAAAAATGAAGGAAAAAATGCAGCAATAAATGGTTAGGTAGAGTGTTAAAAGCCTATTGACTGGTGCACTCATGAGGATAATGAGGTTCGTTGTAGCATAACGGTTTTGGAAATGGCTCATTTGAACATTAGAGTAATTCCTATAAGACTGAATGTTTCTTGTTGTTGTTGTGGTGGTATATGGTCAGAGTCTGTACCAAAAATCTCGCTGGTTCTTCTTTTGTGATCCTTTTTTCTTTTAAATGTGTCTATATGCGGTCTATGTGTCCGCGTGCAGACAGATAGGAGAGGAGTTTGGCTATCGATCGTTCTCAGCAGCAGCCGCGTGGTCGCCGTTTCCTCCTCTTTCTCCTCCTTCCTTCCTTCCTTCCTCTTTCTCGTCGTCCTTTTATTTTTCTTCGTAACTTGTCTATATATTGTTGTCCTCTTTACCCTTTTTTTTTCCACTAACCCACGTATACAGCATTACTACGGTCTGACGCGTCGGCATAAAAATCTCTTCAACCCTCCGAAAGTTCTGGCCACGTGACGCGATGCGCGAATGAGAACCGGAAGAGTAGTTATTCTCCTTCTTTTTGCTTTTTGCTTTGACCAACTGGTGGGGGAAGAGTGTCGGTTCGAGGGCAAATCTAGTAAGCTAGGACATGGACTATTAATAAACTGTATTTGGGGGTGCCGTACCTGGCTACCGCGCGTAGCATTTCTCTCTCTTTTTCTCTCCTTCTCTCTCTCTCATTCATATACATATATACGCACACACTCTTTCGACGTCTTTCTCTTTCTAACTCGAGAAGAGCGTCCGGACGAGCGCGCCTCCGGCCGTCCACCGGCGTCTCAGTGTCGCCGCGACGAGCGACGTCGTCTACTACGTTTCTCGTTCCTATTGCAGTCGACCAAGTAATATCTCTCTCTCCTTATCTTCTTATACAGTGAATCGTTAACGTTATCTCATTTTACCAACATACTAACGCTCGTGAATATCGCAGACCCCCTGCCAATTCGCTCTATTTTTCTCTTTTTCTCTTCTCCAATCATCTGTCACACTCTTCCCTGCATAATTTTATTTATATTCTCAATTTATTCTGCGTCAATAAAAAAAAATTCTACGTTTCATCTAGAGATATAAAAAAAAATACTACTTTTATAGGAAGTACCGATTTAACGTACCGATTTTCAACGGTTTGTGCTACGCTCTTCAGTAAAATAACTATATTTTTATTTATACAGTGTACAATAATGACTAAATATTTTCATAATTTTTAATGTATGTTTATACGGTATTGAGATTTAACAAGAAAAAAGTACATATATTTATCCATAAAAATACAATTATTTGAATAAGCAATACAAAAAAGAAAGTGTTAGAATTTATATGAACGACAAAAGTGAAGTTAAATGTTGAATTAAATGTACAATATGTGTTTAATGAGGTGCTAGTGAGTCGTTGGAAAAATAAAAATAAGTACAGATATAAAGTTAGAGTAAATCTTGAATCACAACAAGGAACGTGTGAAAAAGGCGGGAACGCGGGTGCAGATGAGGCCACGATCAACCTGTGTCCAGGAGGTGGAGGAGTATCGGTGTGACCTGCGTTACGGCTATTTTGGGAATCCGTGTTTCTGACAAGCAGACGAACAGAGAAACAGACGGTCGGTTGTGTGCCACAGCGACCCAAGTCCTTACGAATACTCGATGGTTCGTTTTATTTTCTTACTTCTACATTTTCTCGTCTTCTTATTTATTTGCAACCATATTTCAACTGATTGCAAGTTATAAACAATGTCACTTTAAATGTTATCCACCTTTTTTGCCTTTTATTCAATCCAATTCACTATGTAATAAAATATTTGTTCGTTCTATTCTATAAATCAGTCCAATGACCGAATTTCAATTGTAATTGTTCCATAAAATACTATCGCACTTTTTTCCTTTTACATTTCAATTGATTGTCTTCACATACTTATGCTAAATCCACCGTCTTGCCTAGATCTCTTCGTCTGACCAACAAAGACCGCAACTACTAACGGGCCTTGCTCGTGCCCAATGTATGAAATTGTCTCTTTAGAATATATACCTCACATTGATGCTATTTATTTTTACATCAATTTATTTCAATAAATTTTATTTATTTTTCATCTAAATTATCTGCATTGTTATTATTATTATTATTATTTATTTTTACGATAGTCGTTGTTGTTATTATTAGTGTTATTGTTATGATTTGGATATTTATAGAGAATTTATTTTTAAATATCAAGTATGTTACGATGATATTTGAAATAAATGTTTTAGGATGAATTCCATCCGTTTATTGAGGCCCTCTTACCATTTGTGAAGTCTTTCTCCTACACGTGGTTCAACCTACAAGCGGCTAAGAGACGTTACTACAAGAAGCACGAAAAGCGGATGAGCCTCGAAGAAGAGCGTCAGTGTAAAGAAGAACTCCAAGTAAGTGTTTATAAAGATGACAACATGAGTATATTAATAATTGTTTATTTCTTCATCTATTTAGTGTTATTGATATTTTTATTGTCTGGAGTATATAATTTAATATAATATTTTTTGTTATTTTTACTTGATGTTTCTTCACCTTGAATGATTTATTTTCGACCGACCTATTGGTCAACTCTAGCGACTAACCTTGAGAAATGTAATTGGTCGTAAGAGACGAAGCTTATGATTTTAATATTCGAAGGGTGGGTAAATAGAAAGTTGATTGTTGGCTTTTCCGAGATATATATTTGATATAAATTGAATATGGACAAATAAATTTACTGAGGAGAGGAAAAACAGGAAAATGGAGAAACAGCAGGAGGGGTAAATGAAAAAGAGAAAATAAATGATAAAAAGAATAAAAAGATCCAAAACTATTTTTGGCGCTAAACGACGTCGTGACGTTTTGTCGTTCAGTCAGTAGTTCTCATCTCAATTCACGCACACTCTACTTTCTTTACTCTTTCTTCTGTTTTATTTTTGTTTCACGTTCTCTTTTTCAATTAATTGTTTTTGATACCACATTCAGTTGTACATTAATGTCGGTTTTCTTAACAAATTTTTTAATCATTTCAAGAAAATTATTTCTCGTCGGAATATTAATGTTGATAAACTGATAAGTTACATTGTTTTTTTCCTCTCTTCGGTTTCTATACTTGAGTGCTCATTTTCTTCATTTTTCTATTCTATCTTGCACTCGTTGCTTGTAAAATATTTTCCAATTCTTTCTATTCACATAGCAATGATGCTTTCGGTCGATATTTTAATCCCACGATGGTGCTGTATATATGGCAAATGGTGAGAGCTGAATATATCTAAAAAAAAGTAGGGGCAACCAGCGAGTATGTTGTTACATAAAAAACCAAATTTTTTATAGGAATCTTTTTGTTCGCTAATGAATTATGTTATGTTAAGAATAGTTTAAGTAATGGATGGATATGTAGTAGCACTTCTGAAAATGAACTCCAGATTTCTCTTTATTTGAATCGTTTGTTAAAAAAATGATGCAAACAAAAAAAAATATCCCGATTAAGTAAAAGTCAATCATTATGATTTAAATACCTCAAAGTAATCTAGAATAAATAATTTTAGTAATAAAAAAATTTTTATCTATTAATGAGAGTTGATAAAAAAATTTGAAAAAAAAGCATCGTACTAAAAAGAATTGTAGATATTTAAAAGTAAAAATAAAGAGTCGTAAATTTGATTAAGACGGAACAAAAGAGCAGTATTTTAAAAATTATCAAAAAAATAAAATAAAGTACTTGGAGTACACGAGAGGTAAATGGGGCTATTAAACATATATATAACTAACAGGATATCACAGAAAATCAATGCGTCCAATAAAAAATATTTATACATATAAAATGCATACATATCCAAATAAAACGAATAGGAAAGAGTTGGAAAAAAAGATAAAGAAGAATAATATCGAATGTTCGTTCTATTATTTTCAAGTAAAACATTGGAAATGATTGGAAGAGAAAGAAAAAAAAATAAAACATCGCTGCAGATTCTTTCGGACGTTACTTCAAGCGAGAATTTTACCCCTGACACTGGAGGTGCAGGGACACAAGTGGAAAAGCTCCTTTGGAGAATTGACGTGACGGGCGTACAAATCTCGAGATAGACTACTTAAATTCTAACTGGTTGAGTAAAGGAAAAGAAAAATGTACGAATGGCTGAGAAAGAAGGAAGAAAAATACGACGACGTGTTCCAATAAGTACTTTAGACCATGCAAAGACTGACCGTTTCATTTCCCCCTTTGGTCTTTTGGCCTTTTCTTCACTTGCAGAGTTACTAGTAGTTTTAACAGCGCCGAAAGCCATGTGTCCGCGTGTATATACAAGCAGCATGGACCGCGAGTACATGAGAGATGCTTGCATAGGGATAGTAAACGCGGCGAAAGGGAAAAAGAGGGACAACATAAAAGGGGGACAGGAGGGAGGAGGAGTAGACACACGTATAGCGCATACGCCGTCGCGACGGAGGCTGCGGCTACGCGGCGCCTACCAACCACCATCTATAATCTCTATGCGGATATCGATTTTCCACCCTGTATTTCCTAAATTTATGCAAACTAGCAACCCTTTCCATTGCCCCGACCCTCGAACCGCTCTCGGAGACTACTGCCTTCCCGCGGTGTATCTTTCTCTCTCAGTCAGAACGATCGTAGATATATGTATGGATATATACATATAGGTATTCTGTCGGCCCCATTCATCTAACAAGCCCACTCACCCGAAATATCTCGTCCGTGTCCTCCTCATCTACCCTGCTATGATGACGATGGCCCATCGCGGCAAAAACGAACCAGGTGTGAACAATAACGAGATAAAGGACATACTTTTTCCTACCTGTCAATTATTTATTTGATTTATTCCCGTTTATATGTACATTGTTTTATTCATTTCTATTTTATTCCATTTTTTTAACTTCCTTTTGTTTCATTTTTTTTATTTTGTTTTTATTTCGATTCTTCCGTTATTTTGAAACTTATATAACTTTGTGTAAATTGCGAATTTTTTGTCTGTTTATTTATGTGAAAAAATTTGTCAAAATTGTCGAGATTGTATGCGATACCGGAAGCACTTGATCTGGAGAAAGAGACAATGTAAAAGTGGGAGATGATGGGATGAGGTAAAAACGACAATGCGGCGCGACGCGACGCGACTACGTGGCAGCATGAAATGCGTCGTGCTGGTTAGATGAGGGTCAAGGGGGGTAGTGATAGTGTTGGTTGAAAAGAGGAGGTCGGCCGTAACGATTTAAAAACATTGTCGCCCTCATGTTTTCCACGAGGTAAATCCCTATACCAAGCTTGATCTCATACTCTTGGATGTCTCATTTTTTCTCCCTATCTCTTTTATATTGCCTCACTTCGTTGCGCCGAATTTATGCAGATTGGAGCTCTCCTAGTCTACATCACGCTAACGGTCGTATTAGAAATCGATGTATACATAACTTTTACTTAAGGATGAAAAAAGTGTTGGGAAACATGTAACATGTGAATTGAAAATTTAATAGTCTGCTATTATATTGAAGCTTGAAGAAAAAATTCCATTATATCCATCCGTTTCTGATCTTTGCTAACGTACTGGAAATAAGAAATATTGGTCTTTAAGAGTACTTGGACATTTAATTACGTATTAAGGAGATTCTTATTTCGATGGCAAATGGCAGATTGAGATTTTATTTGTCTCATTGTTGGAAAAAGTAATAAAAGCTCATGTTCAAAAATTCAAGTATCACTGATGTTATTTTCAACCATCTAGATTAATAATCATCTTGAAAAAAAAGTTACTCTTCCGAGTAAATTAAAAATCTTAAAGCTAAATAATAAACATTGCGTAATAGTGTCTATAAAATTTCGTACATTTTAAAGTATCATGAAAATGAAAAATACAATGTGGTATTTATGTATATATATATATATATATATTTATGAGTAAGTTTGTTAAAAATACATTCCCTTAGTTTGTAAATTTTCCTGCAATTCATACAGGTACTTTAGACGCAGAAAAAAAAAATGAGGAAAAAAAAAGCTCGAAGCAATTTAGCATGAATAGTCTAGCCATATAAGGATGCTCTCGGAAAGTTGAAAATGTGGCTTTAAAGCTCGTGGTAATTTTTCCCAAACAATTGCCTCCAGGCCTCAAGAACTCGAGCGTGGAAAGAAAAAAAAAGGGGAGAAAAATATATATGTACAAATACATACATATAGAAAAATATATACGACGACGGGACAGAGAGCTAAATAGTCGATCGCAGTCGCGTTATGGAAGGACGAAATGACGTTGGAGAATGGGAATAAGAATGAGAAATAAACATAGAAAAGTCTTTCTAACAAAAGGAAAGGAAAAAAAAAAACGAGTCAGAAGTGTGTCCTCTTTTGCTGTTCTGACTTGTTTTACCCTTTTCACGATCTCCACAATATTTACAGCGTTCTATGCAGACCTCGAAATTGCCTATAAAGAAATCGTGAAATCGCTTTGTTCGCGTCATAACGTAGTAACGTAAGGGGCCTCCACCGCCGGCCATACACTCGGGATCGTTGCCAAATTAATAAATATATTCTCAAGTCGATTCTGCTTCTCAACCCTCACTTGTCTTTTCCATTTTAAATGACCTTACACATTTTTTCCTTGCACATATATTTTATTTATATGCATATCTATATTGTATATACAGTACTCCGAGTATCTGTTAATACATATGTATATATTAAAAATATAGATATATCTTTTCATACCCATTCTGCCCATTATACTTGATGAGCAATTAGGAAGTACGATTTCGGAATAAAAGGACACCGGGATTATATGGCACAGAAACGACAAAACTTGTACCCGAAAAACTAAATCGATATAGGCGCATGGCGTTACATGTCGTTGAGGTATATAGCTATGTAAAGCTAATGTACACATGCATATTCCACACATTTATACGCTAAATCACACTCGCGCATACACGATAAATTTCGTAAAAGAATCCCCGGAAATGACGATAATAAAAAAATCGCTGCTTCATGATGATCCACATCTTGATCCTAATCTTCAGTCTAATTTATTGCAAATATTATACTGCTTTGGTAGAAATTATTTTCAAGTATTTATAATGTTGAGACATTTCGATGTATCGAGACAGATTAGAAGTAATGTTTTCGCCTCGTCAGTTCCATCTGTTTAGGATTTTATCCTTTTCCTTGATAGGGAAGCATCGAATTTCGGATGTATATAAAAAAAACATGCAACTGAGTATTTTCCCTTTACTTGAAGACGTCTCAGATACTCAGAGACTTTGGTGGATCGAGGTAGAAGATAAAAGGTGAGCTACAAGAAAAATAACGGCCGGTATTCATCGAGATTTTCCATTAGAATGCCTTTTGTCAAGTCAAGAAGAAAATCAAGAGGAAGATATAAAAATTCGACGGTTGCAGACGTTTATATTTTAAACTGGAGGGAAATAATTTCAAAAAATATTTCACCTTCCCTATCTGAATTATGATGAGGGATGGTCATATAAATTTTAGATAATTTTAAGCTCAAATAAACTCGATAGTTCGCTATGGATAAGGATGGAAATTTATAGTAATTTTTGCTGAAATAAGTAATATTTACTTTACAGTTCAGTAACGCTATTTGAATTTTTCTATAAAATAGGATAATAAAATTAACTAACTTTTTTTCAATAAATCATATTTATTCAATTGATAAATTTAAATTTTTATTATAAATTTGTCTTTTTAGATATTATAAATAATATCCCTAGAATAATTTGAACCTCTTTTTAGTTTTTAGTAAAAATTCTAATATTTAAGTATTTTTTATTCAAATGCCACTTTGCTTCTCTTAAAGAATAATTTTCACTTCATAATTTTTTTCATGTATAAAATATAAGCTTTCTACATCAACATGAACTATATTCTATCCAACAAACTTCTACCAAATCACAATTTTATTTTAACATCAGATTGAAGTTGATTAATTATTTTCAATGAGAGGGAAATTAATGTAAATTCTTGTGTTCCATGTAAAGTTGATGTGGAAGATGACTTTCATTAATTTTCAACAAGTTTAATGATAACCACTTGATCAAATGAATATGTAAAATTTTTTGTAGTGTCTTTTTCGTCTAGATAGCTATTTTATCTTCTTACAATATTCCAAAATAAATTGGCAGCAGCTGTTGCACATCGCACATTTTGTGTTAGTGTCAAAATCAGTGTCTACAACGAAGTAACGCCATTACTATCAAGAATAAACACTTGCATGCAGATATAGTAATAAGTCTCTTGCTCGAGAATCCACACCTTGTCTCACTCATGCCCAATGTGTAACACATAACTGTACTCGCGTCAACAAAAGTCATATTGAGAAATTCCAAGGAATATTCCACGTCCTCAATTTTTACACGCCAACCTAGTGTCACATTCTGAGTATATCATCGTCATGATCGTCATATATTATTCACTGAAAAACCGACTACTCTTTCTCTCTTCAAAGAAAACTCTTTTTAAGTCAAAGTCATTTCAATTGGCTTTACATACTTGAAATTTATCTATGATCATCAAAGTGTTTCTAATCTCCAATTTGCCTACCTTTTTTCATTTACAACATCTTGAGAAAAAACGTTCTCTGATAAAAAAAAAGTTGTGAAGAGCAATACTTGACTATCATCAATTCTAAAGTAATTGTAAAATTGATTCTTTTGAAAAATCGTGAATAATATTAAAGCAAAGTAACTAAATGTTTTTGGAAATATATTAACCCAATGTTTCAGCAAAGTGGCCATGTTCGGTTATTTACATTAAACCAACGAGGTGCCGCGTGTGATGGTGGCATAATATATATGTTGATCACGCTCAGATAATTTATGATTAAAGTTCATTATTATTTTCAAGTACAAAAACCTCAATAACATTTAAACCAACTATGTATGAATAAGAATATAAAAATAAAACTACCATCTAAACGATAACAGTCCTAATAATTAAGCTACAACTATCATAAAAATATATTTATTGCTTATAACCCAGAGCATCTAAAAGGGTTTTTTTATAAACATTTTTCCATCTCATCTAATTTATAGCATCTTTTATGGTTATTCTATTGAGAAATCAAGTCGTTCTCTAATGTACATTCTACCCCTCGTGGGTGGAAATATCCATAAATAACAATCACTACTTTGAGTAGAGTTGAAATAAGAAGCAAAATGTTTATTTTTCTAACTTATACATAGTCGCATGATTCAGTATGTTCTGTCATGTAAAAATTAGCTTGCATAATTCCATGCAATAATATAGTACCGAAAGATTTGATAAATATTAAGTAGATGACAATAGCATATTTTTCTCCAACAAATATTCATCTTTATAATATGATAATTCTTCCAATATCATGAAAAGAAACATTTTTATGACGTAGTCATTGAGATCACGAAAACAGATAATTTTCAGGATTTTGTATAAAAACCCTGTTGTTTTCACTTCAATTCCCATGAGATAGAATAGTTGAACTCTGCAATGTGTCTGGAGGATATGATTTCTAGCAATAAAAAATGTTATAAAGCAAACTTAAGACCTAATTATATTTTTATGTATCAATTTATTTTATTTTTATTGTTGGAGATGAAATAGATGACTAAAGACTCAACACATGTAAAGGAGGGACGCTGATGTGTGCTTGTGATTTCTTATTTACAATTGCGAAAGACACTTGCGTTGCATACTTGATGATATACATACCAGACTTCTTCTTTACGTTGTCCTTTTTTTCCTTTCCTTCATTTCTCTAGCGTTCCCACGAACTGTAAACAATCCTGAGCTGGAATAGATCGACGTGGCCTGTGAATTCCTTATAGGTACATTTTCAATGTTTACCATGTGAGATTTTCTATTCCATGTGTGACTCGAGTATACCAGCATGAGGAAAAACGACTTATAAAACAAAGTGTGTATGTAAAAAAAGCTGAAAGGGTAGTGGTGGTATGGGGTGAAGGGAGAACGAATGGACGCATGCATTTTATTGAATGCGGAACACGAGTTGAGAGTTTAATCGATGTGATAAATTTTGTTTTTGTTCTCTGTTTCAGAATGAAAAATTGGAGGTGAAACAGAAATGGGCTTCAAGACTTTTGGGAAAACTGCGGAAAGATATTACACAAGAGTACAGGGAGGATTTTGTTTTAAGTATTACGGGGAAAAGGCCGGCCATGTGTGTCCTAAGCAATCCTGATCAGAAGGGCAAAATGCGGAGGATTGACTGTCTTCGACAAGCTGACAAGGTTGGTATATTATTATTTTTTTTTTTTCAATAAAATAAAAGAAACATGCAGTAATTGATCAAGTAAAAAATCTATTAATTCTACTCAGTGTCAATAATTATTCTATTAAAGCAACAAAGTACATTTATCTTCTTGACTTTGATAGGTTTGGCGATTGGACCTGGTAATGGTGATTCTTTTCAAAGCAATTCCGTTGGAATCAACTGATGGAGAACGACTTGAAAAAACAGCTGAATGTGCCCAACCTGGTCTATGTGTCAATCCCTATCACATCAATGTTTCCGTCCGGGAACTGGATCTCTACCTCGCAAACTTTATTACCAGTCACGGTAAGCTACTATCAGCAATGGTAATGCAATTACAAAAAAGCATATCACGCGTATGTTTGTATACATACAAGAACGATGAGTGAAGAGAATATGCAAGAAAATTTTTGTCCCCATCGGATGCCAACGTTCCCTGAGGGTTCATTCATTCGTGTAGAATTCGTTCATTCAACACACATGCTACTAGAACAACGATGAACGAGACGAAGATGAGAGAAAAAGAGAGACAGAGATATTCAAATCAACATTTACTCAGTGCTTGTGCGTGTCTCTTGCCAATTCTCTGTCCCATAATCATCAACAACTTCTCGAGATGTCGGAGAGACTCTAGAATTGTCATTCAATCAATGAACTCGAGTCATTCTCTTTAATCAACACGTATTTTTTTTTATTTCTTGCTTCACAACACTTTCAGTGTGCTTATTAAATAACTCCAATACGTTAGATAATTTATTTTACTGAAATTAACTAATTAGCCAGTCTGCTAGTGAATTTAATAATCGGTATTATTCGGCAGCTTTATAATTAATGATATCACATGGTGATGACATGAAAGAGTAATGGAGCTAATGTATATAATTATGTCAATATTGGGATGCTAAGCAAATTAATAACAAAAAGAGGTAGGAAGAAATAAATAGCAAATGAAAAAAGTGTCAGTGCCAAAGCATGGGGTAGGTTAGGCATCATGTCTCTTTACGGTCGCTTGACTCTTCCGTTCTTATTGAACACTCAAAGGAAAAAACTTTGAAACTTTTATTGCTCAAACGATTTTCTTTTATTCCCCTTCCTGAGAATTGTATTTGGGTGATGTTCTGTCGGTGTTCCACATTCAATTCCAACTTTTTCCGACCAAACTATTTTCCGAAGTCCATTGAGTGTCACACTTGGTCTTTTTCACTTATCAGTAATATGTGTTATACACTCATTGTCAGTTATATACTTTTGTCAGGTTTTTTTTCAATCCATCATCAAAATTCATCAAATTATTCATTAGAATTTTTTTTCTCATCAATTCTATCAATTTTTGTTTCTCAAACAGATGCTGAGAAACTTTACAGACAAATTTTTCTAGTTTTCTGGGTAATATGTAATGAAAAGGATAATGAAGGAAATGTGAGAAAGAGCTCTTATGGTTTTAAAAGATAAAACAGTCAGTAACTAGTCGTAGTTCGTTAAGAAAAGATGCTTTAAAATGGCCCGTCAATTTCTAGAAGCACCAGTCTCAAGCGTTGTAGTCTACATCACACTCTCATCAACATTTACCACTACCACAGCTACAAATGCTTAGCTCCCTTCTACATATATACTAACCAGCAGCGTCGTTTTACTTACGCAACTGCTACCTCGGCGATATTTAGCTTGCTAGGTGAATCCACAACGACTAAAACTATTCCACGGATTTGAAGACCGCACTGAAAACCGTGGCGAGTTTCAAACTCTATTCAACATTTTCTCAAAATACATCTATAAATATTCATCACATATATCTATATATTTAAACATACATCTTTTATAAAAATGTCCCCAAAGTCTATTTGCTTTGTTAATCGTTATAAATTACTTCAATGTTTTTTTTCCTACTCTAATCACCCTCTTAAGAATAAAATGTATTATTTTTAGCTAACTAAATATTTAGAACAATAATATTCATTACAGTCACATTCAGAAGTCTAACTTTAAAATTATTAAATTAAAAAAATTTTCGAAAATTGTTGTAAATATTTCTAATTGATTTCCCAAAATCATTTATTTGTTATTAATCACTTGTAAATAAATGACAAGCTTTTATTAACAATTTTTAAAATTTTCAGAAGTTTTAAACGGGATTTGTAATGCGAGTAAAGAAGAGGAAAGGCGGCGAAAAGGTAAAAATATTATGCAACATTGATTTAGTGCATTTGGTGGTGTTAAAAAAATAATAATGAATCCTATTAAAAAAATACCTGAATCAATAATACTAGGAATATTAAAAAATATAAAGTAATATATTGAAAAATATTTATTTCGTTGGATTTGTTCTCAGGTGGAGGTTACCATGAACTCTATAATGGTGTCGTCTGCAATGACACAATCCTCGCGACCGGTGTCTTCAGCTCCAAAGAGCTATGGATGCTTTCAAAAGGTACAATTCTGACCAAGGGTAGCTCTCATTCTATCATCAAATATGTCTAAACAAAATAAACATATTAAGCAATCATATAAAATATTCCAAAAAGTCACAATGATTAATTGGTTTCACTTGAAAAACACTCGCGTTTTTGAAGGATGCTTTCGAAAGGTAATATCATTTATTATATAAAAATAAAATCAGTCTAAATACCTTTTGAAAGTATCCTCGGTGAATTTCAATAAATAACATGAAAAATACTGACTTAAAATTTCTCAAAGACCAAGCGTGAAATTTACAGGCCGCATGTACATATATTAGTACACATGCAATCTGGTGGTAGTATTTATAGAAGGGAACAATACTTATGAAAGACGGCTAAGTATCATGAAAATTTAATTATACTCATTTTCGCTGTATTTTAAAATATCTCTTTCAAGACTCTTGTGATATAATTCATCATTATCCTATATCTACTTGTCTGTCTTTTAATTATTTATCTATTTAGTCGTCTAGTTCATGAGTTTAATTTAACAAAGAATCAAATATTTATCTCATCTTTTATTGTACCAAAGAAAAGTGGATAAAAACATTTGTGAGTGTTATAAAAAATGATAAAAAATATAAATACATTCGGCGTGCAAATATAAAAGCATATATGTAAGTGAATAATCAGGTAGAAAGAGAAATATAATGCGACGTAATGCATGTGTCTGGTTTCAGCATCCATACTGCATGACCTCAGCGACATGCAGCCTCAAATAAACGCGATCAAAATAGAGCACCCGCCGTACTACTGCAGCAGCTATACCCCTCCTTCCGCAGCATCCGCCGCGGATCACTCTCAACCTGCGGCTAGCTTCAGTAAGTTTTTTTTTCTATTTAATAATTTAAGTATCGCATTTATTTGCTAAATATTTCAATCTGTTAATAGGAGAATGCAATGAACCATCATAAAACATATATGATTTGATGTATGAAAAATATCCAAGCACATGTACTTTGTAATTGGTGTTTTTTTTATAGGCCCACCGCCTGTACATCAGCTTATAAGGAACGACAAGACTGAAAAAGCACCTACAGTTTCGGCATCAAGTGCCCCTAGTTTCTCTCCTGTACTTAGACCTGAAGATAGCCACCGTGGTATTGACTCTCCTCATTCGCAAACAGGTATACTGAAATATGAATTTTATTATGATATATATATATATTTATATAGAGTGTTGGATTAATTTTATTTATTAGTATTGTGTATATATATAAATTATTCAAATATATATTTACATATTTTTATATAAGCTGTAAGCTAAAATATTTGCTCTCTCGTAAGATGTGCAGTTATTCGTCGTGAACTACAATAAATAAATTAATGAGTTGGTTTTGAGCGACGCAAGATATATGTTAACAATAAATTTTTATTCTTTTTAATAATAATCAAGTAATATGACACTAATAACGATGCCGCTGCGTTAACTCATCGCCTTTTTTTACACCTAACACAATTAATGTACCATTTATTTCTCACCGGAGTTTTGTTCTTTTCTTTTTTCTATTATTTTTATCATGAGTTATCAACAATACAAATCTATCGATTAATTATAATATCATTGCAACAATATATCTAAAATCATTAATAAATTTATATTTAATAATTAAAAAATTAATATTTTAAATAAAAATGATTGATTTTTTAAATCAATAAATACCAAATGATTGAAGTAAAAATAATAATTTCACTGAAAATAAATTGTTACTAATTTATATTGGTGAAAAGAGTAACGAAGTTTTTAATTAATAGTAAAAATACTTCATAAAGTTGAAATCAGTAGACTTGTATTGTTAAAAAATAATTTTACCTTTTAATTGCTCTTAGTTAAGTTGAATTTACTTTAATCTCCATCTTCTCTAATACTGAACCTTATATTTAACCCCTTTCTCACTCTTTCACTCTCTTGATTTTTATTCAAGTCTCAACTATATGTTAACAATGTCCAGTGTGCGATAAACCCATTTCTGAGCTGACTCGGGCATCGTTGAAAGTTTCGCCAACATAAATAATGTGCTATTAAGACTTTTATAATGACATTATCTTAATAAATATTTAAGTGAATCAATAATAATATAATAGTAAAAAGTAAAAAAAAATGATATTAAAATTGTAAATACTTTTTATTATAAACATAAGCAAGCAGGATTGACAAGTTCATTGGATGCCGAATCTAGATATTGAAAGATCAAATAATGAAGAAATACTAAAAGAAAAGAGAGAGAGAGAGAGGGAGTCACTAATCGTGGATTACGCGTGATCTCTGTTTCAGTATGAGCCCGAGCATTGAGAGACGCTCGCTAACTCGACCAAAAGGTACATTGTGATATGGTTATGATGTTATATCTATCTACCTATGCGACATGTACACGTATTTTTCGTAGACGTATGTGCGCACGGCTATATAAAGAACGTTAATTATACGTCTCTATCATTACATTATATATTATATATTTTATTATATATACTTACTTTCTTCCGAAAATATTGAACGTGCGTTCCGTTATTCCTCCACATTATTGTAAATACGTGTTTTGCATATGTATATATCTTTCATTTTTACATTCTGTTTCTTTCGTTTACTCCCTAAAAAATCTAGTGAATGAACATACTGTGTGGTGGGCTAAAAGACTTATATCTTCTAAGAGATCAAAATTCGCACTTGAAATTGTCATTGTTTTTTATCTGTTGTTATTTGTATATATTAAGTTGATACGTATTTTCTATTCAGGTGTAATTGTAATCTACCACCACTTGTATGAATATCTATGATTGTAAAACAAAATTACCTGTTTTATACATTGCTGTCACATCAAGCCTTCTCATTATTATTTATTTAATGCCGTACACTTATTATTCTCACATTATATGTTTTCACTGTATTACTCGCTTGATCGTATGTATATACATCTACATGTATATATGTACACATTCACCATTTTTTGTAGCACACATATTTTGTTGTGTGAAGTTTATACATTATTTCATAGGTTCATATATAAATATTAATATCCAAAAAAAAAAAAAAATACCAGGCATATTTCAATTTTTTTCTTCTCACGTAATTCTACTTCTTCTACTACCACTTCTTCTTCTTCTTCTTTTATAATTGTTATTATTAAATGCACTTTCTTCTGTATCTCTTTTATTTAACAACTTTAAATGTTCTTTCTCCTCCCTTCTACATAGCTACATATCCACTCATGAAATTGGCTTGCAAAGTTAGACAATTGCTTGTATAATGTTATATCCACTGTGTGTATATATATATATATATAATTATGTCTGTTCTTATTATGTACCTATATAATATCTAAAGTATTTGGTACTTGTTTCATCTCGTCACCATGTGCAAGTATAGATAAGAGTATAAATGGTTGAAGAAGTTTAATTAATCCTCGCTCATTTTCTCCCTTATCGTTGTTATTATCATCTAATCGTTTAATCTACATTTATTTTCATGCTGGTTATTTCCTAAGAAGAATTATTTTTCAAGTTTTTCGTACGTTTTAATATGCCATATTTTATGGACAAAAAGCACTCTAGGTATTAGTCTCATCAACATTAACATCGATTACCTTATCAAGCATCTTACATATCAACATATCAGTTATTTATTTATCATTTTTTAATATCGATTAGTTTATCAATTGCATACCATTTATTTGGCAGTGCTCTGTCATTATTTATTATGTTATATATGTGCTGAAATGATAGCCTGCATCGTTAATATATGTGCACGATTGTTTAGCGATGCTGTGTTATTTTACTTTATTACTTTTTTGGTTAATGGGTTTTACACTGCGACTGGAGCATAGAATTGACACAAGCTTTATCTAGATTGTTAGTATTATGCTGTGAGGGAAATCGATTTTTTCAAAATTTAGAATTCCATCATTTATTTATTTTAGCAATTTATTTTTTACTATCAACTTATTATTATTATTTTTAACGATAAAATATTTTATTTAGTAATTAATTCGCACCAGTATTTTGCATTATTTAATTATTTTTTTAATTAACAGTAATTAATTAGCACGTAGTCAACAATTGATAAATTTTATTAAATTATTTTAATCATTAAACTAATTTTTTGTTGCATATAAAATATATTACACATATATTATATATTACACAAATTGTTTTTAAAACATAAATAATATTTAAAAACAAAATAAAATAACGTAAGTACGTAAATAGTTGTGCGATATATATCTATCACATTATTTTTATTATTTGTTTGTTTTTTTTTGTATTCTTTTCACAAAAGGTAATTTTGAAATGAATCACTGACTTAAAATTTATTCACAACCAAAAGCTTATGCAATGTGAATATTGATACCCTATTATATAAAAATGCAACAAAGCATGTTAATAAATCTGAACATAGATATATATATAATGAATTCTTGAATGCATTATTATTATTACACTACTGTCGTCAATATGTCACGTTACTTCTGTTACTGTCATTATTAGATTACTTATTTATTCGATTTTATTCATCTCTATCAATATACTGCCCTCCGAAGCATACTTACTATATCTATATACTCTTGAAAACTCAATATGTAGATACATCAAGTATATTTCGGCGGGTAGTATATACAGCCAATGCTCTGGGTATGTCGTATGCTGGATGGAATTTAATCATTTCTACTGAATTTTAAAATAATGATCTAAAAGTTTGAAAACCCCCTCCAATTAATTGTTAATTATAATATGAATTATAACATCACATTTATCTCTCACATGAATTTGTCTATTAAATTCACCTGTATATATCCAAAAAAAAAAAACCTTCATTATTTATCATTTCTACTTGCAGTATTTACTTAGATGAATTTGAAACCTATGCGGATGAATTCCTCGACACCGTTCGGTTTTATTTCGTAAGCACAAATTGATCGATTACTGAACGGTTTCAACGAATTCACCTTTTATATACTATGTACATACCTCTGTTGTGATGTTGGTGTTGTTTACTATCCATATACATGCTGATCGTATACATATATAATGTTCAAGTATCCGTAATATACGTATATGTTCTGTATACTATATAATAACTATATACACTTGTTACATGTCTATAACCATTGTTGATGTTGTTTTTATTAATGTCTATTATGTGTTGTTTAATCGTTGTTATTATTAATGGTTAATGTTTTCATAACGCTATATATATTGACCATATATTGAGTGTTATGTTTGGATGTGTGTGGAGACATGGATATTTTAAATAAGGTCAAGCAAGGGTTTTTTATTCAAATGATGATTGAACTTTGAGAAAAATTTTATTTCCTATTAAATAAATATGTTCATGACTTTTTGACTTTTTTATTCAACATTATTTTGGTATATAATAATTAAAAAAATATTTATTTAGTTGAAATAAATTTTTTTCTCAATGTATAAGAGCGTATGCAGTTGATTTTCACTGGAGATGTTATTTTAAAAATGTAATTTTTCAAATCAAATAGTTCTTTTTTTTTCTAAATTAAAAAATGGGGGAAAAAACTTAGATATTAAGAAAGAATAAAAATAATCCATCCTCGAGTATTCATGAAGGAATCTATTTCAATCTCGACATGTAAAAAATGTTAAATTAAACTGGAGAGCTTCATTCTCATGGAAGAACTTCTGTAATCACTATTGAGTATGTGGACCTAGGAGCATTACCACCTGAGTAGGGAAAAGTAAGCGAAGCGCTGGTTTTAGAATTCACTTAGCGTATGGCTTCGATCTCAGACTCTTAGTGAAAATCCACTGTATACGTATTTCAAATCCTTTGTCGTCTTTTATATATACATATAAACATAGTATATGAACTATGTAGTACATGGTGTATATATGTATATATAAAACAATGTACGTACATGTATTACAATCATATCAACTGACGCAACCCTTGATACGCATCACCATTATACATTTGTACATACGATTCAGCAGATTATTTGAGCCGTGTTATGCAGAAACTAATCTAGCAAGTTGATCAATACTCAATTCACGAAAAGTTACTTTCAAACTTTGTACATAGATGTTGATACAAAAGTCAGCTACTTCCACTTTTTATTCTGGATTTTTTAGTGCAATGTGCATTCACTTATTTTCGCATAATACGGTTCATTTTGACTTCCCGTCGCACTTTTTCTTTGCATCGTATATAAAACTTGTGACGTGATGTACGTGCAGACATGTATACATATGACTTTGCAGCCAGTCAGTCAGTCATATAAATATCAGACTCATGCTTCTATTCTTCGCGAAAACCTTATAAAAACAAAATTACTTTTTAACCATTTCACAACTTCTTCTCATTATGAATCCTCTCTAGTCCTGACAATAAAGGCTACATTCATGACTTTTTATTCATTTCCCCATCTTCTTCTTCTCCTTCTCTCGATCTCTTCTTTTCTCCTTGTTGTTATCAGCATAACCACTGCTACTACCACGACCCTCTGGAAAATTCACTTGATGAATAAATGATGTTGGTGTACTAAACAATCATAAAGTCTATTGATTAATAATAATTCACAAGAGGGGAGTGGATAAGCAGCTTTCCTCCAGAAATGTAATGTAATGTTTATCGATTTTAATGATAGTCAATTGTGTTTCAGGTCTACATTCACCACATGAAGGTTTAGCTGGTGGTTCAAGTCAAACCGGAAGTATGTCCGGCCTTGCCTATTACCAACCTGAACATCCAGTCTCAAGCGGAGTTGTCAAGTACCCAGAGAACGGTCACGACACACTCTCGGATTTTGTCACGTTTGTCTGTCAAGAGGCTGAAAACACTCAGCAATTACCCCAGGTACCTCTCGGGTTGATCAACTCGACTATTTATGTGTTTCTTCGTGTTCCAATCACTCTGGGATGATAAAATTTTCCTCATTTTCTTTAATATTTATTTTCATCATTATAAAGTATTAAAGAATTTTTCAAATATTGATTCAACTAACAATAATTACTTGAATCCAACGGTTAAATCATTGCTCTTAGCTTCAAAAATGTTGGAGTGAAATATTAAATTGGGTAAAGAAGTAATATAAATTCTAATAATGATACTGAAGACAGTAAAAAAAAAGCCCAGAGTGAATGGACATAGCAACACATATGAAGTTGATGATCGGTTGTATGTGAATTTTCCAGGCTCAATTAACTGGTCAACGTGCGGGTGTACAAAAGTTCTCACAGTATTATCCGAGTTCAATGCTACCCCCTCCACCACCAGCACCAATGGCGAGGCCAGTGGCGATAATTCGTTCAACCGGCGAATTAAGTGCTACGGGATCAGGATCACCACCGACGTCCTCAACGTCACCGACAGATCCAACAGACCTCAATGGTACAAACCAAGACCAACAAATGCAGGTCGCTGCTGCAGCCGCTGCGGTTGTTGGTGTGACTGGTGCTAATTGTCAAAATACAATTGATGCTGGACGAAAAAGTCCTACGAGGATTTTTGTCACGGCACCACATAGCAGAGAGTATACCTTCGCCCATTTTCACTCACAGCCTGGACAGGTGAGGGCACATCTCGAGCTTTGACAAATGGAAAAGTTTAAATGGTCTGATAATATTTAGTCATTTAGATTGTACATATTTATTATTTCCTAATGTTTATCATATTTTTATTTATTTTTTTACACAGCAAATATTTACCTACCCCACCATCAGTTCAATGTCTGGAGTAATTTCACCTACAAATCTTTCACTATTTTCATCACCGGTCGCTGTTACAAGACCAGTTGCTACTCAAAGATCAGTTGCTAATGTTCCACCTCGCTGGAACACCGCATCGTTTATTAATCTGGAGGATGATTACAATATGATTGCTCCAATTATTTCTAGTACACCCGGAGAACCACCCTCTAGTATAGACGAAGGTGAGTGACTTCCTTGAAAAATTATTTCGCATCTGTATGAATTTATTTAATTATTAAAATCAAAAATATCTATATCTGTTATTTTATTACTTGTGAATCACTTTATAGAATTAAGAATCAGTTTGCTATTTGCAGAACGATACTTTCAATCCGTGCACACGAGTAATGTCGTGGACAAAAGCGGGTCCGGGAGTTTGATGGGCAACGAACTTGGTGTTAATCAAGATCCATCTGCACATCATCAACAGCAACAGCAGCAGCAACAACAACAGCATCAACACCAACAACAACAGCAACAGCAACAGCAACAACACCAACAACAATCACACTCACAACAAAATCAACATCAACAAATACAGGAAAAAAATGAAAGACCTAAATCTCCTCCGTGACCTTTAGAAAATCGTTGCGCACATCACGAAGGACCTACCTCGCCAATAGGGTCATCACTCGTGGCTTTTTTTATGCGAGTTTCGTAATGCCAATTGAAATTTAATCGCTGATTTGTTTAATCCAGCGATTTGATACTGATATCTGTATGCTCAACTTTTTCCCTCTTCTTTTCTTCATCTACTATTGTTATTATTATTATCGTTAAAAAATTGAATATTTTATTGAAACAATATTCACAAACTGTTTCCCGTCAAAAGGTCTTAACCCTCTGCCACTAGTCGTAGGTCTTCCAAAAATTGTCCGCGCCATGTGCTTCCCGGGTGTGTTGAAGAAAGAAATTCAAATATACACGAACTTATAAAAAAAAAATTATAATAGATTAATAAACAAATAAACTATTAAAGAATATAGTAGTAATGAAAGAATTATGCCTTTCTGATTAAATATTTGTTACTTAGATGGCCTCAAAAGAAAACAAAGATAATAAAATGGCTGAATGCCTCGAGATAGTTTGTAATGCAAATAAATTATGTACGTAGTTTGTATAATAACGATAAATCGAAGTAATTGGTGTTTTTTTATAAAAGAATACCAAAAGATAAACATAATTTTTCAAAACGTGATGTATTTTAGCGTTAAAATGATACGCAAATTGTAAATTAAGTAACTTTAGAGGAATGTCCAATACCTCATTGAAGTTACATTTTATGATTACTGATATTATTATTACCATGATTGTTATTATTTTTATTTTTATTAATATTATCATTTCTATTGTCATTGTTATTATTATTATTTCTTTATTATCTCTTTCTCTCTTTCTCTCTCGATATAATCATCAATTGTTATTATAATTAATTTACGGCAGTTAATTACGTCTTGCTCAGAATAGTGCTTATAACTAGCACTTGTGAAAACTATAGTCCCGAAGCTATTAGACTTTAAAACCATTGAAAAAAAGAAATACGTTAAGATAATGCGAAAATATAACTTTGTAGCTATAAAATAAAAATATGAAAAAAAGTATGAGAGCAAAATTGAGCAATTAAGAGCGTTAGTAGAGTGATATTTGTATAAAAGATTCAACAAAAAAAAATGTAACGAATAATTTGTCTACTCATATTATAAGCAATAACAATTATTAAAATTATAAAATTGATAGTGAGTAAGTAATGATTGCGAATGAACATTATATTCTGCTTAGAGTAATTGATTGAGATAATTAGTAAACCAAGTAAACCGATAGAGGAAAAGGAAAAGAAAATGAAATTTTCTTGTTGATCTATTACGCTTATTGGCTTTTGTAAAATTGATTAGTGAGATCTGCACAATGCAAACATGAAATTAAACAAAAGATAAAAATTATGGTGAAAGTATAAACGTATAATTATTGCAAATAGAAGTGTCCAGTTATATATGGATTGCATTATGCAAGAGACATTTATGTTGTATAAAAAGAACAGTCATATGCTCTACTGTGGATTTTATTTCTCAAGTGCTCGAATTAAAAGAGTCAAAGACAATTAATTTTTCAAAATTATATTCAAATTATTATGATTATTGTTACTACGATTATAATTATTATTACTCTATTTTATTTTATTTATTTTTCTTAGATAATTAAGAAGGTGCTTGCATAATTATTATTAGATTTAATTCGTATTGTTGATATAGAAGTTTTTCAATGAAACTAAACTTAATACAAAATAATGAGAGTATCGATGCTTTTATTTAATCTGGTAAGATTCATAAAGTTTAAGATATATTTATCATAGGTTATATATGATTTTTTGAATTTATCTTAGTTTGATTTGTTTATAGAGAAAGAAAATTAGCTCATGAAATGTTGAAAAAAAAGAACAAAATGCAAAGTTTAATATTTAATGATTAATTAATCATACTTTTTTATTTACATGTAAGTAATCCTCTTATCCCATTTTACAGTCATTAGTATCCTACCGATGAATTTCATTTGAAATATTACGGTTAATAAAATAATTACGTAAAAATAATTTAGATTGACGTATTAAAAATTAATAATGATATTTACGGAGAAAAAACCAGCTCAACAACTATTTCAATTATAGAAATGACAAATAATTCATAAACGAGATCGTAATGTGTCTCAGTGCTTTATTATAATGTTAAAATACCTTAAAAAAACGCAAGTAACTATTATTATTTATATAATACCCTTAAAATGCCACGACTACTACTACCACCACCTATTACCACCACCAATAAAAAATTTACATCGAAAATTTTAACACCATTTATCTGTTGTTATCACTATTGTATTTATATACTACTTTTATGAATGCAAACACTATTTATTATGAACTAATTCAAGTTAATTGATGATTCAGCTAATAATATTAATGCTTTTGCCATAAATATGTAAGAAACAATGCCTTTTTTCAATGAATAATTAACGATAATATTATTGCTTTGAGTAAATTATTGTATATAATTATATATTTATTTATTTACTATGAATAAATGTATAAATATATATAATTGTTTAAATGTACACAAGAAAGATAGTGAGTAAAAAAAAATTTTTCAACGAAAGTTATAATATTTGATGAGCAATACCTTGAAATTGATATGTGATTGTAGCTCGTAAAATATGATTGTGATGATTAAAAATATTTATTATGTGCTTAAGTATAATAATGTAAGCGAGCCATAGTTTTTAAGATAGCAACGTAATAGACTTTGTTTCATACCTCTTTCATTATTATTAATAATTTACACAGACATAAACACACGTACACATGAGGATTCATTGATAATGATAAAAATGCACTCGTCAATTTTTGTCATTCAAATTGCAGGGTGGCCCGGGACAGCGTACTGTTTATACAGACATTTGTTATATAAATGACGATTTCGGTTATTAAATGACAATTAATAGTGCAAAAATTTAAATCAAATAATTCTCAAATAAAATAAGGCTATTTGATAAAATAACAATTAGATGTACAAAAGAAAGTGGCTCATTAAAAAAAAAAAAAAAAATACTATTGGTAATAATAATAGTTGTTGAACTATTGTTGTATACAAGAGTCTGTAAATTTTCTTCGCTTTAAAATAATTTTATAGCGCTATCGAATTCTCTCAGGGTAGATGAAATGTAGATTAAATATGTAAATAGTAAAGTGACTAGTTTTTTTGCAATATTAGTTGATAAAAATGTGTCAAATTTATAATAACTTCTATTTCTGCATTTTACATATTTAAAGTAACTAATAATAATAATAAATTAAGATAGAAAATAAATCAAAAACTTATATGCAGTATTTTGCATTGATATAAAATAATGAGAACTAAAAAAAAAAATGTTCATTATTGGGATTTGCCCAGCAGAGTTTGTTGTACATCGTCTCGAGCTGCCTTGAACCAAAAGTGCATTATTTACAAAAACAAACATTATGCATACTTAAGGTATTACTTCATAAAATGAAGTCTAACAAAGACCATCGTTTTCTGAAATATTACCTGGTATGTAAAATTGACTGAATATTAATATAAAATGACGAGGCATAACAATTACAAGGTTGACATGATAAATAAAAAATATATATAGGAAAAAAAAAAATTCAAAAGCAAATTTGTAGAGCTTAAAAACAAGCGCGAGACATATTAGCTCAATGTAAACTGGCGGAGGGAGCTGGGCCAATTTGTAAAATATATTATGTAAGTGATAGTTCTACGTCGTCTGCAGAGCTAAATTTAGGAATAATATTGTTAATTTGTACAATAATGGATCAGAAAAAAACTAGACGAATCGTTCACGATATCAGTGAATTGGCATAAATAAATAACAGTGTTTATATTATAAATAAATATTAACAAACTCACGGTGAAAAGAAATGATAATAATAATAACATTAATAACAACATAATAAAACACTAATAAAAGTAATGATAATGATAACAATAATATTAATAATTACAATAGTGCAATTATTATCAATAATTATTACAGCAATGATAAAAAATTATATATTCAAAATACAGTATGATGATATATTTATCGAATATTTATTGAGCAAGTTAGTAGTTTATATAGAGCAATTGTACAAAGTAGATAATGCGAGAATCATCAAGGAGAAGAATAATAACAGAGTGTAATTAAAATGAAAATTTCAATTGAATTGAAGTGAATTAAATGTGCGGCAAAACGTTGAAATTTAAATGAAAACATAATAATAACAACGGTGCGGTTGTTTTAGTCGTGACAGTCTGAAACTGTGTATTTTCATCTCATGATAATTTTTTTTACAATTGTGAACGCAGTTCATGTTATATATCAGGGATTAGATTAAATACAATTATGATATGCTCCGTGTAAAAGGTGGTAACAGAAAAAGGCAAGGTGGTAATAATGGTGGAGGAGAGGAATATATTGAGAAATATCGTTTAATACATACTTATTGCTAATGTAATAATCCCCTATGTAAGCTGTTTAAAATGGGGGTAGAAATATTGAAAACATGCAAAAATTAGTGCATATTTCATGGAATAAATTTTAAGCAGTAATAATGGGGAGGGGGGGATGCTGGTAGAGATAAAGAACAATTGCTGAGGTGGGATATTATTTGTCACCTTGCCGGGTCAATTATATACATTGTGTCCATACTAACTTACATTTATTATTAATGTGTATTATATATCCGACAATATTGATTATTAAAATACTTAATACATAATGTGTTTTGTCTTTGTTAATAGCCTGTAGAATCGTATGATTTTACTCCAAAATAACCAAACTGGTTCTACCAACTTTTTTATTCTTGCTAAGGAAAATAATATGTAGGATATACAAGTTAGTAATTAACAATTGAAATTATTATTTACTAATCGAAAGGACGGAACTTATTGTCATAGAAAAAAATATTTTCATAGAGAATATTTTTATTCAAAATAATAATAAAAGTCGTAGAAATTGTGCTAAAATTTTACATTTATCTACTACTACTACTACTATAAAGAATAATAAAATATTTCATAATATCAGAAGATCGGCTATTTATTATATATATTTTTTTTTCATTTACATTTTTCTATTTTTTTAATTTCATTATTCAATCAATCCAAAAGACATAACTAAATTTTATCATCACAACGATCCATTTATCATAAAAATAAAAACAATTATACTAGTTTTTTTTATTTTAAAAAATAATTTATTACGATTATTATTAGCTAATCACTGTTTGTTTATTATATTCAAAGCAACATCTGAATTTTTTGAAAGATTTGAAAACAAATTTATAATCTATTTTTATTCTTGATGATCACTCGATATAGTGATTAAGCTCATTTTGTTAAAATGTAAAAATTATACAATTCTTTAATATATTATATATTTACATGCTATAAATTTCAAAAATTTCCACTACATTTACGTCAATTTAAGTACGAAAATATTACATCATAGATTTTTACGTGATGAAAAGAATAATATCAGCTAGTATGTGTGTTTAATATTAAAGTGAGCATAAAAATATTTTGAATGAATTACATTCGAAGAAAGTGAGATAATTCAACATCTCATAATTGCAGTGTCTTCAAGTATATATTATTGCGAATGTTTTTTTGTTTTGTTTACAAGAAATAAAAATTACGTCGATTCATTAATACTGACAATACTTTCTAAACAAATCTTCAGTGAAAGTGAATTAACTACACTGATTTATTTTTTAGAAAGCAATATTTCGAGAGATAGAGTGATTATTGCACCATTATTACCTTCATATCTTTCAATACTATTCAAAATAAATACATTTTTCTTCCATTATTATTTCTCTACGGAAAGCAAAGCTTGCTTTTAGATTCTTCCGAAGGTTCTTGCATTCGCCTCGTAAATACCTTCAATAGTTGGCAGTGAACCTTAATCTTCACATTCACATACTGTAAAACCTCTCCATCGCAATTCCATACACTAAGTTGAGAATTGAGGTTCTCACCAATGATATTGTCATTTGATGATAAATTCGGATACGCTCGGAATGTGAATTCTCGAGCTCGATATACTTCAACGAATGGCAAATCATACTGAAAACATAATACGACTTGAGTAAACAAAACTCAAGAATTAGTAGGAAGTGAATGTTATTTAAAAAAATAACTCACCAGTGTTTTATTTTTACTGCTCAATCTTAATAGCATTCTAATATTATTGAATAAGGACGTATGTCGGACTAGAATAACATCAATACAGCCATCACCAATATGACAGTGAGGACTAAAGCCTTGTGGACTTCTTGAACAAGCACATGATACATTAGCGCCATTGACCATGAAAAATTTTCCTCGAACAGTTAACCATCTCGTAATATCTTTATCTGGGATTGAATTGTGCATATGCTCAATGCAACGATTACAATTTTTTTTACATCTAGTGCTTGCTGCTGGATGACATGGATCTGACAGTAGATGTATTTCACCTTCATAGCCTTTATTGGCTATGATTTTTTTAAAACCTGAATAGTCATATCTCTGTGGACCCATCCACCTAAACTTTTCACTATCACGAATTACATCACCAAGGTAACCATAGCTTAAAACACTGGCGTATAATCTGTGCAGAGATTTATCACCATAGACTGAAGATATATCAAGACCAGCAGTGTCCCCAAAAATGATATGAATAACAGCAGTTTGTACGTCAGTTGTACCATGAAGGCTATAAGCCACCGTATCGGTGCTTCCGCTCGGAATTACACCTACGGGTAATTTTGGTGGTGGCAATGCTGCTTGGTAATCATTTGGATCCACATGATGATCCCTTGCTGCTCGTAATATTAAACCGTTGAAAACCTCAGCAAAAGTTCCATCACCACCTACGCAAACTACTGCCTAAAATAAAGGAATTACGAGTTAATTGAGTGCTGAGTTGAAAAAAACTTTTTTATTCTCTTAAAAAAAATTACCTCAATGTCATCTAAATTGGAATTGAGCAAACAGTCATGAATATGTCCAGCTCTCTCAGTTATGATAATTTTTGTTTCAATACCAGCCAGTCTCATGAGTGGTTGAACCTGTTTCTCCCAAATTTTGGTTCCTTTTTTCTTTCCTCCGAAAGGATTTACAAATACCAATATCCTTCGAGGCCGATAAGTCAATGCTTGAATAATTAGATGATGTATTATTAATTACCATTCTTATTACTTTTATACTAATGTCATTCCACATTTCTAATTCAATAGGTACTATAAACAATATTGACTTTTTTATCAAAAAGAAAAAAATCAAGTTTTATGGTACACTAAAGAAAAAACAAAAAAATAGTTGTTGTCCTTTGTTTCAAGGGCTTCAAATTAAGCAATACAATACGTGTGCTACATAAGTAGCTTTATAACTAGGTAAATACTTACTGAGCAGATAATTCCTGATGGTTTTGACCCAAGAAGCCACTTGCCTTGGGTCCTTGTGACTCATGATCACATGATGATGACTCCACCGATTTTTTGAACCACGAGCTGCATAGTGTAGGATGAAACTCGTTGGTGGAGTTGAAGGAATTGCTTCTGAAGATTTTCCATTGCTTTGGAGCTCAGTCATGTAATCATCTCCATAGTGAACTGCTAAAGCATCTGTCAATGGAAGAGTCCATCTCACTGAAAAAAATTTTACTCCCAATAATTAATCTGATATATAATAATTTAGCAATCTAATTATACTTGATGATTTTAACAAAATTCGACTATAAGATATTAATTAAGTTTGATGAATAAGTAAGGCATGTGTTAAATAATTCTAAATATGTAGATAGTTTTTTACCATTATATAAACATAATGACATACTTTTTTCTTAAGAGTTGGAATGTAAAAATGATAAAGACCATGCAGATAATTATCTGCTGAACCTTGGTTTCACTCCAGTATAATGTAAATGTGTATTTATATTGTATGCTATTAAATATTCTAAACCAGTCACACTTTAGATTTACGATTGAAGGTCATGGACAAAGTTCATTCTCTTATAAAAACTACTTACTATACTGCTCCTTTGAATTAATGTTTTTTTCTCTATTTTATTGAAGTCACATATTTTGTGGTCTGCCAATAACTCTAACGTCCGTTCTTGATAATACAAATTTATTTTTTTCTAATAATAAAAGTAAAAAAAGTCATTCTGGAAATACTCTACTAGCTTCTGTATGATATTTAAAATAGAAATGATAAATTAATATTCCGCGATTTGCATGAACAGATTTAAAATCTTTCTCATATGATAAAAAAAAAACGTTGGACGTATAGAAAAATTATGTAACAATTTTGCAAGTATGTTAATAAGGATTATTAATGATAAGCTTGACGTGCAGCTGCAAGGTAAATTAAGATTACTAGAATATTTATAAATAAAGATTTCTTTTTTTCTGCAATAATGAAAGAAGAAATCAATATTTATTTATTAATTTTCTACTTTTTATATAAAAAATCCAATGAAACTCATTGTTATAAATGCCATTACCTGAAATATTTTGTATACTACTAGAAAATATTGATTTTATATTATCATTTCAATGTGATGAAAAGTATTTCAAGAAATATTACTAAATAATCAATGAACATAAGATAAAATTACACTAATTGAAACAATAATATTGCATTTATCTTACCATAAGGTGGTCGTTCTGTTTCCCAGATAAGAGTTCCTCGATGAAAATAAACTCTACAACGTTTCTTTTTTATGATAAATGTATTGAGTAGTACTGTGTTGGAAAGCTGGTCATTCTCCATTATTATTGATTGATCATGGTAAATGATAATACTCTTGAAGAAAAATTTACTAACTGGTCATTAACACTGGTAATATCCGAGATGACAACATTAACATTGTCATCCTAATGCTTTATTGATTTGATGTATTTACACTTACAGCCAACTATCCTTTGTCAGTACTGGATAAAACTATGATCGTAGTAACACCACCGAAATAAAAGCTGGAAATGACAACCAAAGAATTACACATGGACTGTCAGACAATATATGACTACATTTAACACTAGAAAGTAGAAAGATATGTCAGTTAGTAAGCAGGTAAATGCCTTACCTTCCACTTTGGTTCTATTCACTCCATGTTTTACACAGATACATATCTGTATATTTCACCTCTTACGTCTCCACTACCTTTACTGCTTGACGTTCTCCCTGACGTCTACTCCCACCAAACCTCCTAGCTACCACCACCTTCAATCAAACTCTGGTCAAATAATCGACTTTTGTGAACATCACGTGGCATCTTGTAGTGCACTTGTTGGTCGGTGAGAATGAGATTCAAATATTTTAAGATTTGAATGAAAAGAAAAAAAAACAAAATGAGTAAGCAACGATTTAAAAATAAACACAACTTTTCCTCTTGTAATTTTTTGGAGTGACTTAAAATAACAAAGAAATCTCAAACTGTGTGATTCGGAAAACTTTTCGGAGTATTAATTTAAAAATGATAATAAAAGCCCAATCTTTGAGATTAGCATTAATTAATGTACTGTTGTGATTAAATAATACACCTGACATTTAATTTCACAGAAATATTCATGAAATTCATTATCAATAGAAAATATTTATTCAAGTAATCTACTAGAAACCTAGAGACATCTGAAGAGATTCTTGATAAGTATTGTAATCAACAAGTTCAAAAATTCCCGCCAGATAATATTTTTTTTATAAAAGATAGAAAAATATTTGGAACAATGAGACATTTTGATGTAAAAATGTTTGATTTATTTACAAATTAAGGCACATTGGTTACAGTTGAAAAATTTTCAATATTACAAATGTTAGTATACATACAATAAAGAGAACTTAAATGTTGGCAGTAATAAAATACATTGTCTTTCAGAATAAACGTTATTCAATTCAGTCTAAAGCATTGAGTAATATACAATTAAAATAAATATACAAAATGTTTAAATACGACTAAATTCAACTAATTGAGTTAAAAACAATTGGATTCAATTACATAAATCATGGCAAGGTTCATTGCAGTAATCGTAAATAGGAAGTTCTTGAGGTTGATGAACTGGCTTTGGTTGGCATCTTCTAGTGATTGTCACAACACATAAAGTTACTCCAAATGCGGCAGCAATATGCCATGAGAATGCTAATGCGACTTTTTCGCAAGTTACAACTGTAGGATAGGTACGAACCATGTGTGCTAACCATCCTCCATGTAATATTGTAGAAAACCCACGTAAAAGTTTTAAATCAGACCACACAATTTCAATAATAATTATTACAGATGTGGTCCAAGCTGTTGCAGCAAGAATATTTAATATCATACCTCCACTTGATTCATCAGTTTTAGTTGCCCAGACAAAAAGAAAACCTTCAACAAAGAAGCTTTGTGCTAGAGCTAGATTAGTCAGTTCACTCAAGACATTTCGCCGAAAGTAAAATGCTAAAACATCAACCAAGCCAGAGAAAGCAAAGAAAAGGTAGATCGTGGCATGAACAACTTTAGGAGAAACTGTGTCATTATCTGGTAACCCACTAATAATCGTTCCCAGGAGACCAATGGCTGTACATATTAATTTCAAACCTCCTTCGATGGGATGTCTTACAAAAAATTTCTCACAGACTCGAGCAAACTGCTCTACTCTTGGTACAGGGTTTTCACTTTCAATCCTTGTTTTTGGAGTAATCCACAATTTTCCATACTCGATGCACCATTTCAGTCCAAATATATAAAAAATACAGCCTATCAAAATATATGGAAGTACACTTTCTGATGATGACTCCATAATAAATAAATAATCCAGTTGATAATTATTTTAATTTTATTTATTATTTCGTTTTTCTATTATGTATTTACACAAAGCTAACTACTAATGATATTTTTATAAACTTTTATAATCACTTTAGAATCATTAGAGCTTTAGTATTGTCAAAATCTTATTTACACTGTTGAAAACAGACTTTGACATTTAATTAGAAAATATTAACAAAAATTTGAACAAAAATAAACATAATAAAAAAAAGCCACAATCAAATGCTACTGTGCCATTGTAGATGCTCTTGTGGAGGGTGGACAATAGTTTGAGTAAACTTTCTACTGTGCAACATTGGTGCATCTGTCGCCCTCTGTTCACAAGCATGCACTTTTTATTGGTCTTGAAATATTTTATCATTTGTTGGAATGCATTGGTTACCAACTAGAGAAAACAAAGATAACTTGTGTTATGCTGTAAGAGTAAAAATGAAACAATGAATGGCGCCAAATGACCAAAGATTTTATAAAAATCTGAAACAGTGATTAAGAGTACTCCACAAAATTGATAAGAAAATATTTAAATATTCTTTCATTATTAACTTGCTTTTTTTATAAGCAAAAATTAAGTGTAGGTATTTTTGATAAACTAAAGTGCTTGAAATAAATTAGGAGGATATCTTTTTGATAATTTAAAATATATTTAATTATTTCGTTATATAGCATGCAAAATAAATGATTAAAGGTTTATTTATTAATTAATTATAATAAAAGATTTTCTATCTGTTTCCATTAGTGTATATATAATTTAAATAAGAAAAAATTGGAAACATTATTGACATAATCCTTTCAAAATAATTTCATGTTGCAATCGGTATGATTAATTTCCGATAAAAGCAAACATTTGATTATTAATGTACACATGTTTACATATTTTGTTAAATCTAGAAAGGAACCATGAACGAGCTTGTTTGATGTTTTTCTGAAAATAAAATATATTCCTAAATTATCATTTATAAAAATATATTTTCAAAAAGTTCCAAAATAATATAAAATGAAATAAAAAAGTATTTGTTTTTTTTTGCACAATTTTTTACTCCCAATAAAATATATCATTTTAATTTCAACTTCCGCAAAAGATATATCACTAGCCAATTATGAGAGATGGTTTAATTCATTAAAATTAAATCAATTCATTGTTAAAAAAAAATTTGACTCAAATTTAAAATCAAGTCCAACAAAACGTTGAGGAACATCTTACCCAGAATTGGCTTATTTCGAAAGTTATTCACATGCAAATGAAAATATCTAAACCCAAATGGAGACAACTCAAATCTAATTACTGCATCAAAATAGATGGAAGAATCCACTCGATTGGTTGATTCTGAATGCTAGTCTCCTATAATATAAGAATAACACATTATGATGCCGAATGCTGTACATTCTCTCTGTATAGAAGCGCATTTTCGGCGTACTTTTATTTGAGTATTATTATATATCCATCAATAAGCGTTCTAAGTCCATTCGCTCAGATCATCCGGATAATACACCATGTATTCACACAATGGTTGAGCTACTTATCTGAAGATTACAACAAAGTGTGTCCATTATGAATTTTATATTTAATATTAGATATAATTCCATGTTCATTTATTATACATACACACACAAAGCATTATCGTATACTTCAACTTTACCTTTCCTTCCTGTTGTTCAGCAGCAGTGAATGTAGATGCTACTGGAATTGCACCTTTAATCAAGATTTCTACCAATTTACAAGCGCCGACGGCGTGAAGACAAAGCCCATTGTTGCCGTAACTGGTTGAGGCTTCAAGTGTTCCAACGCAACTGCCAACTCAATGCGCTTGTGTATACCGGGTGAAACCAATGTTAACAGTTCTTTTACATTAACAATGCATTTTTCATATCAAATAATGTCCATGGTCTTGTTCACCACCATTAAACATCAATACAAAACCATTAATTAATCAACCGAGGTTGACTTTTGACTTGCTACAAGTCTTTTTGTAAAAATAAAAATTACATACATCCCTGCAAGATCTTTTTGGAGGTATATATGACTTATTGCTGGCAGGCAGACCCTTGGAAACTATACTTGAAACCACTTGTATACTTTTGTTTGTGTTTGCTAATTGTGAATTGTCTACTTTTTGCTCGGGCGCCTCGAGTGCTTCTGCACACATGGACACTACTTTTGCAATACAGAATATGAATGGTAAACTATAGAATGTCACGCGTAAGAGTTGTATGTTGTTCACTACACCACATATTAGGCATCATTGTGTGGATGTTCTACAACATTGGTACATGAACATGTTGGTCACACATATGAATGTTTGAATGTATGTACTAAGCAGTAACAACCATAGTAGCATTTGAAATCACACAGATAAATATACCCAAGTGTTTACTCGGTCATGCTGCTTCATCTCATGTAAAATTGTCCTTCATCGCTTGCCACATGGTGCTGCAGAACAAGTATATAACGTTGACACGTGTGTGTCACATCTCAGACATTCACTCTGCCACCTTCTGCTGAACAATCTTCCAATTAAATGTCTATCATGTCTTTCATACCCCAATAAATTTGCTAGCTAGCAATTCAAAAAATATTTATCATCAAAGGGTTGGTTTTTTCTACGGACAATTTGATCCTAGAAGAGAAAGGATTTTAGTAAAATATTCAATAATAATTATTGAAACATTGTAAAACCTATACAAAATATAATAAAGAAACCCAGATTTTTCTTACCTAGCACTTTAGTGATATCACCTCTGTTTTGCAACGAGTTCTCACATTCTTTTTTTCGTTTTATTCATCATCATTCGCCGTTGAATAATATCGTCTATATTCCAAAACATTATTCTGATTGGCGCGTTGAAAAAGAACGAGGGAACATCGCGTGAGTTTCCATTGGCTCTTGGTGAATCCATACTCGGCACTCGCAGGGCCGCCTCATTTACGGATATATACTTTATAAACCTCTCGTCCCCGCAGGAATCAAAAGTACCCTTAATGTAGGATATGCGACGGGTGTCAATCTCACTTTGATTTTGTTCAATCTCTTGATGTGTATCTTTGAGAATTTCATCCTCCAAAACCCCATCCTCTCTTACTCATCTAATGGTTTCATCACTGTCAGCTGTAACTGGGATGATACTCCAATAATAATCATCAGTTCCATCACCAAAAATATCTGTCTATTATTTTTGTTTGGAATTTGATGATCATGACATGGAGTTGAGGCTAATTAGGACCTGATTAAGTTTAGGACAAATTAGTAAAATGATTGAGCATGTGAGTTAGATATATCCAGCAGAAGAATTGATAAAGCAGCAGAAGACTGTCGTTTACGTTGAACTAGATGTCTGGAGGGTTGCATTACCCTATTCGCAGGGTAGTGGCTTTTGACAGGGTTTGGCTAAATGCGAGGAAATTCAGAGGGGCGTGGTTTTGTTACTCCATTAGACCCGCCCCCGTGGATGATACAGGAGAGGGGCAATTGCAGCAAAACCACGCTAACAGCATCACCACTACTATCTCCATCGGTGGCTGACCAGCTTGAGTCGCGCAACTAGGGCACCCCCTTTGCCCTTTCGTCTTCATAAGACCTCATCAGATACACGGTTTTTTGCCGGGCAAACATTACCAGAGACACCTCGTTCAAAGACCAACAGTCTTACCCTGGATTTTTTCATCTTGGTCATTTGTTGTCTCCTGAAGCTGAGTTTTACGATCGTCATTTTCGTCCTTGATACGTGTTTGCGAGCCAATTGAAGCCACCGACGATAAGGCATGGCGTCCTTCATCATGGTGTCGGGAAAACTGAGAAGATAGAGTTGGTATTAATACCTATGAATTATCCGTGATTGTTGTGTGAATTTCATTTGATTAATGAATTATTTTGTCTTCATGATCATAGACGATGATTTCTGCTTACACTTATTGCTTTATTTATAATAACTATTGTTATTTTTTATTTGTTTATTTGATCTACTGCCAAAATAACATACCACCGAGGAAAAGAATATTGTGTAAATAAAAATTATCGTTAAACAATGAACGAAAAACATTCTAATCAATTTGAGTAGTTTGCTTGACGGATATATCATGAATCAAATGCATTGGAATATTTAAAAGTGAATGATAAATAAAATTATTGTAATCAAGTGTTGCAACTGTTCAAACTGATAATAGTGTGGTTAATGATGAAATTTTTATCAATATTGTATTACTTTCGACTGGTATTTTATTGGCATTTGAAGCATTATAATAATCTTCATCAGTGATCGTGCATCTAAAATTGTGCATCAGAAAAGTGAAAAGAAATCATTATTACAAAGCAATATTTATTGGTAAGCTTTTATGTTATAATTTATATTCATTTTTTTAATTTATTTTAACATTTTATTATTTTTTTTTTACAGCATTATTATTTAAACATTATCGATTGGAATTTTTTTATTGCTAAAATATTAGATAATTAATCTTGAACAAATGTGCGCCGGCACAAACACTTATTACTCTTGCTCGCAATGAAAGAAATTGAACGTTTAGAGTTAAAAGATGTTGAATTAGGTATGTGTACACATAAATATAATATTATGGTTAGCATATCTGAAACATGGTGCAGGGTATGCACGAAATATATTGTTAGGGAGGCTGTTGTATGTACTCTTCAAGTACATATGAGTATATAGACGTTTGTAGTATGCTCTATAAATTGCTGATACAATGAGAAAAAAAGGTTTGCGAACGTACTAACTTGAAAGAGGGGACCTTAGAAAACGCGTGTATTGTTTTTATTTTTTATCACTGCTTTGCTTGTAGGCACAGCAGAAGTGGCTATTTAATAGGTTAAATAATTATGAAGCTACAGCAGTTTCTCACTTTTAAGTTCTGCCTTTGTAAGGATTTGTTGAATTTTGTAGCTTGCAGAAATAATCATCAACAGTTTTGTTGCATTCTTTTTATGTGTGAAGGGTTTGAAAATTATTTAAAAAGGCAATTAAGATTTATTTACAGATTCTTATGCATTTGGAATTCTTTAGTCAACAAATTGAATCATTTAATTGGAATTAAAATTGTTTATTGTTAATTTATTTAACTTATTTCAAGCACGGATAGCCTATGATCTAGATGTTACATATTTTGTAATTCCAATATTTATCTTTAGTGAATTATTCGAATGATGGCTCAATTACTCCTTGCACAGGAAGAATTGAAAATTGTGTATTTTATTTCTTAAGTCGTTTCTCATTTGAGCTTTATAAATACTTACATATCTACTGGATAAAAAAAGCTATTGTCTTCTTTGAATAATTGCTTGATGATTGAATACAAAACACTGAGAAAATTATGCCTGTCGACAATTTTTAGTTGATGTCTTTGCGTTTTTAGGTTAAACATAAATTTTTTTTGAGGATTTGATTGTGGCAATTATTTCTAAGATCTTAATGAAACGTAATAAATGAGATAAATTGAGGAAAGAAAGTGTTAAAAATAGATAAACCTACTTCAATTGATTTTATGATGAACTGTGCTAAAATATTTCATCACAACATAATATTACTCGACATATCAAGTGAGAATACATTAAAATATCGTTCACTTATGTGAGCAGTCTTATAAAAAACAATACAATAAAGAAGTTATCCGGTACCAGACGACTGAGCAGATTTTGACAGGTCAAAGTTGAAGCAGACAAATGTGTTTGATCACGAAAGAAGTATGGCGACGCTGTACGAAGCACTGAAACGTATTTAATGTCGTCATTTTTACGATTGACTACTATATTTAAAGACGACATTATATCTCATACAATCCTGAATTTATAACAAATCAATAAATTTACAATGAAACGTATGTAATAAAAATTTCAGCACCAATATAGAACAGCTATTGGTCGTTCCTAATGAAGATTATGGAATAATGTTTCAGAAACTTCAGTATGAAGAAATAATTTATTTATTGGCTCAAGTTTGATTCAAATAAGAATGAATTTTAGTTACAAATTGGAAATATATGAGATTATAATCATTTTGTCAGAAAGAAATAAATATGTATATGAAAATATAAGATCAGTAATTTCCTGGACGACCAAAATATATCTTTACATTTGGGAGTAAATTGAACCCAATCAACTTTGCGATATTGAAAGCGGGTACATTCGACGTTAGATTATTACGCTACTTGATTTCATATCCCGATGAGAATTTCGTTCATATGTACATTCTTTATATACTTACTACCATCATCTCTTCAAGCATTTTTATTTACTTAGTACAGAATAAGAACATTATTAAAAAAAAAAACAAAGAAGAGAGAGATGAATATTCTTTCCTGGAGTTACTTTTTCGTTCTTCAAGAAGAGATAACAAATGAATTCATCAATTTGTTTATTATAAAATAGAGTTAAATACGAAAAATTTTCGAGAATTGTATATACAATAACTATTATCACACTTCAATGGAACAGGAAGTACTCATTTTTTTATTTTGAAAAACATTTATTCGAACATTTCGTATGCACCCTCACAGCTATAAAAAAATTAAACTGAAACAAGCAAGATTTTTGACAAATTTTGATGAACACCAATTTATAAACCATATTCCTTCAATTCATTGCTAAATACCGAGGGTGCATAAAAATTTTCACATGGATGCTTTTTTAAATAGAAGAAGTGAGCTTGAAAATGTTTACCACTTCATTAAACTGTAATTCATTTTAACCAAGCTTCAATTTTCTAAAAATCATCCAAAATGCTTAACATTCCTTTCATTTTCAACTCCAATATAAAACAATTTACCTGAGGAAAGTAAAAAACTTTCACATTTAGAGCTGCTTTTCCACTTGACTCTACCTAGAATTTGTCAAGTATATTTAAATATGATACTAAAAAAAAATAAAAAAACAAATTCGTAAACTAATTTTCAAATGCATGGGGAAGCAAAAGATTGTAAGATTGATAGGAGAATTCGTAAGGACGTATAAAAGTGTACGAGGGTGGCAGTAAATTACGATAAACTTATGACAAACAAATTACTTGGCACGGACTTACCCCGGTATGCTATCGTATATCAGTCTACAAATTAGCAACCGGCATCAGACCCAACTCAGTCTTTATTCGTAAAATGGTAGTATTATATAGTTGTATGTATACGTAGCTAGATAGGCAGTATGTGTCAGCTAGCTCTTCAAGACTATAGGTATAACACACCAGACGAGTGCTCAGAGGGTTATAGAGGGTGAACAAGCGCAAGAACTGTATAGTTTAGGGTTGGCCTAGAATTAATGTACCACTTCCTCTTGAGCCAAAATGGCAATTTTAACCTCAAGAGGTTTACATATACAGCTTAGATAATAAGATTTTTTTCAGTTACAACCTTTACCACATTCACCATACACTATTTATTCCAAACTATTTCGTTCTATTCTTTACAAATAATTATATCATAATCCTCTATGCCACATACTTCATAAGGTATTACATTCAATTTATCTAGAAATCAAAATAATGCTTCTATATACAACTATACGAATCAGTTTAATAATTAATCCTATTTTATTATAGTATATTACATTGTATGATGATTCGTGAATGTTTACAGACATAATAACAGTAGGCTATTCCATCCGACAATTAATATATATATATCAATCATTTATTTAATATTACATTTTAATGGCTATAATAGAATTAGTGAGAACAAAACCAATTTGCTTGGATTCATGTTAATCAGTTGCATGTATTATGTATTTATTTTATTTGATTAAAACTTATTTAATTACAAAATAATTTCATGCTTTGATAGGAATGCGTGGATAGATTTATTGAGTTTCGATAATACTTTAAAAACTCTCAATACATTGTTACATTAATTAAAAATATTTTTCAATTAATCCATAATATTTTTATAATAATATTATTTAAAATTGTAGTAATAAAAAAAAAATTATTAACAATGGACTATTGAATTTACAATCATTACATTTAAATGTATTTATTGCTATAATTGTTATTTACTCTCAGTTGAATGTGGAACAAAGATTATTTAAAATTGAACGAATTTAATAATTCTTTATCAATTTTATTGAAAATAAATATTTATTAAAAATGTTACAATAACTAAAATGAGTAAATTAAATAAATAAATCGTCTGAATATGAATTCATTTTGAGAATAGTTTAATTAAATAAATCATATAGCTGAATTAAATTTAAAGAAATGATTAATTAAAAATAATCTAGTTAATTAGTTTGGAATCCTTCTTTTAAAACATTCAGCTATTTTTCTCTAATCAACTAATAATCCCAACTGCTGAAAAAATTCCCTAATTGTATGCGAAAAGAGATGGATAAACTTAAAAAATGTGGTAAAGGTGTTATATCTGATGTTTGGTCTAGAAGCATAATCAAGATTACTGATAATTGATACTGAGGTGGGTGCAGTAGTTGGTGCTGTATTCATGTAAATGTGTAGCACTGGATAAATTAAGAACCTTGACAAGAAATGCTGAATATACATATTCTTTGGTTTGCAAAGAACATCGGATAATATATGTATGGGATTAATGGGCAGGTGCGAAAGATCTTTGCTTGTTATCGCAATGCATAAAACACCTCTTAGAGGCATATACTTTATATTCCAGTAAAAATATATACATAGCAATGCACATTATACACCTACACTTGGTGGTTACTTATTCACTTTGTGGCTTGAAACAAAAATTCAACTGTTTCAGTATGAGTTGAAAGCAGAATAAAATATTTAATTGATTAATAAAAATTTTGTGGCTCATAAATACTATGGGGATTAATTATTTTCTGACGTTTTGGCAA